TAGGTTAAGTTAAGACAGATTTAGGTTAAGATTGAGTAAGGTTAAGCTAGGTTCAGGTTGAGTAAGGTTAAGCTAGGCTCAGGTTGAGTAAGGTTAAGCTAGGTTCGGGTTGAGTAAGGTTAAGCTAGGTTCAGGTTGAGTAAGGTTAAGCTAGGTTCAGGTTGAGTAAGGTTAAGCTAGGTTCAGGTTGAGCAAGGTTAAGCTAGGTTCAGGTTGAGCAAGGTTAAGCTAGGTTCACACTGAGTTAAAAGGAAACAGAATTAGCAACTACTGCATGTTCTTAACACTGTGACTTACTATATCCAATGGCTCTTCATTATATCACTAACCCACATAAGAACTGGAAGGATTCTAAGTAATACGAATACAATATAAAGTTTAAACATCAAACCCATATATAAATTGTAACACACATTCTTTTCCACCTTTAAATGTGGACTTGATTTACAAACCTTCACATAAGATACTTGACTTTTAAAAAACATAATATAATCTCTGAGACACAATTGCTATGTAATACCCATACAGTACAGTAATATGTATGATTTTGACAACATCACCGAATGTAGTTCACAACACGAGACATTATTATTGAAAAAAATATTTACCCTCTTACTAGAAACACTGAATCATTTACCACTCTCAATACAGGTACATTAAAATCATTACAATACATCGCAAACGGTGTTTTTCGATACAATACAACCTACAGTACTTGTAACCTGAATATCTGTGTGTAACTAAAATTTATATCCTAATTTTCTGGATCAAACAGAAATGATCCCATTCTTGCTAAGTTTCCCTGCAAGCCATCTTACTCTGGATCACTGAGCTGAACTAACAAAATTGCCAATATACAGTATATTTACTTGAGTAATCAGTGGTCAAGTCCCTCAGAATGATTTTCTGAAGGGAACACTGTAAGGTAGTTTAATTTCAACTAATACAGGCAGTTAAAAAATCTTCATTCATGAATATACTGTATTTACAACTGGAGATACATACTAAACCTAATCCAAACATGGTGGTCACAACACAAACAGTATACACTGCATATTGACACTTATTTATACCCTAACCAAACTTCACTAAGGAGCTGCCCTTGATGAGCAACTGAAGTTTATTGACTTTGGGAACAAAAGGTAAAAGATAAAAATAATCTTCGGGGATGTTTGTGGGATTCTCCTCTCAGATATACTGTACAGTTTCTTCTGTAGCTTGAGTGTGGCCCAAAAGAAGAATAAATTGCAGTAAATTCTTAAAAACTTAATGAATTTATACCAATATACAGTACTGTATTTATGGCAATTAAGGATAATAAACATTTCTCAGGATAAATAAGATCTTGACTTTCCTAAAATTATCAGAATGACAATTAATACTACTAGAGCAATAACTCCTAGTTCACTGACTGTGTCATCACTGACATTCCAAGGTGTGGAAATGAGCAGGATCTGAAATGCTTTCAAAGATTCTACATTAATACCCACTTTAACTCAAACATAAATTTATATGAAATTTAACTGATGCTATAAATTATAATCACACATGGTACTAGCTAGAATCTTACAGGGAACTTCACTATACTCAACCAAGTTACAGTCTGCCAGGTTTCTAATACTGAACAGGGATGGAGTGAATACAAGAGTTCAGTACGTATTCGAATACGAATACAGTACAGTACAGTACGTATACAGTACTTCTAATTTCTAAGAATACAAATATGAATACAATACTGTAGTAATATCTCCATTAACCAGAATCCCTCAACACTGAAACTCTCCAATAGCCGGAACTGAAATTTGCTCGTAATTTTTCTAGAAAATTCCCTGAATTCCGGGTTTGGGAACAAATTCAGAGGTTGAAAATTAAAAAAAAAAAAAATCTGGAAAATCTGCCCAAATTTTTATTTCTGGGTCTGGGAGCAAAAGTTGATTATGAAATAATGCGCAATTACCGGAAAGTCTGAAAAAATTGCGAGAAATATCACCCCAAACCTTGTTGCTTAGGGCCTGGGGACAAGGCTTATTAATACTACTGTAGTACCCTTCATACAGTATACAGTAAAACACTTATTTTTACCTTATTATTCGGCTTGTCATTTAAGGATATCATATTGGAAACGTCTCATAGAGAATTTATTCAAGATCATTAGGTATCAAATTCATCTCTAACAAAATTTAAGTTTATAATGAATGCTAAAGGTGACAGGATCTGCTGGTGAGTACAATATATACAGTAGTACCTGTATACTGTACATTATTATGTTTACAGTATGAACAATGTTGTACTTGTACTGTACAGTGGTGATTGCGTAAATAACTATGGCTCCTACGAGCTTGGAACATACCACATTCCATGCTTTAACACAAAGTTCTATTCATGCCCATATCATTTAGATCTTTTGTTTTTTAAATATATTTATTTAACCAAACTTTTAGATGGAGTATTCAGGATTATTTTGATAAAAAAATATGATATGTCTAACGAAATTACAACTGATTTTATTGACTCCGATATCAAGATTTCTTCCTCTTTTTTTCTATAAAAGAATGGAATTCCCATCATTATATCACATCAAAATATTTCGTTTAAGGATATCTTATGGAAATGTCTCGAAGAGAATTTATTACGGATCATTATGGTATTAAATTCATCTCCCTATCACAACTGCCCACACTTGAATGAGGAAATGGGGGTTGAAGAATGACTGCACGACCCTCCCCCTTACCTTACACCCCAAAAAGGTACAACTCCCCCACTCTCAGCCCACATTACGCACGCACGCACGCACGCACGCACGCACGCACACACGCACCTGAGATCCCTACCCCGAGAATTTCTGTTCCACACCACAACCGCATCCAGCCCATACGTGCACGAACTGATCACTATAAGAACAGCCCAGTCCCAACCATTATAAAAATTATCAATAACTTGTAATAAACCAGTGTATTCACTCCCAGTAAACACGACTCCTTGCACTGTCACTATGTTGAAATGAACTGTAGTTTGAGCTTTTCCCCATCTAGTTATTATATATCTTATTTGTATCACTTAAGTTACTTGTATATTATTTGTAATTCGAAACCCATTCCCCAAATATGTAACTGCATATTTTCAGCCTTCTGGCTGCCAAGCTCTTTCAATAAACCGTTAATTATTATTATTATATTATTATTATTATTATTATTATTATTATTATTATTAATATTATTATTACACACACACCCCCAACATCTGTCCATCTGTGCAAGGTGTCTAGATTAAACACTTGGAAACTTTTCCCAGTAAGCTGAAAATATTCCAGGGATAAGGAATTTTTCCCAGTTTGAGAAACTTGTTTGGCTCGCCAGAAATCTCTCATCCCCGGAAGTGTTCTGCACTAATTGTTCCGGCTAACGGGGACATAACTGTACAACAGTGTCATTCCAATGCGAATATGAATACTTTATGAAAATATTCATAAATGCATTCATGGGTACTATTGGTTAAAAAACTAACTTTTTATTTCTATAAGTATGGTATGTACTGGTAGATGACTTTAAAATTGGTATTCAATACAGAATAGTATATCAAACCTATCCATTGTAAGAGCTCTATATAAGTCTTGGAGAAAAATTTGTTTATGTAACTTTATGAGCCAAGAGAAACTTTAAAGTCTACGTGCCTTCCCACTGACGGCAAAACACAAAATGTTGTTCTCACCATTAAGTTCTAGACAAGCTGCACAGGCAGTGTTGCTGTCATTTACCAATTAAAAAATAATAATTAAATGTACAGTACAACAGTAATACAGTATATGTTTGGCACACAAAATAATAATTTTCTTTCCAATTGTCTATAATAATGAATACAGCGGACCCTCCATTAACGAGTGGTTCAATTTACAAGATTTCAGTTAACGAGTTACCTCCTCAAGGACTTTCAGTTCTATTAACGAGCACAAATTCTATTAATATCAGCCTTACGAGAAACACATTTTGGTGCGTGCACCAGCTGATCGACTCGTCTGCCAATAATCGGTTCTATGTTTACCTTTGTTTCCAGTGGAGTAAACATCAAGAAAGTTGTGCTCATGAACATTTTTGCATTTTTACATTAAAATTATTGGTCATTCTGAAATTTAGGTAACATATTGATAATATATAGTGCAGTGTTGGTTTGAATACAACAAATCTGGAATTAGTTAAATAAATTGTTTTGAAATTAAAATTTTATTGGCGAAATTATCAAGCATGAGTCCGAAGAAATCTCGAGACGATTTCAATTCAAGTAAAACAAGAAATTATTAAGAAATACGAAGAAGGCATTAAAACCAATACACTCTGTAAAGAATATGGCATGTTGTCATCGACTGTGTCTACACTCAGCTGTTTGTGCTGCCGCTATGTAAACAAAGCTGCAGGGAATTCTACATACACACCTCAAATTAAGTGTTAAAAGACTTTGTTTTTTATTTATTATTGTACTGTATGCTGTACAATACAGTACTGTATTTTGTTTATATTTAATGTTTTGTTAATTCTATTGCTGGTATACAGTATACCTTGCAAGTACTTTTTAATTCATTTTAAGGAATTCTGTGAGTTGGAACCAATTACCCAATATCCCATTGAAATAATAGATTCAGTTAATGAGTGACTCTGTGGAACCAATTGTGCTCGTTAATGGAGGGATCACTGTATATACATGTACATATAACTTGAAAATGGAGTTAGAAATTATTGTTCAAAGAATAACTTTAACTTTAAGCTATAATATGGCATTACAGTGGGGTATGCTATAACGAATCTAATTGGTTCTAGAACCTTGTTCGTTATAGCATTCGTTCGTTATAGGATTAATCCGTTCCAGGCCCCCAAATACAATCACTTAACACTGAAAAATATAATATAAAATTGTAAAAAAGTGCATAAATATGCATCTAAACCCCTGAAATAAAGAATATCATTAATACTTGTAATAAAAAAACAATAAATTAGCAAAAAAAAAAATTAAATAATGTTCGTTGTAGGAGTTTCGTTCGTTATAGCATTCTCAATTTTATAGGTAAAACGGTTCGTTATAGGAATATTCGTAGTAGGATCCGTTCGTTATAGCATACCCCACTGTACATATGCATTCATCTCACACGATTCAAACGCATCACCAGTAGCCTACTCACCAAAGCGATGACCGTTGAGAGTTGTATGATATTTACCAACGGTTTGTTTAAATTTCTAATTTAAATGTATGATATATACCGGTAGCTTATCGGGTGACTCGGGTCACGGATTTAATAAGCCGAATGTACAGTCACTCAAAAATTTTTATATACAAAATTGTGTTGAAAAAATATGACACGGACAATGGAGTTCGGCAACCCTGCCGAGACCACCAGGAGTTGCAGTGTTCATTCTGAAATTCACCCCCCCTAGTAGATATAGTTTTTTGAGTGACTGTACATCCAAAAAACTCTCTCTCTCTCTGATACAAAGTAAATTCAGCAGCCAAGTGTATGGTTATTTCTATCAAGAAAATAATTATTATTCTTCAGATTATCCTACAAATATGAATACTTTGCCCGAGGATTCGAATAGGAATGCAAATACTTGGATTTCTAAGAATAATGCATTCGAATACAAATACCGAATACAGGTACTCCATCCCTGATACTGAAACCAGATTCTCAAAAGTTTCAAATGGTAATTCTTGCCATATGGTAGTCTCACAGCAGTAGCAGTATCATTATGGCTATTATCTCTATAGCAAGTGTTAAAGGAGGCAGCGGGATGCATACACATATCTCCATATTTATCTTAAACATTTCAAGTACAACCCTTTGAAAATTCAGACCTTAATGTATTAACATGTTCGATACTTCACTTAACATTACAGTACTCATCATCTGTACACATGACTATAAGACATTCGAGCTATTACAGGATACCTGCTTTATACTAAAACTTGACTAATACGTGTTCCCTCTACCTCCATCCATCTCTATTAGCTGTTCATTCAACATGGCCTCCCCTTCTTGTTCATCATCATCATCATCATCATCATCATCATCATCATCGTCATCATCAGTATTTAGAAGACTTAAATCATCATTTTCCCCATCATCAGGCAATGGAATGTTAGCACCCAGTTCTGTCTCTATAGATTCGGGTGGTGGTTGAAGGGCATCAGAGGAGTCAGGCTTGGCATTCCCAGTAATATCTGTATCCTTGAGAGTAATTGGAGCATGACACATGGGACATTTATCTTGCACGTAGAGCCACTTGCGTAGGCAGGGACCATGAAACAGGTGATTACAGTGAGTAGTTCTGGCTGAAGTCATTTCTGCATAACAAATGGCACAAACATCATTATGGGCTTCCAACTGTTCCTGGGAAGCTTCGGGTAGAGCCGATATCTTTTTGGCTGCCTCTAATCTTAGCAAAAAACTCTTCCACCCTTGTTGAAGACGTTGCCAAACATTAAAGTAACAGTGAATAAGCAATACAACTGCATTGATCCATGACCACTGGCCTGTTATAGACTCCTTGACTCCAGCACCTACAACAAACACAGCCACAATAAACTCAAAAACCCTTGTAGTTGCTCTAGTGTAATAAACCAAGTCATCTAAGCCTGGCCAAGGTTGAGCACAAACAGCATCCCATGTAAGTAGTATATAAGTGGCTAAGAGACCTAATACTTGTACAGAAGTCATGATGCTTGTAGATACAACAAGAAGCAACCAAAAGTCTTGCTCAAATATGAGAGTGAACATATATACCATGTACAATGGAAGCAGCAGCAAAAGTAAGCACGCAGTCACTGCCCGAGCGTGCCGAGATATGGATGCCACACCCTGAGCACTGAGGGCCAGAACTACTGGCTCAACAATTTCATACATACTCTGGACCAATGAGGATACAACAATTAGCAATATTATGGATAAAACTGCCAAACGCTCAGGCATAGCCATGTTTAATAGTGAAGTCTGTACAGCCAGGAGAGCCATGGTGACTCCCTCCGTCCAGCCGGAGTGTACCAGGTCATCCGGCAGTGGTGCAGCTCCGGGACCGGCCGTGTATGTTCTAGTGATAGACAAAATAATCCGTGAAGCATAAGAGACTGCCACACACGTGCCAGCCAACATAAGTGGTGTGTAACATACCTCAGCAGCGCTCTGCACTACTACCAAGTACCACATCTCACTCTGTGTTGTGCTTCCCATTGATGGTGTGCTGGCAGTCCCTACTGATGCCCCTTGACCAGTTACTGCTGAAGCTACACCAGCCATAGCACCACCAGATGATGTGATAACTGTCCCAGGCTTAGAAGCTACAGCTGTGTTATGAGAAGGCAAATAATGGTTGTACAGCTGTGTAGTAAAAAGCATCAACCAGAATATAAGTAACTGTATAGGAACAAATAGTCGACTCCAGAGCGTAATTATGACCCCCAGAGGCCCATACAGTTCAATCATCTCCATCAGAGTACCATATATGTGCTTCAAGAACCTGAACACATGAGGAACACACAGGAATATATACTGTACAGTCAAGAATATAACAAAACAAGAGGCAAAGTTGTGTGTCAAGTGAAGCTCCGTCACTGGGAAGCCAGCTAGCCGGGCAAACACAGGCACAAGATACACAAGCAGCAGGATCTGAAATGAAGACAAAACATATTTACAATATCTATTAATGAGAACAGAACAACAGCAAATCTCTCCAAAGCAAAATTAAATATTCCCTTTGTTACACTTCAAGGTAAATAACTTGTGGCAGGTGTAGTCAGCCACAGTATTTGGACAGTACTGTAACTGGTTTACACACAAATGGTTATACAAAACACATGTCACAATACTATTCTTAGTACAGGTAATCCCCGATTTAAGAAGGTTTGGTTTATGAAAATCTGACATTACAAAAAAAAAAATTTTGCCTCATGATTCGATTTATGAATGAAAAATCTAAAATTACACCCAAAAAATTAACCAGTTTCATATTTTTTTGTACATAATAATGAAAATATGCTAAAATAAGGCAGTTTTTGCTACCAGTATGATTACTTTACTAACTTACTTCACTATTCTCTAAAACTCACATTGTTATCAAGTCTACAAATAAACTTTCAGTGTGTCATCATTCTCCTACAATCACCAGATAAGTTACTCCTCAAACTCTCATAAGACAACTACAGGTAGACTCACCTACCATCAACTCAGTCAGTTGCCTCATTGTCCTCTTTCTTTTCATTTACTCTCATGTAATATGTGGCAAATTAGTTAAAGAATATTATTCTTTGTTTTTAATTTTATATGATAATTGTGTACAATAAAGGTGTTGAGTTATAAGGGAAAGTGCAAAATTTGGGAATGAAAAAAGCCAGCAGGGGTGGATACTGCCAGCAATGCTCGAGTGTGTGTAAATGTAGCGTCATCTAACTGACAGCAGTATTCGAAAAAAAAAAGCAGCAGGAATTTAGGATGATGCAATAACTCATCAGGGGTTCAGCATAGGATTTCTTTTTCATAGAGAAAGTATCTCCAATATAATTATAGAATGGAAATCAATACAGGAATACCTTGCTATTCGCAACCCCACTTATCTGCAATTGATATTTTAGCACCCCTATTCTATATTCACAAAGCATATCCCGCTTATTTGCAAATAAAATATTATGATACCCTACAGTAATATTACAAAACAGGCGGGCTAGCCGCAGCTCTCATATTCTGATGTAAGGCCTACTTAACAAGAGCATATTTTCTGGGCACATGGACCTAAGCGGTCTAAAAATTAATGAAGTTGAATTGCACCGTTCACACGGAGCACACATGTGAAAATTCACACACAGGAGACGCTCACCACACGCTTGTACCTGTACAGTACTTCCAAATAATGGCATGAAAAAATATGCCAAGCATTCTGAATTCTTCATATGGCAATGGTAAATGCTACTTTAAATGTTTACACTCTAAATTTACAAATGCCGTGTACACACATACTCGGTGTTCTCTTGTAATGTATTTATGTTGTTGTAGTTATTTTATTGCATTATATGGAGTGTACCTGTATACAAAAAAAATATGTTGCTACTGTATTAAATAAGAAATATGAAGAGCAAAGTCAGTCAGTCAGTCAGTCAGTGTGTGTGTGTGTGTGTGTGTGTGTGTGTGTGTGTGTGTGTGTGTGTGTGTGTGTGTGTGTGTGTGTGTGTGTGTGTGTGTGTGTGTGTGTGTGTGCATGTGTGTGTGTGTGCATGTGTGTGTGTGTGCATGTGTGTGTGTGTGTGTGTGTCAGGTCACCAATTAGATGTACCTATAGCTACATCCCCCTACCAGGTGAAGCTGTGTAATACAGTACATGTAATTATTTTTCAACTCATAATTTTGAACAGATAAACAGTATGCATTTTCATCTCATTTTTTTTTACTCTGTTACATGCACACACAAATGTTCATACAGAATGTGTGAAAAAAATAAAAATAAAAAAAGATTACCATCAGGTGAAAAACAAAGAGAACAAACATTTCTTATGTCTGCGGTAGTTCGTGTGCGATCAAGGGAAGGGGAGGAGGGGAGCTGTGTCGGGGTGAGGTAGTGGTGACGGGAGTGTGGTGGTGGTGTGAGGTAGTGGTGGCAGGCAAGGCCACATTAACAATGGTGCCGAAAGAGCCCGGGCCGGGGGCCCTTGGACTTTGTCAATATTTGTTATAAAAAAAAAAAAATAATGCAAATTTTGAAGCCCATTACATTGTAGCATAAAATAGTAAATATTTTTATGGTTTGGTAATAAAAGCCAAAACAATCACAGTTACTTTGTGATGAATTTATATTGATAACGGGAAAAAAGTTTTGTCAACTGTTTGCATAGACTCAGACTGCAAAATACTACTCCCAATGTCTAGATTCTACACTTCGCTGTAACACAGAGCTCCATTCACGAGGCGCCTCGCACACCCATATCATATAGATTTATAGATTTTTTGTTTCTCTTATTGGAAACATGTTGTGGAGAATTTATTCAGGATTTATTATGGTATTTCATCTCTCCAACACAATTACAACAGATGCTGTGAATAAAACTTTATCCAGTTTTTTTTTAGCCGTAAATATTTTCACTCCTACCCGCAGTCTAGAAATTATGGGCGAGTGTTTGTTGGTGCAAGATGAGCTGCATACTTTAGAGTCAAGATGAGAAGAGTAGTTTAGACTCTTGAAAACTTTCCCCAACACCCAGAAACATTCTGGAGATGTGAGTTAGTGCCTGTCTGTGCAAGACACGTAATTTAGACTCTTGGAAACTTTTCCCAATACCCGTAAAAATTACGGGGATGTGGGATTTTCCGTGTTTGAAAGTCGTCTCGTTACCCAGAAATCTCTCATGCCCAGAAGAACTCTGCACCAATTGTTCTGGCTAACGGAGATATCATTGTATAATTTTTATTAATCCTCACATTTACTGGTACTGTACTACAGTACTGTATACAAGCGACCTTGGTCCCTAATTGCCTTGGATAATGAGGAGTGTACATTGAAAAATATGTGATGAAAGCTGCCAACTGGGAACGCATCCCCTTACCCCCTATTTAAATTAATCCTTATGGGGAAAATTTACCCAATACAGTATTTGCAAATTCGTTGTTCACAATGACTTCAGGAATGCATTCCTTGCGATAACCGGGGTATTCCTGAATATTACTACAGTAATAGATTTATTATACATGTTGGCATCCGGCTACTTGTAAATTCAGGTATAAGATTATTATTGTAGATAGATAGATACAAGTAATAGAAGCTCCAAAAGTTGCTGGTAGCGAAAGTCAGAGCGGGGAAGATGACAGAAGATGAAGCAGGGGGTTAGGAAGGGTATTGTAGTGGGAGAGATAGAGCCATGGCTTTACACGACTGCGTTATATTTGATTTACTAGCGCAGAGCGCACAAATTTTTCTTTTTGTCTGTGTTGGGTGTGTGATCCTCGGGTCACCACTCCTCCGGATTGTGTTAGATACAAGTAATAGAAGCTCCAACAACTATCTCTGAATACGAATTCGCAACTTTTCGATTTACAACAGGTACCTACTTACTGCGAGGTGTACAGGGACCAAGGGGGCTAGGAAGAGTGTCCAAACAAATTTCCGCCGGCCCGGGAATCGAACCCGTGACATCTTGCTTGTGAAGCAAGAGCGGTACCGCTCTACCACCGGCGCCCCATTATTGTAGTATACTGTACTGTACTGCATATAAGTACGGGAGTCAATGAGACCACAGTATATGATCTCATTTACAAAAGGATTTTCAGGAATGGAACCTTTTCATAAATCGAGGAATGCCCGCAATTACAGAGGAAATTTATATAAAAGTACTGTATACGCACGCACATGTGCGTGCACATACACACAATTTACATCTTCCTAATCTTTTGGTCAGAGGATAAAAATCTATTTATAAAAATTTATAAGCCAGTAATAAGAAGTACTGTACAGTGATCCCTTGATTAACGAACGGTTCAATTAACAAAATTTCGGTTTACGAATTAGCTCCCATAAGGATTTTCAGTTCCATTAACAAACAAAACTTTGATTAGCGACAGCCTTACGAGAAACGCTCTTTGTTGTGCGCATCAGCTGATCAGCTAGTCTGCCAATACAGTAATTGGTAGAGTAAATATCAAGAAAGTTGTACTCTTGAATATTTTTGCATTTTTTTATATTAATATTATTAGTCATTCTGAAATTTAGTTAACATATTGATAATATATATACAGTACAGGGAACATTTTTGTGTGCCCTTCAGCTGATCGAATCACCCACCAACTCTTCGCAGTTTAACTTTGTTTACAGTGGAGTGAACATCGAGTTTGTTGGTCTCTTGAACATTTTTGCATTTTTACATTAAAATTATTGGTCATTCTGAAATTTAGTTAACATATTGATAATATACAGTGCAGAAATTATTATGAAACATGAAGAAGGCATTAGACCAACACACTCTGTAAAGAATATGACATGTCATCATCGACTGCCTCAACAATCAGCGGTTTGATATGTAAACAAAGCTGCCAGGAATACGACAAACACCTCAAAGTAAGTTAAAATACAGTATTCTATTGTTTTTTATTTATTATTGTACAGTATAATATATAGTACAGTAACGTATTTAGTTTATATTTAATGATTTATTAATTCTATTACTGGTATACAGTACTTTGTATGTATACTTTTTCTGTGAGTTGGAACCAATTACTCAATATCCCATTGAAATATTAGATTCAGTTAATGAATTTTCGGTTAACAACCGAATCTGTGGAACCAATTGTGTTCGTTAATGGATGGACCACTGTACTATAGAGGGCAGGTTTTATCTCCAACAATACTATCCATCAATAAAAGCAATCTCACAACATACTGTCAACAGGTGAACATCTACACTATCATTTGTAGCAGCCATCTTACCTTATCCTTGTTACACTCTAAGTCCAGGAAGAATGTTACAAACGTGGCCACCAGTGTGTGAAATACAATCGCTGCAACTTGTTGTCTCAGGTACAGTGTTTCCATATCATTATGAGGGTCAAACAAGGACTTCTGCAGCATCAGCATATTTGAGAATCCCTAAAAAGTTCATTAATTTATAAAGTAAGAGGAACATGGAAACAACCAACACCCAGACAGTAATAATCTTAAGAAAGAAAAAAACACACAGGACTTCATCAAATAGCTTGGCTAATTTGAACTGCTCAAAAAGTATAGCAAAGGCTGTAATTCCTATTCTCATTGAAGATGTCATTATTTTTCTATAACTCATCATTTCTACTACAGAATTAATATCGTACACAAACTATACTTTAAGTCCTGCGCAAAAATTTTCTGTGCCACAAATGATACAGTACAGTATATGGATAAACATATACAGTATTACCCCAGCCAGAATATAATTTACACTGCTGGAATTCTTACAATATGATGATCATTTTGAATATAAACATCATGGATTTTGCATTAGACATACAAATTTTAGATCTAATGTAATAATTTGGTTTACACAAAGCAAATAATTTATCTTTTGTGCAAAATATATGAAGTTTACATTCAAAATATTCCCTGACCTGCAAGGAATCCAGAAATGTCAATTATATTATCCTAACTTTAGTCGGAGGTATTATTTATTACTATACGTTAAAATCTAGTGTTTTCACCCAAACATTTCTCAGAGAGGTAGGAGCCAGTGAGCTGGGAAGACGGGGGGGGAGGGGAAGGGGGAGTTGGAGTCCATTATCTGAATGGACATTAACCTGGCGACTGTATTTCTCTTAAATATTAATTGTGTGTTCATACCATCATAAAATTAAGATGTTATTTTTACTACAACATAGGTATTGTGTCGGAAAAAGTGGAGTTTGGGGGTCGGGCCAATCTCTATTGGAATTAATCCCATATGTTCTGTTGTTCACTTTACGCGGTTTTCACTTTCCGCGGTACCCTGTGGGTTCAATTGACCGGTAAATCGGGGTACTACTATATATACTTTATCAAAATATAAGTCATCAAAAAATCTTCCCCTTGACTAAAAAATTTAAAACTACTAAATTTAAGAGCCATAAATGACTATGTACAGTAGTGTGGATCCTGAAGCCCAAGTTAGTGACTGGCTCTTGTACCAATGTGATTTGATGTGTGTGGAGGTGGGGTATTACTTTCTTAAGGCGGCAGAACACTGGACACTTTCCTCCGAACATGGTCCGGCCAGCAAAACAAAAAGATGTTTTGCGTCACACTGGCAGGTTTTGTTGGCACGTCTGCCCAATGCAACAAAACAACAATAAAGCATCAAGATGAGGTTCGCCATGGATCCCATTAATACAGTTGAGGCCTTCATGATAGTGCTATAGTTCTTCAATTGCTGAAGCAAGTGAGGCATCTGCAAATGCTAATAGAAGACAGTGGATGCATAGTGAAGTTTTTTAAAAGTAGTGGCAGCTGGCTGGTCAAAGAAGACCCTGAATAATGATTTAATAATACTAAAGAAGTTTTAAAGTGAAAATTAAATAGAAATATGTCACTGTTTACGTGTTACATTTTAAATTATTATTGCTTCATGATTTATTTCAATTTTTACTTGAAATTATATAAGCTCATTTGAGCACTAATTTGGCCAGCAAAGATCCCCACCAAACAGTTGTCCATTTCTAGCAAAAGCCGAAATCTTGCTGCTTGTTGGGCGTTTAGGCCAACGGCTAACAAAACGAGTAACATGTTTGGAGGAAAGTGCCCAATGCGCCACCACCTTTAGCCTAACTTTTTTTCTTTTCTCTTTTTTTAACGGGAAACAGCCCACCCGCGCACAGGTCATCAACCCACAACGGGGCCTAGGGGACAACAAAATAAGAGTAAAAAGAAATTAAAAATAGAAAAGAAAAAGATTATATAAATCTACACCACAAAAATGCTGGTAAATCAGCTTTTTAAATTGAGACATTGTATGAGTATGGAAACACAGAAGAAGGCAGAGCATTCCACAGTTTGGCTGTGTGAGGAAACAAGGATGTACTATAACGGGTTATTCTAGTGTACCCGACAACCACAGAGAAACTGTGGGCAACGCTGGCAAGATGAGTGTTACAAGCCCACGGCCTTGCCGGCAGTACACAGGATGCCTAATCCACAAAACATTGCCCGTTAAAGTATCTGTAAAAGAGAGAGAGTGAAGCAACATTGCAGCGAAGAGAAAGGGAAGAGAGATTATCAACTAGAGGAGAGTCAATAAGACGAAATGCCTTTGATTCCACCCTATCTAACAGTTGGACAGAAGAAAAGCCACCCCAGATATGAGAGCAGTACTCCAAGTTAGGGCGAATGAATCCCTTATAAACTTGAAGCAACTGCTCAGGAGTGAAGTAGCTACGGCATCTGTACAGCATTCCCAGCTTTCGGGAGGCAGCTTTAGCAATGTGTGGCTTCCATGACATATTAGAGGAAATGGTGAGGCCTAGCAAATCTATTTTAGAACTTGGCAGAATGATTGCATCCTGAAATGTGATTGGTGGGACATCTTATATTAATTCTGCTCTCATACATTTTTTACAGTCCAGTACAGTACAGGTATAAAGATTTTTTTAAAAGTCAACAAAGCATATGTATACAAATTTCTTTCACTCAAAATTCCCCAACCAAATATTGTATAGCTTTTGATAGGGTAAACACAATAAACTTCCATGTCTTGGAAAAAAATAGGCATTAATGAAGGAGATTTTAGAATTTAAAAAAAAATCTTTAGCAATGTTAGTAAAAAATGAACTTATAAATACAGTACTGTACTAGGTTCAAATTTTGACATGTAATAAGACACGGATGTGTTCTATTTCCAGCATTGTAAAATATATATAGTGTACAGGGGGAGTATTTAAAATATTTAATGAGAGAAATTCTATTCTCAGTAACAATGAAGGAATAAAAGTTAATGATAAAGTAATATCAATTATATATTAAGCAGATGATAATTCTCTATCACGGACAGTGAAGAGGCATTACAAAAACTGATGAACAAACTAGTGGAAAAGGGTGAAGAATATGGGTTCAAAGTTAATGCTGTAAAGACAAAAATAATGGATATTTCCAAATAAATCCTAAAATAAAATCTATGGTAAACAAAGGGAGACTGAAATAAGTGGAAAATTTTGTGTACGTATTTGTGAAGTAAAATTAGCTGTGATGGTAGATTGGGAGAGAAATCAAAACAAGAATAGGTCAAGCATAAACAGTAATTAATAATATACATGACCTAATAAACAAGGATATTACCTTCAATTTGAGAAAAAAGTTGTTGAAATGCTATATAAGGTCAGGATTGATGTATGGGTCAAAAGCGTGGACACTTCCAGCAGACACCAGAAAGAGGTTAGACGTAATTGGCTTTTGAAATGTGGTGTTATAAGTAAATGATAACAATAAATTACACAAACAGGAAACAAAGCGAAAAGTACTAAGATTGCCAAAAACTTCAAGAGAAATACTTTAAATTTATGGAACAAAGAAAATGAGACACTTTGGTCACGTTGGAAAAATTAAATTAAAAACTGGGTCCCCAAAAAGATGTTAAATCTTGAAGAAATGGTAAAAAAAAAAAAAGAGCCTAGTGGAGGATTGTGGTTGCCAACCCTGAGATATAAGGATGGCACTTTGATTGAGTGACATCATATGAAAATATACTTTTAAGCCTATAATGTATATGTAAAAGTAGGAGTCAATATAATTATGTCACAGCATTAACTCAGGACAATTTTTAATGTAAAAGCAGTGAGGGTGTGAGAGTACTGTGAACACGGCAACCAGAACTACGAGACGGCTGCCTAATTAAAGCTTTCCTGTGCTCACCATGGCTGCTCATCAATTTATCACACTCATTCTGAAATACTGTAAGAAAAGCCTTCAGCCTCAACACCTTTACTATAATGGAGTAGTTTGGGTTTACTGTTATATTCAAGGGCTGAGAGACAGAAATTTGAAGCCATAAATACTTCCCATTCTTTCCCAATATTATCAGCTTTAATGTCTGTAGGTCCACCATCTCCAGTTAGACAACCCTTGGTGAAAACATGAGTTTATTGTAGGTTTGGAACAGAGTAAAAAATATGGATTGAAATAATAAAAAAAATCTGCTTGGGTAGAGGTAATAAAAATACCTTGAAAGTCATATACAGTACTGGACTGAATTAAATTTCAATTTAAAAGGAAATGATTTACTGTATTTGAGTTTGTTTGTAAAGTCACAAACCAAACATCAAAAGCTAAAGTAGAAAGTGTACAACACAAAATGTAATTGACAGATGGCTGTAAGACCACAAGCATTCTTACACAGTACACCCTGTTGGGGGTATATAAAAAATAATGGTACAGTACCTGGAAACTGACAGTACCATAATCTGGCCACTGATTCACCAGATGCTTTTCACCTTCAATATAATAATTGGAGAAAGTATCGGCTGCAGCCAGGACAGCGATGGTGAGGTAATGCATGTATAAACTGACTAGTTGTTCTAGGGGTAACAACAGCACCAATACACCCTGGATCACCGCTGTGGAAGACAACAACACGTCAAAACTTTCCCCTTATGGAGGACGGGAAAGGTAGGGATGGCCATAGCCACTATATAACCTGCCAAAGTGAATATCTGTGGGACCTCATGAAGATTAGGAGCCCAGCTTATTTAACCTAATGATTAAATACCCTAATGCTAAATGGGGGGTTTAGGTTAGATAAAGTTAAGATTATGTTAGGTTACGTTAGCATTAGGGTGTTCAATTATCAGGTGATACAAATGGGAGCTCCTTGTCCTCTCTTCATGATATCCCATTTATAAGTCAATCACCACCAAAGGAAGTGAAATGACAATTAAACTGATAAATTCCTAACAGCTGTTCTTATAATTATGACAAAATACACATTACAACAGCAAATATATTTAATGCAGGGACATCCTACCTACCAAAACTGATCTGGTAATTACAATGACAGGACAAAACTCTTCCCTGTTTAGTATACAGTACAGTACAGTACAGTACAGTACTGTATGTATTTTAAAATGTCATTAACAGTCTGTACAATACTTTATCTTCCTTTACATTCAAAGTGAAGTATGTGTGTAATTTTCACATGGCTTGAGTGATGAACAAAGTACTGTTCTGTACTATACTACAAACTTGACTCACCAAATATTGCAAACCCAGACGATACAACGTCCGCCCAAGCCAAGGATCGAGGAATACAGTTGCGAATATCATTTTGATACCAATAATCGAGAATAAAATAGCCGGGGACTCTCAAGATTACAGTCGCTATGGCCTCAAACTGTTCACCCTTCAGCTTCCATCCTCGAGCCCCTGAAACACAAGGTATAGAATCACTATAGTATTACCTAAAAGTACAATGCATAGATGTATAAAAAACCAAAACATATACACTGTATCAGCATTATCATCTGTAATATAATAAGAACATTTCACCAATAGCCTTATTATACTACTGCCACTTTAATCATGAACCAGATCATGAAGATGAACGAAGATTATTTCATCCATGTTTTAATTTGTACAGTAGTTTCCAAATCTGGAACCTGTTGATACATTTTTTTTCTACCTGTGCCACTGCCCATGTGCCTCTGGTGCTCTGATGAAAAAAGCAAACCATCACTTAACTTTGTCTGACTTTAACAGGAACAAAAGATTCAGCTTTGTCAACTGCACCTAAACTCAAATATTATTGACTATAGTACAGTGATATCTCCGTTAGCCGGAACAATTTGTCCAGAGCACTTACAGGAATGAGAGATTTCCGGGTAACGAGACAGCCCTCTCAAAGCAGGAAAAAAATTCCTCATCCCCGGAATTTTACGAGTAATGAATTTTTTTTTCGGAAGTTGCAGAATGATGCATTATTTCATCTCTCAAAGCCAGAAATAAATCCCTAATCCCTGGAATTTTCCTGGTAACGGAAATATGTTCTCGTAAGTTCCAGAATGATGCATTACAGTAAATACAGGTACTGTACTTCACTTTAAAAAGTTTCAAAATAACGATTCATAACAATAACGAGTCTTAACGACAGTAATGAAAAGCCTGGTATGCCAACCAACCTAAATATCTTTGCTCACTTCATACCTGACTGTAACCTAACCATCGACAGTGACTTGTGATTTACCTCTGTATTATTTTTTACTTTTATCTTCTTCGCCACTGATCGGCTCATTAGCCGCTTGGGTGATCGGTCATGTCTCTGTTACACACTGTTGGCAAATACTAGACATGCACTGTCTCCTGAAAATATCTGAACCTGCTCCAGTGTTGGTCAAGTCTGGTCTTGAAAGAGCTCACACTCGGTGCCGTCACAACACTCTCTGGCAGGTTGTTCTAAGAGTTCACAACTTTCACTCCGGAAATGTTAGCCCTCACATTTTTCTGGACTTGCGGCTTCTTCAACCTTGAGTTGTGACCCCTTGTGGGGCAAGCGTTCACCAGCTCCAAGTAAGGACACTCAACTGAAATGTGCCCTTTGAGGGATTAGGGTCATCTCATACCCAACTCACGAGATAACTCATACCCAAGATTACTTGCAGCCAATTCAAGAGATAATCCATACCTATTAGTATATGTACCCTTCGCAAGTAGCTGCTGTCACAGCATTATTATTGCTTATTACGAACTATTCAGGGCCGGATTAAGGGAGGGGCACAGGCGGCAAATGCCCCGGGCCCCCTCAGACGGCAATGAAGGTTAAATTTGTATTTAACACGATGATTTACACTAGAAATACCTATTTTCAAAATTCAGCTGTGGGCAGAGATCACTGGGCCTAAGTCACCAAGGACCGACTTCACTGGCACCCTCTCAACTACTGCTTATTTCCAACAGCAAAGAAGGTCACATTTGCATTTAACATGATGATTTACACAATAAAAACCCATTTTCAAAAGTCAATTAGGTGGTGGCAACTTCTAAATTTTGACCCCATGAACTTCAGTTCATTGTGAACATACAACCCAAGGTCCTTTTTTGCGGTCCGAATAATTACCCAAATGTACCCAAATGTAGCCGCAATGAAGTCAAATAATGGTCCTACATGAATAAGTCGGGTTACCAATCACTTCTCGACTAGTATTTGGTGTCACACAGTCACAAAAAATTGGAAAACTTACTTTAATCTGAGTTAATACATCGCGCGCATGAACCGAGGGAGCGAGGAATTACCCAAATGTAGTCGCAATGAAGTCAAATGATGGTCGTGCAAGCGTAAATCGGGCTGTGAATCACTTCTTGATTATTATTTGGTGTCATAGTCACAAAAAATTGGTAAACTTAATTTAATCTGAGTTGTGTGGTGTTAGGATAGGTTATGTTAGATTAGGTACATGCACTTGATCTATTAACTCAGATTAAATTAAGTTTACCAATTTTTTGTGACTTCGTGACACCAAATACTAGTCGAGGTTAGGTTAGGTTAGATTAGGTTTGGTACATGCACTCGATCTATTAACTCAAATTAAATTACGTTTTCCAATTTTTTTTTACTTTGTGACACCAAATACTAGTCGAGAAGTGATTGGTAACCCGATTTATTCATGTAGGACCATTATTTGACTTCATTGCGGCTACATTTGGGTAATTAGTCGGACCCCCTTTTTTGCGTTCGGTCTCAATTTATGCAGTTTTTTAGTCTAGCTGGAACATATGATATGCCTCCTTACCATTGGTACGTCCTAAGTGCATCCTCTTACACTACATGACACTGAATCTTAGCAGCCATTTCTTTGACCATTCTTGAAGCTCACAGGATAAGGAATTAACGTACTATCATTTTGCACTGGCCTAAATGTCCCTTCTGTTTCATTTTCAGATACTATTGTAATGCTGTAGGACAGTTATAAGATGAATAAAGCCTCGTTAGTTTCTGGCTCACTCTATTTCATTACAAAGTCGTAAATAATTACCCAACTAAGACCATCCGTCTATCACCTACACTTAATTACTACCGTAGACAAATTCCACAATCATATACATCAACTGAGGTACAACTACCATTTATATTCATCTTATATGAATGATAAAGTAATCATTGACTCACATTTACCTCTTATACGCCGACGAATACTGTAGTCCATGATGAATCATTAAAAGTGAGTGTTACCCCATCACTGTGACCACCCATGACACTACACCAGATGGAGTCAGTCACGCCATAAAACAAAACATGGATAAAAACAATAATCTTATAAATTCGTCATTTAAGTTCATATTAGTTCATCGTATACATAGATAGTGAGAGCATGCAAAAACTCGTGAATATAATCACTCAATAAAACTGTTATAAGTTTAATTCCACTCGGATCCCAGTGCAAACACCAAAAGGGAAAAAAAAAACGTTTAGAATCTACCATTAACACAGAGTTACAAGTTTTCTAAATTCAAGAAATTTTATTAAAAAAAGTTCGCCTCTGAACAATCGTGTTATTTGCGTAATTGCCATTGTACTCGTTTTTACCTTGCTCCTCTGCTTATTTGCATTTAGACATCATAAGAAAACATCAGTAAATATTTCATAAATCTATTACTATTGTTACGTATGTTTTCGAGCACACATTAAAGCATGTACTATAATGATACGGAGTCAGTATCAGTATTATTGACCGATTCATGAGGGTCTCTCAGGCTCTCGTGACGCCAAGGAAAACAGCACCAATGTGCTATGACGTCCCTGCATGTTGTTGTCACGCAAACGTTTGAGTTTGATTGGGTAAAATAATGTTTAATTCCTGGGATCACGTGAAGAATCGTAACTCCAGAGTTTGGCAGAATGACAATTTTTCAGGTGGGACAACCTAGGGTGGCGGTTCTTCAGGTGGCAAAACCTGGGGTGACCATTCTACAGGTGGGATCAGGACCTTCCACGGACCAAGGTGGTCAATTTTCAGGTGAACCTCACCTCACCTTGGTGAAGCCAGAACATTGATACATTTGACTATGCAGGATAAGAAGAAGAGGGCTCGCAAATATATAGTCATAATCATCGTTTACTTTTATCCTCTTCACAGATTGGCTCGTTAGCCGCTTGGGCGAGCGGTCACGTCTCTGTTACGCACTGTTGGCAAGTACTGGCTCCTGATTGTATCTGAACCTGCTCCAGTGCTTGTCAAAACTGGTCTTGAAAGAGCTCACACTCGGTGCTTTTTCTTTTTCTTTTATTCTCTTCACCACTGATCGGCTCGTTAGCTGCTTGGGCGATCGGTCACACCTCAATTAGGTCGCCCCTTGCCCGTCTGTAGTGTAAGTTAGGCAAGTTCAGGCGCTCCAATCTCTCGGGGTAGTTGAGGTGCTGAAGTGCAGGCACCAGTCTGGTGGCCCTCCTTTGAACATTTTCAACCAACTGACAGTCCCTAGCATATCTCGGGGACCAGATGGGGAAGCACTTCACTCTTGAAGATTGTTACGAGGGACATAATAATTTAGTTGCCTGATTCACCTTCTCTCAATGGCCTGAGAACTTCAGCTTGTTGTCAACATACACACCCAGGTCCTTTTCACATTCAGTCTCAATAAATACAGTTTCTTCGTCCGTTGGGACATATGAAACGCCTCCTTACTGCTGGTATGCCTCTTACACTTCGTGACATTGAATCTTAGCAGCCCTTTATTCAACCATTCTTGAAGCTCACAGAGATCCTTCTGCAGCTCTTCACAGTCTGCTTGGTTCTTAATTTCCCAGTCCACAATGGCATGCAATACATTTCAGACTGTCATCCTACCACTGTTGTGATGGTGTAGCATACTGTATGTGGCCAGTTGTCAAGTTTGTCTATTTTCTCTTTGTTAGGCTCACATACATACGTACATGTAGGAGATCTCGTACTAAGGATGGAGGTGAGGGACCCAAATCCAGTTCGTAAGTCAGAATGGTCATAAGTCCGACATAGATATAAAAAAAAAAAAAAAAAAAAACTACAATGAAATACAGTACAGTGAAAGTAATAAATAATGAGGAATGGATACAGTGTGACTGAGCACTTACCTTTAATGTAGTCAGCTGAATGCACATGGGGCCCACATAATTTTCTAATTATACATGGAGACGACATTAACTGGAAGAAGCAGAGGAGGAGACAGGGCTGGGTGGGTCATCAATGTCGCTTTCTTCAGACAGGTTTATGTACTGTGGAAACTTGCTGGTTGAAGGTATTGGATCATCTTGAGGGAGTGAAGAGGCAGCACTGGTGGGGTGTGAGGAGACAGCACTGGGGGACTTCTTAAATTAGAAGTCCAATTTAGACTGAACAGTTTGTTTTTTCTTTTCATCCAAGTGCATCTTGGATCATTCTGTCAACTTTGGCATAATGCTCATAATTTTGATCCTTGCCATCAAACATTTGCATTCCTTTATTAATTGTAGCAAATGCCTCTGCCATTTGCTTCACTGAAAACTTTTTGGGGGGAGTGGAGGTCCTTCTTGTACATTTAGACTGGCTTCTTCCTCTGCATCTTTGTGTGCTTCCAGTTCGATGAGATCTTCGTTACTGAGCTCTTCTGCTACACTTCAACCAACTGTTCAACATCTTCATTATAAATTTCTAACTCCAGCTGTTTACCTAACATTCCCCCCCAACAGAAGTGTAATTCTGTCCTTGAATGCCTCGAATCCTGGCATTGTTTTCGCCTCTTTGTGGATGTATGTCCGCTCAGGCATGCACTTCCACAATAATCCAGTCTCATCCACATTGAATATTTGCTCAGGCAAATAATTCCCTTCCACAATCACATGATCTAACTCCTCCTTAAAAGCTTTGGCAGCACCAACATCAGCACTAGCTACCCCTCCACTCAGCTTAACATTGTGTAGACTGTAGCATTTTTTAAATCTATTAAACCACCCATGACTTGCTGTAAAGGTTTGCTCACATTCCTCTCCTGTCTGCTCCTTCAGACTTTGGAACAGGCTTCTTGCTTTAGCCTGTAAGGTTAGAAGGCTTAAGGGTACACGCTTCTGTTTCTGGTCTTCTATCCATATCACCAATAATTTTTCCATATGGTGAATAGGACCTTGTCTTTTCTTTGAAATTTTAGTTCCCTTTATAGGTGTTGTTCCTTTCACGACATCACGAATACGTTCCTTGTCTGTAAAAACATGATTACAGTGGTGTAGGCAAGCATCGCTGACATACACCGTACATCTACGAAATAACAGCTTACTCACTTCACGACGTCCTCACCTCAAGAGTGGCGGAATGAACGAGGCGAATGCAGACTGATGTCACTTCATAGGTGCACGGCATATGACTTGACTCTTGCCTACACCCATGCTGCTGCTCCTCCACCTCACTTACCACACCTATTACTACTGGTTTTATTACAGCTACTACAGAGCAGCTGTTATACAGCAATGACACCAGGGCTCTCATAGAACTGTTACATAAGCTTAAGTGTGCAGGGAAACTATGTAATGTATGGGTTACTTTATGCAAACAGTGTAATTAAAATGTTTATTATACAAGTACATTCATTACAAATCAAGTTGATAGAATACATGGAAATGCAAAATGAACAAAATAGTACTAATAAGTGTGGAAAGCATTCGCTCATGACTGTTGGTGACACAGTGTCTCAGGTTTGTTTATATTCTGTGAGCGCAATAATAGGTTAAGATAAAGTAGAAACTATTTTACATAAACTGATATTTATACTGATAGTATAGTCACGGATATACTGAAAACAAAATGAAGGAATGTGTATGATAAACGTCCGTGTTATATTTTTGACGTACAGTACCACCTATAGTCATTTTCCCTACCAACATTTTCAACAAAGTCTCCCACTCCCCCAAATTGAACCCCTGCCCCTCATTTCTATGTTGATTTATGACCCTGGCTGAAAGAGATGTTGAGTGAAACACTGAGTTCAATACTCTGTTAGTATTCTTCTGATGAGCACTTGCTGTGTTTTGTCCAAGGCCAAACCCACAACCAAGGGCAGATGCATCATTGCCTAGTTCAGCTTGCCTCAGTATTTCTTATTTTGTTTTTAATGTTAAAACAGTCCTCTTTCACTTCAGCAATGCATAAATAGTGAGGTTAGGAGATGAAATAGAAAGTGATTTTGACAACATTGCACTCGTCAACAGTATTGGCAATTCCACTACAAGATGAGGTGAGAGTTATGTAGGTCCACATTAAACAATGGACACTGAGTGAGGGAGCATGTGAGTTTTCTTGTGTGGCCATTCACTTTCCACATGGCCTCACACACACATACAGAGGGAGTCTTCACACACTTAAACTGGTCACATGTGCTTTGCATCTCCAACCCATTCAGCCAGCCACATGATGGTAAACTTTTCTCTCACAAATATAGAAAGTGGTAGAAATAGGGTCTTTGCACAACACCAAAATTGTATTAAGTCAAGTCACATAAAACAAACGACAAACTGTATTTCAAATAATTATTTGTATGGTTCATCGAAACAGGTTAGTAAATTTGCATTTATTTTATTTAAAAAAAAGTGTCTTGTATTTTACAAAAATAAAATGAACCTTTCTTAGACACAAGGATATACTGTAATCTGAATTTAATAGCCTCATGTAAAATAATTTAGGAAGGTATAAATAACTTTCTCAGCTAGTGATGTGGTTCTTCATGTTTTCTTTTTCTTTTAACTTTTTTAAAGTAAAATACAGTACAGTACTTATGGTAGGTGTTTTCATAGATAAGGAGGCCAACTGTGATTCTCAGTGGTTACATTTTTCTCAGCAATTTTTTTTTTACTGTTGATACAGTGGACAGGAAATTTTTCATTGTATGATTTCAGGATAAAGGAGGAAAAATCTTTAGGACAAAGAAAAACACGCACGCACGCATGCACACACACACACACACTACATCCTTGACCACTGAAGGGTCAAGACATACCTGGCACTCCTCTGGGAGCAGCCAGGTCAACTGATAAGTTGGCCCATACCAACTCCCTCCCCTGAACCCTCCTCCCCACCGGAATATCAACAAGTTCTCGCCAGAAGTTACAATTTCATTTAGGAAAGGAATGGAACCAGTGTTGAACAGAGGTGAACAGTGCTTAAGTCAGTGAGAACAACTCAACAGTAACAGCCTCACACAGTGAGGTCCCAGGTACCCAGTGATAACTGCCCGTGAGACCCAACAACAACCAGCGATGTGTTAATCCGTCTACGATAGGAAGGCCTGGGACCACACCTCACTCATATAACACCATCTGTGAGGGAATTACTACATCACGTGATGCCCCTCATAACACCATCTGTGAGGGAGTTACTACACCACGTCAGGTCCCTCATAACACCATCTGTGAGGGAATTACTACACCACATGAGGTCCCTCATAACACCATCTATGAGGGAACTACTACACCACGTGAGGTCCCTCCTAACACCATCTGGGAAGGAACTACTACACCACGTGTTTGCTGTTCAACACCTACATTAATCTGTATGTTCCTTTAACTTTCTCTAATGAAGGCTTTTGTTAAATCACCAATGTATGTAATAAGTCATTTCCAATGTATATTTTCAGCCTTCGGGCTGCAGAACTTTTTCAATAAACCGTTAATTATTATTATTATTATTAAATAATCACGAAAATATACTCATTACTTTGAGCCCCAAAATTTAGTTGTTGCCATTACTCTAGACAAAAAAAAAGGTGTGACATGAAATGACACCATTAAGAGAGATTTTCCTCTCTGTCTTCAAGTTGAATCTTATTCAGTGTACATGAAAATGAATGATAACAAACCAGCTTTGAATACTGTGTGTCTTTAGGTGTATCCCAGCATAATTTTTATTTTTTTAAAAGAGCTTCATTTCAAGTTCCTGTTGTAATGTTTGGAACACGTCATGATATTACAACTGCCTCGGAAGTTCTTTAACCCTTTCAAGCGAGTTTTCTCAGATCTTGTGTGCCCCCTGGAATGGCATTTTGGAGGAAATATAAAATAAGAAAGTTTAAGTAGATTTATTATGCTAGGCAGCCATCCTGAGTACCATATAACATGTTGCTCACCCACAGTTTATTTTAACAAAGGGTCTTAATCTTTTCTCCAAGCTCATCTTCCAGATTAGTTTCTTTGCCTTATTTCTAAGTTTGGTATTACTACAGACAAAACAGCCTCTGTGAGACCATGGATGATGAGCTGGATTTGTAAGTGCTTGGCAGTGAGTAAGTGAGGGTTAAGTGGGCAGAGCCAGGAATGAGAGAGAAAATCATATCAACTCCATCATATCAAATACTAAATATGGAGAAGAATATGATCATATACTTCTCCGGAGACAATACCAGTCTAGAGTATAGAAAAGTTAAGATTGGTTAACTGAGGATGTGAGAGTTTGGGATTTGGAAAATTCTCCTGTCAGAAAAACCCAAGTCCTAATGCTGGCCCACCTTGTTCCCATCTAAGAAATCTGACAATACAACTTTTCACATATCCGTTGAGACATTGTTACATAACTATTTGACAAATTTCATAACCGAATGACAGACAGAACACACATCGAATGACAATCTAAACTAACTGTTCGTTCATGCAAACGGAAGTGATTGACATAAGTTATGAAGTTGACAGACGTGAACAATAAACCGACAGTCTACATATAGTTTGAGAATGTAATAATTGGAGAATGCCATACCACCAACAGTTATTTTAGATTGTCATTCGATATGTGTTCTGTCTGTCATTCGGTTATGAAATTTGTCAAATACTGTAGTTATGTAACAATGTCTCAGCGGATATGTGAAAAGGTGTACTGTACTCGTGAAAGGGTTAAAACTACAGTCATAAATCCCCGCAAAAAATATATTTATAAATACTAACTTAATAATAAGTGAATTCATTAATCTCTTCAAAGATATATCTCCAGTGCCAATCTCAGGTATGACTTGTTGAAAAAATTTCAGTATTTGCCCAAAATACAAAAATGATTCAGATCATAAATACTTTCTTATGAATACTTTAGATACCAATTACTTTTATCTTGATTCAAACAATAATTCTCTCCATAAGCACACCTTGAGTACCAATACTATTTGTACCTGAAAATTAAAGAAAAATCCATAGAGCAGTTTTTTAAATATGACTCATCTCTCCTTCTACAGCTACCTACCACTACAGTACTGCACCAGTAATACAACAAAACAGATCTCCATACTGCTCTTAAGATTTTATCTAAGAGCTAATAAAATTTAAACTAAAACTGATGGTTCCTACTTTACAGATCACCAAAGAAAATTATTGGAATTAATCTGATGGAAAATACTGGGTGTTCAATAAGTAACACAGCTGACAGAACCATACACTATGTTTTAAATATATTAACATAACCCATTGTTTTTGTCTCAGTTATAATGAAGAGCAAGAATAGTGTTTACAGCTAAACAGAACTCTCATGATGGAGAGTTCCATCATGGTTATTCTAGTCCAAGGATTGTGTTACTCACCAAACACCCTAATATAACACCAATCCAAAGAATACAGCCCATTGCTCTTCCATTACTATATTGTACACTCCAGTTATCTTGACAGTGTTATGCCTTTACTCATCACGATCATTGTGTCAACTTTATTACTGTACTTGATTACAATACTATTACTACTCGCTTAAATGAATTACAGTTTACATCTTTTTTAAATCTTAAAAAATGATGCTCATTCATTGAACATCTTGAGTGAAATATTTCAACAAAGTACCATGTGGAAATTTTGAAACATACAGTATCACCATTTGGCCCCCTAATTTAGAGAATGGCCCACTTACTTAAACGATGGCAGTATATAAGAGTCTTGGAAAGTTGAGGATAGTCCAATTCACATAGGTTATCTGGCCTGGATAAATACTGTCTCTTGTGGAAATAACCCTGCTTCTTTTAAAGTTAAACTAAAGTCCAAGTAAGAAACTTCACGCCGGGGGAAATTTGTAACCAACTCGTATTGGTCATTGCTGTAGCCTTTACTGCCAACATACTTCACCAGAGCCTGTAAAGAGAAAACCACCTTGACATTCTAGCAAGTAATGATTGAAGGAGAGTAATATGTTATTAATGGGTGATGGGGTGTAACATGTTATTAATGGGTGATGGGGTGTAACATGTTATTAATGGGTGATGGGGTGTAACATGTTATTAATGGGTGATAGGGTGTAACATGTTATTAATGGGTGATGGGGTGTAACATGTTATTAATGGGTGATGGGGTGTAACATGTTATTAATGGGTGATCTCCCATTTTCTCCGTCACCTTGAACGCCATTCTCTTTTGTCGGGTCACCAGTATGGCTTTCGCCAGGCGAGATCTACTGGTGATCTACTCTCCTACTGCACCCATCTTTTGTCATCCTCTCTTAGGGATTATGGGGAAATTTTCGTAGTGGCCCTCGACATCTCCAAAGCATTTGACAGGGTATGGCACAAGTCTTCAATTTCATATGGAGAACCATCATTATGGGTGTAAACACTAATGAAAGCAATGCAGTCTCATACGTGCTTTGGCCATGCACAATCTGATTCACTTTTTTCTTTACCATCAGTGGTTACTGCTGCTGTACATTAAATATTAAAAATTAAAACATACAGTATAGTCTGGATTTACGCGGTTTTTGTTTACGCGTTTGGTCATTTACGGGGTGCCTTGCCAGAATGAAATGTTTTAATTACGAGGTAAATTTCATCATTTACGCGGGAAGCGGCGCGGACAGGGTGCGCACAAGGTAGCCCAGTCATCAAAACATTACCGAGTTCTTCACCCGCCACCCACCACAGCCGGCCCAAGTCAGTGATAGTGAGGGTATGGACTTTGAGGGGTTTGACAAAGAGGCCCTGCAAGCATCTGTGGTGGATAGTGATACAATTGATACAAGTGATACAGGTGAAGGCCAATAATCTGCCCTCTGCCTCGGAACCAACCCCCATCCCCGTGTGCCCAGCCATCTTTTCTACTAACGTAAGTGTTAAAAAACCTAATATTATTGATATTTCTCTTAAATATTAATTGTGTGTGCATACCATCATAAAATTAAGATGTTATTTTTACTACAACGTACGTATTGTGTCGGAAAAAGTGGAGTTTGAGGGTCGGCCCAGTCTCTATTTCAATTAATCCCATATGTTCTGTTATTTCGTTTACACGTTTCTGGTTTTACACGGACCTCCACAGGTTCAATTGACTGCGCAAATGCAGACTATACTGTATATTTTTTACATTAATTTTACTGCAGCAACAACCATAGTCTTATTTTCTTCAGTTTCAGACAGATAACTGTCATCAAGGGTGTAAACACTGAAGACAACAATGGTGCCCCGTCTCCTTTTGTAACCATATTATTATTGATTTATATTGCATATGGAGCACTTATAAACATTATTTAAAGAATATAATTTTAATTTTTTATTATTTTTTTTGTGGGGGGGGGGGTAAAAAGCCACACAAAAGATATGAAAAGGTCCACACTAGGGAATGCATCTCATTACTATTGCTTTATCTTAATGGTAATTAATGATTCACCTTACACTGCAATATTGGAGGACACATTACTGTCATTATTCGAGGCTTTACTGTACGCATAGTATTCACTCGAAATTACGAGTTGAAAAATATTTTATACCTTATGATAAATTTTTCCCCACTTTCTATATGTAAGATTGAGTCTTGATAAAATCACACAGGGAAAGGGGAAACAATGGAGAACCTTAGCTTTCGTCTTTATTCAAGACATCTTCAGAGGCAACTGAATTACAAAGACTAAGAGAGGCTTAACATGACTAGTTATGTCGCCCGTTCTTATAAGCTCTTCCTATGTTTGCGTTGTGTTGGTGTGTGGATTAGTGGATGTCATGATTTTGGCCTGACCTCATGTTTTGTAAGGTCACCCTGTGTACATAAGCCTATCTCAGTCTTTGTAATTCATTTGTCTCTGACGACGTCTTGAATAAAGACGAAAGCTAAGGTGCAACATTGTTTCCCTTTTCCCTGTGTGATTTTATCAAGATTTATCTTATCCATGATTCCATTGTGGATCTACATGAAGTAAGATTGAGTGTGTAACAAAGTAAATAAAATGAAGAAAATTACGTTCCTGTATATCTCCTTGAAATTACGAGTTGAAAAATAACCATAACATAGCAAATGGCTCACAGGTGGGGAATGGTTGGAAATACTGTACGTATCCTCGCCTGGCACGGAATTTTAATTTATTTATTTACTTATTTACTTATTGAGTTTTAAGGGGAATAGCCCACCCGGGTACAGGTCATCGACCGATAACAGGGCCTGGGGGCAAAAAAATAACACAAAAAAATATTAAAAGTAAAAGTAATAATACTAATAATAATAATAATAATAGTAAAATAGAGGAGAAAACTGTTAATCTACACCACAGAGATGGCAGAAAACCATTTTTTTTTTAAGTGAGACAGATTGTATGAATATGGAAACACAGAAGGCAGAGCATTCCACAGTTTGGCTGTGTGAGGAAAGAAGGATGCACTATAATGAGTTATTCTAGTGCAGCGGTTCTTAACCGTGGGCAGGGGGAACCCAGAGCAAAAATAAGGAATGGCTTTAACAGGTGTGTGTGTGTGTGTGTGTGTGTGTGTATGTCCTTACTTGGATTTCAAAAAGTCGTAAATGGTAACTACGTCAATCAAAATGTAAAATTCCACTAAAAGTGACTGAATTAAGGTAGTAATAATGTCGGGAACTGTAAATCAAGCTGTTGGGATTCCGACGATGTTTGGATCTACGTATCTTTGTGAGGCTGCATTTTCTGCACTGGTTTGCTGTCAAGACCAAATACAGAAACAAGCTGAACGTTGAACGGGGGCTTACGCTGCGATCTCTCTGGCACGTGGCACGTATTCAGGATCTGGTAGCTCAGAAGCAGTGTCAAAAATCTCACTAAATATGTTGTGTATTAACGAGTTGCTTATACAGACTCTTTTGAATAATTAAAGTTATTACAGTAACGAATGAAAAACTAGTCTCTCAATTTTCCTATTCAATTCACGAGGAAATCATTTTAGAATTTTTAGATTTAGAATTTTATATGAAGGAAGGAGAGGGGCGGGGGCATGGAGATGAGGACCAACTGCTATAGGGGGCGTGACCCTAAACAGGTTAAGAACCAATGTTCTAGTATGACCGACATCCACACAGAAACGGTGGGCACTACGGGCAAGACAAGTGTTACGAGCCCACGGCCTTGCTGTTGGTACACAGGACACCGAATCCACCGAACATTGCCTGTTAAAGTACCTGTAAAAGAGAGTGAAGCAACAATGCTGCTCATTTTAAATAGCTTGTTCCAGAAACCAGGACACCAGATAAATGGTCTCATACCTGTACTTACATCACAGTGCCATTGTTTAGTAGGAAAAGGAGATTAACCTTATATGTACAACAGCTTTCACTTTACCTAATTTATAATAACTAACAATATCTGTTTTGATATTTTTCTCAATCAGGTTGAGAGCACTTTTCTGTTATAGCACAAGTTTGTCTTAACCAAAAGAAACCTTCTCCCTCCCATTTGCTGCCACTCGTTCATTCTAGCTGATATGGCCTATGCTGATATGTACAGCATAGGTCTTATATCCACATTGTAGCAAGGGCATTTTCATAAATAACTCATCTCCAAACTGTTTGATTGTGTTGGAACACACTTGCTTCCTAGCTTACCATCCCTATCCTACCGCTGTACATTTTTTTTTTCATCAGTATTACGGTACCAATCTTTTGCATTCTCCCATAGCATGTATCTTGAAGACCTCTGGCCTACTGGTGTCTAAGGAAAGTGTCCACACTTCTGAGCCAAACAAAAATACTATACAGTACTGGCCATACATTCAATTTCAACAGCCTTTAATAATTACATTTAAACAAAAAATACAAGACCTAGCTTAATTCATGACACTGGCAAACTCTCAATAAAACAGATCCAGAGGTGACATATTATACTCTTGTAAGCAGTCAGGAAAAATAGATAGATTTAAGGGACACAACCATAAAATGTAAATTATCACAAGTGAACTTGATATAATTTCTTATAAGTACAATTCTTGAGAAATTTTAAAATAATCTGTTGAGTGAAATGGAAACCAATACATGGAACCAAAATGAGTTAACAGATAACAGATAATGGACATCGCCACACCACAATAAGATAGCATATACCGTACAGTACGGCTGTTTAAAGAATTTCAACATGAACCAACCATTAGTTTAGATGATGATGGCATGGACACAATATCTCTGGAACCATCTGGCAGTCTCAGCATCAACTTAGACTCTGGATCAGTTGGGGAGCCAAGATAAGATTTCCATCCCTCTTCACTGCTACTGCTCAAGTTTTCATTATCTGATGATTTTTCTTCATCGTGTACATTATTACTCTCGTTGTTTTTATCTTCGTCCACACTAGTGATGTTCTTATGTAAAACTTTATCACCATTGAATGTTCTCTTTGTAGTTTCCTTATTTGCAAGTTTATCTTCGACGGAATAATCGACTTCGTCAGTGTCAGAGTCGAATGTCTCCAGCGTATCCGAGTCTTCTTTCTCGTCCTCGTCAGCAGTTGTTGGAAGACTGGATTTACTACTCGTATCTTCAGCAAGTGAGGCTTTAATTGCGGCTTCTATCTGGGATGCCTCGTCAGCCTCCAAGATGCTGTCATTCATTTCCTGATAATATTGATTGTAATAATTATCGACAAGAAGGACTTACATACCATTACTCTCACATCAGTTTATTTATGTTAGAGGAAGAATCTATAAGCTTCTTGTTTATTCATTAATTTATACAAAATCTAATAGTGTGTTCATTTTTCTGTGAAGAAAAGTAATGCACACACCATACTCAAGCTTGATAAAGATAACAAGAAGTTTCTCATAAATTATTGTTCTTAAATTATTTTAGAATTTGAGCATAAACAAAATAAAATACTGTACGACTAGAGCATTCAAATTAAAAGCATGAAAAGACAGGGTTAAACCTATCCCTTCATAAATATTGTATGAATCTTAATCCCACTTCTGTCTTAACATATTTTACATATAATAACTATAGATTTAATAATACCGGTAATTGAAAATATGCTGTTGCTGACTTGGGGATTATTGGAGTGTTAGCAGATATTCTCAGTGTTCTACTGCAGGGAATATGGTAGTTTATAATTTGGAAGAGACTGGAACACCAGTGTGTAACATTTCCAGTACAGTTGTCCCATTAAATTATAAAGACTTCCAAGCCTCTAGCTTAAAAAGTCAAGGGTCCAACAAGTCTTCCCTTGTTAGTAAGTTTAACATTATTTTGTTATACATGTGTTTATAAAAAGATTTCAGTAATAGTTTTTACTACTAAAAGTTATTTTGTTATGCATGTGTTTATAAAAAGATTTCAGTAATAGTTTTTACTACTAAAAGTAACACTTGATTACTCAGAAGTTTTCAAAATGCTCAGACTCCTGACCTCAGAGTATCCATCAGCAAATTCTGTCTCTGCCTCATCATGTGAGTTTAACCACTGTGTGTAAGGGTTAAAATCTTGCACCACAGACCTGGGATCTCAAGTACTGTACCCAAAAGCCCTATGTAAGGGCGGTAACGAGCAGGATGATTGTTCGCCACCCGCTTGCTTGTTCGCGTCCCCCACTTGGGGGGATTAGACGGAGGTGAGAACGTCACTGCTGCCTCGCACACAGGCCAGATACTACCCAGCTGTCAGTACAGCTACACTACCCCGCTGTTCGTCAAATTCTGGTTGTGATCTCATCATAGGTCCTGGACTCGTGGGCTGTTTCCCCAGACCTTCACAAATCGACTGTCAATCTCCGGACACCTACCCCGACTACTACTGCGGCTGCCACATCATCGCCAGTTCCTCCATACCGTCCGTGCACCTGGCCATTTCTCCTGTGTAGCAAGACATCGCCCGCCAGCGCCGAGTGAGAGTGCTGACTTGACCTCCCACCCTGAGAGCGGATCACTTCTTTCCAGAGGACCGCCGCCGTAGGAAATAGCTGTTCATTGTTTGACTCCCTGAATTGTTTGACTCCATAATCGTTTGACTCCCGTAATTGTTATTTGATATTTGTTTGAGTGATGTCAGAGTTTTGTGTTATTTTTATAGTAAAGAGATGTCAATTTCGAACGGTTATTTGTTATCCCTCAGAAAACCATGGTTCTTGACTTTCCTTTTATAAGATCCTGATTAGGCTGGCAAGGGATTCATGTCCCTAAGTCCCAGGCCTTTACACTCTACATATAGAATTACCTTTTATACACTGTTTATATAACATGTAATGAATTCTTATGCTCCAGAGGTGATTTATTGTTTGCCTTGTGCATATTTCTTCTTTGGGAAGAATTAATACAAAAGACAGACATTATCTTAAAAGTCTGGCTTATAGCAATAGTTTTTAACCAGATTTTTTAAGGACAGAATCTTGAACACATGTCATATCATCAGGAATGTTCCATCAAGTAATAGAGTAGTGTATAATCCTCTTCTCAAAAGTTCAGGGGCCGCACACTCAAAACACCTCATCAGTTACGTAGAGTAGCAGAGATACAGTACTGTAACTTATGGACTCCTTACAGTCTCATAAATTTCTCATACTCAAAATTTAATTACAGTCCCATAAGCAGTCCGTAACTAATGTTTACCCTGTAAATTCAGTTCTCCTGTCTGAAGGTGTGGCAGTGCAGGAGCTAGTTGGCCAATCGTCACAATTAACAAAATCATCAACCAATCATAAGAGAAGGAGAAATCAGCTGAGATCGACGCACGTGATAGTTGCTAGACGTACTTCAAGATCCTTATGGTAGGTAATTCGTTAACCGAAATTTCGTTAATCGAACAGTTCGTTAACCGAGGAACCACTGTTTATACGGTACAGGGAACAGTTTTTGTGCGCCAATCAGCCAATTGAATCACCCACCAACGCTTCTCAGTTTAACTTTGTTTACAGTGGAGTGAACATCCAGTTTGTTGGTCTCTTGAATATTTTTGCATTTTTACATTAAAATTATTGGTCATTCTGAAATTTAATGAACATATTGATAATATACAGTGCAGAAATTATTATGAAACATGAAGAAGGCATTAGACCAACGCACTCTGTAAAGAATATGACATGTCATCATCGACTGCCTCAACAATCAGCTGTTTGATATGTAAACAAAGCTGCCAGGAATACGACAAACACCTCAAAGTAAGTTAAAATACAGTATTCTATTGTTTTTTATTTATTATTGTACAGTATAATATATAGTACAGTAACGTATTTAGTTTATATTTAATGATTTATTAATTCTATTACTGGTATACAGTACTTTGTATGTATACTTTTTCTGTGAGTTGGAACCAATTAGGGACCCAAATCCAGGTAGTAAATCGAAATGGTCGTAAGTTGGAAATGCTTAAATAATACTGTACATAGAAAATCGAAAATGGGTGTCTTTTTTTCTTCTCAGCACCACAAAACATTCACTTTTAAGCTTGCCAGCCATTTTAAAGTGAATTACAAAAGAAAATTTTGTTTGTGTACTGACTTTGGGACACGAAAATATGTAATTTAACCAAACTTTGGTACGACTGAGGCAGGTCGTAAGTGTGGGTGGTCGTCGTAAGTCAGGGTGGAGCTGTATTTAACTCTGATTCATGGGTACTTATTGGATACTTGGCAGAATAACTTGTTAAAACTTGGTCCTAACAAAGGCGGAGTCTAGGCAAAATGTTCACTTGACCTCATAATTGGCTTTCATTTAGATATTTACAGTTATACCACATTAATAAGGTCTATCTGCAAGTTTACTCAGTCAAAAATAAAAATTGTACCATAAATGTGGACAATAAAAATCTTCTATTTTGGTACAAATTACTTGAAAAATTGTAAGAAGACAAAAGCTGCGTCTCTTCCATTCAGCGAGAAACAGAAACACTCAAGCGTCTTCTTTTCGTAAAAAAAATTAACTACGGCAAACTGTAATATCGTATTTTAGTATGTTGATCTACAAAACATTTTCTTCATTATTCTATGATAAAACAAGTCTAACAAGCATTATTACAACATATATTATTAATTTTTCTTATGCAATCGGGAAATAGCAACTTACTATAAATGGGTTGAGCGTGTTACAGCACGTAAGGAGGTGCTGGGCTAGATTACGGGCTCACTTACGGAGTCCGCTGCCAACTATCTGTTTTGAGTACAGTATACCGATCAGAGACTGTAAGTCCAGTTACGGGGTAAACAAAGAGATACAGTCCCGTAAATGGTTTTGAGTATGCGGCCTCAGATGAATAAGTGTATGGTTGAACTGTTCCTTGATCAGATGAAAACACACAATACAAAAACTTTATGCTCATAGAGAAAGAAATAACTGGCATCCCATTGCATTTTGTAACAGAAGACTCCCCTAAAGCAAATAAAATTAAAAAATTGCACAGCAATTCGCATTTAAATTTTCTTAACTGTTTTACCCCTCGTTCCTTCAACTAGTGAAGATATGTATAAGATTAATACAATAATTCCTACTTAACTTATAGAACTTTTTAAATGAGTCAAAACACACCCACTGTACTTCTTTAATGTTTAAAACAGATTTTAAAGGTAACTATGGAAACAAAACAGCAACTAACCACTCTGGGTTTCTTGGGAGGTGGGGTACTCTCATCCAACCCCGGGTGAGCAGCTAAAAACTCTGTGACTAAGTCACAGAATGTAACAGCATCCAGCTTGTGCCACGTGATCAAACACTCTCCTGTCCTCGGGTCCAGTACTGCTACATGCGGCCACTCCGACACTTGGTAGAACATCATGTATCGCTGACCTTCTTCACTATCATGATAAACCTGGGACAAAAGACATTAAAATTGATCTGAACAATAAACAAATACATGGTAAAGTTCATTAACCTAAAGTGAATAATTGGGAATTGTATTGAAGAGGCAGTGGAGAAACTTGAGAAATGAAAGGAAGGAATAATCAAAGGGCCCGATAGTGAATGTGGCAAATACAAAAGTACTGATTAGTGGTGTGGGTGAGGGACCCTTGGCAGAAAGTGGAAAATGGCCAAGTGCTCTCTGTAAGAAATGTTGGCAGCTACCCAGTAATGTGCAAGAGGACCTCTCTGCATGATAGGAAAGGTGTAATGTATGCAACAGGAGTGAGAAGTGGGATGGACAGTTAAAAAGGATGTTATATGCAGGCTTAAGTGAGCTGACATGAGAATGGTGGGGTGGATGCTCAGAGCTATGAATGCAGCTGGGTACTGAGAGTATTGGTGAAGTTTTTGTAGAGGTTGACCGAGATGGTTACTGACATGAAAAAATGGATGAGACCAGCTGAGTCAAGAGGTTCAAGAGTCTAAATGTGGAAGGGAGGAGAGCTAGGAGTAGGCAAAGAATGCCAAGGGGAGAGGTTGTAATAAATTATATTAGTTAAGACCCTCACAAGAGAGCATGGAGAGCTGCTATCAGGTAATGCTGGCTAACCTACATAAACATGGAAAATGGCCATAAAACATTGATGATGATGGTGTGTTGGTGAGACAAGTCAAAGTAATAATGATGATAAAAGCTTAATTCTAGTTGAGAGGCGATTGAATGTAAAAACTGTACCTTCTTCAAGTGATTCTGCGAAAGATGAATGAACCATTTTGTAGTGATAGTGCCCAAGAGGAGTCAACCATTTTTAAGTGATATATCAAGTTATATCAGTTTCTGAGGCGTCAGCAATGCACAGGTACATGTTTAGGTATAAAGCACATGTGAAGTAACTCTCAAGTGGTGACAGTATCATAGATATTGTGTGGTGTTTTAAGAGAACCTGGAAATGTGTCTGTGTCTGTAATATACATACTGTATAAATAAGTGTATGTTCCACTGTATACATGTATATTTACCAGACATAGTGTAAATCTAGTTATTTGAATCATTAGCATATGCTTGAGGGTGAATGAACTAGATAACTTATCCTGTAAGAATGTAAGGTGGTTAGGTAGTTCGACGGTGCCATCCGCATGTGGCCCACACCATTGTGTCGTCACTCCTTCAAGTGTAGTTTTGATTGGCTGGTTCAGGGAAGGGAAACTCAGTCGGCCTTTTCACCATTCTGGGAACTGGCGCTTACTACAGCTACACCTGTCCCAGACTGATCATGTGTAATCACGAAGGTGGAAAGTTATTTGAAAAATAACTGTGAAAAGAACTAACCAACATTTAGTGCATGCCTATCAACCATCTTAGAAATATGAACGCATTGTTATTCACAATACAGGTCCACCACCGATTTTCTGGCACCCTTGGTTCCAAAGCCTCGCCAGATTATCCGTTTTGCCAGACCAACTGAGGTCAGGTTATAATAAATCAACAATACACCTCTGACCCACTACTGATACATCCCCCGTGTCTCTAAAGCACCAGGGGCTGCTAGAAACTTAAATTAAACAAATATTAAATGTAAATTAAATGTGAAAAAGCCATAATTTTGAGCAACATTACTGTACACACTATGTACTACACTGGACTAAAATTTTTATCTCTTGTGCAAACTAAGTGATGTTTATACTGTACTTGTTCAGCAATGCAAGTTATATTCCCCTAAGTCAAGTCAGTGCCATTTTATAAACAAAAAAATTTAAAACTTTCATAATCCTTGAGTAAGCATTAATCTCTCCTTCTGGCTGTTGACACTCCACCTCCCCCTCCTCCCAGCCAGACGGAGAAGGGTCTATGGGGGGTAAAAGTGACCATGACATCCCCCCCCCTCCAAATGGCTAATTCCAGTGTGGAGTGTGTGTGGATGTGCGTGTGTGTATGGTTGTGTGTGTGTGTGTATGGTTGTGTGTATGTATGTGGTTGTATGCATCTGTGTGGAGTGTGTGTGTCTGTGTGTGTGTGTGGGGGGGGTTCAAAATAAGTGGTTTACACTCAAATTAATCGCTCTCTTACAAGAATTTCAGCAATACAAGTTATATTCTCGTAAGTCAAGTCAGTGACATTTTATAAGTGTTAATGTATCCTCCGTGGGGGGGGGGGGTTAAAGTGACTGTGCCACCTCCCTCCCACAAGGGCCGTCTCACTGTTTGTCTACTGCACTGAACCATTCATGATACAATATTGCTTATTTGTTTTTCATTAATTAGTAGATACGTTACTGTAATAATCTGTGCTTATTAATACTTGTACCCTTCATATACAATACAGCACAGTATAGTTCTATGTATATACTGTACCTCATAGGTAAAAAATTATGTCATTCAAGACATATTCAGGTCATAAGACCCACTAATCCCCCACCCAACACTGGGTCGGGTTAGTAACGTGACCCAATAATCTCCCACCCAACCTTCATCGCAAGTGTTAAGACATGGTTAGTTATGTATTACAGTCAATTGAGTGAAGTGTGTAACAGAGACGTAACGATCGCCCAAGTGACTAACGAGCCGATCAGTGGTGAAGATAAAAGAAACAGTTCTGTTCACGCCCGTATCATAGTGCTTTTGTTTTTTTTAATATATTTATTTTACCAAACTTTTAAATAAAGTATTCGGGATTATAATAAAAAAAAAAAAGTTTTTGTGTCTAACGAAATTAGAACTGATTTTACTGACTCCGGTATCAACATTTCCTTTTTTTCATATAAAATAATGGGATTCCCATCACTATATCATATAGAAATATTTCGTTTAAGAATATCTTATTGGAAAAGTTTCATAGAGAATTTATTGAAGATCATTATGGTATCAAATTCATCTCCCTATCATGAGAACATAAGGAGTCTGCAATAGGCCGGTTGGCCTGCCGGGAATACAACATACACACCTCAAAGTAAGTTAAAATACAGTATTCTATTGTTTTTTATTTATATTGTACAGTTTACTGTACAGTACAGACCTGTATTTAGTTTATATTTAATGTTTTGTTAATTCTATTACTGGTATACAGTACCTTGTATGTATACTTGTTCTGTGAGTTGGAACCAATTACCCAATATCCCATTGATATAATAGATTCAGTTAATGAGTGACTCTGTGGAACGAATTGTGTTTGTTAACCGAGGACGGACGGACAGACGGACGCACGTACGCACACGGCAGTCCCTCGGTTAATGAACACAATTCGTTCCAGAAGGTCGTTCGTTAACTGAAAATTTCGTTAACCGGAACCATTGTTTCAATGGGATTTTGGGTAATTGGTTCCAGTTCACCGAAAATTACATACAAACTAAAAATAAATGAAGTAAAGTACACTTACTTTCAGGTGTGCATGTAGAAGGCTCCTGGTTGATGATGATGACGATGATGGGAATTAGAATGGGGGTGGAGGAGAAGAGAAGGCATTGGGGTGGATGAGAAGTCACCCCATGCTGCCATTTCACCCATAAAATTTTAGTTCACTTGGTGTAATTCAAGATTATTTTCTTTAAATCAACACTGCACTGCATAATATATTGTCAATATGTAAAATAAACTTCAGACTGACCAATAATTGTACTGTAAAAACGTAAAAATAGTTTATGTTCAAGAGAGTCTCAAGCAAGAAGCTTCCTCCACTGAGCAGGGACACACACTGACGCCATTTTGGGTGAGTCAAGTGGCTGTTTGGCGCGCTAAAAACTAGTTCCCTGTACTTCAATTATGTTAAATAATTGTTAAAATGACTAAAACTTTAATATAAGACTTAGAAATTATTGAATAGTACAACCTTCTTGATATTTACTCAAATGGTAACGAATTTCAGTCCTAAAACCGATTACTGTATTGGCGGACTAATACTACAGCTGGTGAGCAGGCGAAAACATGTTGGGAAAAATTCGTTAACCGAAATTTTTTTGTTAACCGAAGTGAAGAATCTTATGGAAGGTAATTCGTTAACCGAAATTTCGTTAACCGAGGGATCACTGTATAGTAAACCCTCACACTACTGGAGAGGTAGGGGGGAGAGGGTGTCTGGATGTGGCAATGTCCGGATGAACCAGGGGGTGAATACGAGTTAACGATAATCATAATATTGTACAAGGGTTTATTGATACAGGTAATAACAATAACAATAATACTGCAGTACAGTATTAATAATAATAGGTGGGGCCACCTGTCTGAAAAGGCCAAATATTCGTATCTTCCAGCGAATGTACAAAATAAAAAAGAAAAGATCAATAATGATATAAAAAGCACCAAACTGTATTTTACGGCATATAAGACACTACCCCTATTTTAGCAGTGAGTGTTTAGGGAAAAATTTGTGTGTATTTTCCTTCTGTAGCCATAGTTTTCTTAATAATATACTGTATTACTAACCTTTTGGTGAGAGATACTGGAGTTTGGGTTTTGGGTTTTTGTTCTCAAAATTATTAAAAAAAAGAAATACTGTACATATAAGAAACAGCGGTGATCAGTACATAAGATAATACAGACGGTATTGTGGATTGGAGATTACTGTACTGGGAGGGGGAAGGAGGGTTGCATTATCATCTGGGCCCATTTAAGCAGAGGGGAAGTAAACACAGCATACGGACTGAGAGAAAGACCGGATAAGAATTTGCCACGTCCATACGTCAGTCCAGACTGACCAAAATCCGGACTCAAAAGATCTGGAAGTGCGAAGGTTTACTGTACTGTATGTGTTGCGGGGACAATTTAGTCAGGAGCCGCATAAACACGAGTGGCCAACTGACTGCTGCCCATGAACAAGATCTACTGATGAATTTTTACAAGTCCTTCATTAATGTCTCTGTATTTAAAGAACAGAATGAATTTCACAAGCTTGCTTTAATAATCTCCAGGTAGATAAAAACAAATTTCTTTGAAACAGCTTGTCATATAACTAATAACAAATATACCTGCCAAAAAATGAAGTGTTCCTTAACGATGGTTTTAACTGCTGTATTGGACCAAACATCGCGGTTCAGGACTTGACACGGGAACTCGCTGGAATCTTGAACGTTAACCATCAACCAACGTTTCCTAGACACGCCTGCATCACGAGCCTGTGAAGGAGATCATGGTATTTCTATTACTGGATCATAATTATGTGGAGGGAAATGCTGAATGAACTACAAAAGATATCTGTTTTTATCTCTACTCCTCGCTTAATTTTGTGGATTGAATCAATTATTGTATATACTACAGGGGGGAGTGATAATAGTCAAGTGTAAAAAGTAACATGCTAAAATGAACAATAACCCACATACTGTATAGTACACTTGTCTATTACCTATAATAGTAATCATATAAGTATCCCATCATACTGAAGAATATTTCTGGGGACCCACAGAATTACTTACAGTCTGGAATGTGCCTCGATATATGAGATCAATAGGGGGTCTGAAGAGGTCCTCCAATGTCTTCATCTTCCGACGGTTACGATGTGCAGATACAACGGTGCTGCTGCTCGTGGAAGCCCCTGCTGCTGCTGCTGCCGCCTCGATAGCTGCTGCACCTGCTAGCAGCTCTTCTTCCTGACGCTCTACAGATTCAGACACTCTTCTCAGATACAGTATGTACGTACAAATAAAGATTCTGGCATAAAGGCAGAAAAATTCCCATATTGTAAGATATTAAGAAGTTGGTGCCTTACCTGGAATGACTTCATCAACTAGAGAGAAGAAAGACATACCTGTATGAGAAACAAATGATCTAAACAAGGCAGGTTCCAGCTTCCGTAATTTAGAATCAAGAAGACAGATAAGGACTTATCAGGATATGTTCTATTATCTGGCATGTTGCTCTAATTTAAATGCAAGAACCATTCATAACAACCACCTTTCAAAACATAATAAAGTTTTGAAAAATAAAAACTTCTTCATTTAAGAAAAAAATGACTAATATTTCTTAAATCTCCTTCCTTGAATTATTTTATGCATGTCTGATATTCAGACAATTAATATTATTTTTATCCTTAACCCCTAGTGTATGGGGTCACCTCTGAGGCGAATAAAATCGTCTGGTGTTAAGCTAATAAAATATTAAAAGTGGCATCCCCCATAGTGAAGGGGCTAAGAAAAATCATAAAGAAAATGCTACATACATATTCATACAATAATAGAGTTATGTAGATGCTGTACATTAAAATGTTAACAGATGTAAATGTGAAAAGAAAGTGGGTCTCATGTTTTTTATCTGACCTGTTGCTATGTCACCCATTTTTTTATAAGCTTTTCTTTCGTTTGCGGAGGAGGCAGAGCGTGAATTAGTGGATCCCATGTTATTGACCTGACCTGATGTTATGTAAGGTCACTCATTGTATATAAGCCTCTCTCAGTCCCTGTAAATTCAGTTGCCTCTGAAGATGTCTTGAATAAAGACGAAAGCTAAGGTGCTCCAGTGTAGTTAGTTGATCGGGAGGTAGCATTGCTCAACATACGTGGTGGCAGCAGGACACAGAGTGAGTGGGTGTAAACAAATCCAACGCGCCAAGTGACATGTGACGCATTTGCTGCAGAATATAATGAAATCACGCTCGATATTGTGAAATAATTTGGTAAATCGAGCATAAACAACGTAAATTCGATTTAGTGTAAATTTCAATTTAACGGAAATGGGGACTCGAATTAGTTCGTTAAATCGAGAAAATATTGTATTGTATTTGTAAATTTAAAAATAACTGTTGCAGGTATGACAATAATAGATAATAATGCTTGTACGGGTTCAGAAATGGTTACTGTTTACCTCTGAAGAGCTGGGTGCCTGCCATATGGATATTAATCATTTTGGGTTATCATCATCAGTACAGTAGTTATATATCGAGCTTTTATATTTACAATAATGATTTTTTTAATTAATTAAAAATGAAAAAAGCAAAACACATTTTTAATTCTGGAGTTGGATTAGGTCGAATTTAGCCTACTGGAGACAGCAACTGGGGGATTCATTAGCCTACGGGAGACCTCAACTTGACATAGGATGCAGGCCGATTCTTTTAGCCATTTTTCAGACAAAAAGTGCGTCTTATATGCCGTAAAATACTGCACAGGACTTCCACTCACGCCTCTCTCGGCCTAGTTGCCGGCTGCCAAGTGTACTGAGCAGGGGACGGAGTTTGGGTTGTGTGCCTCTGCCGACCGACCCTTAGCAACAGTTGCTAAGGGTCGGTCGGCAGAGGCAGCACATCCCCGCTCAGCTGTGGTGCAGTGTGTGCACTATCTTGTATAATTTTAGCTTTTTTATGCTTTCATTATTTTTCCTAAATATTCTCTGCTGAAATCACCTTGACAACCAGTGGCAAAGAGGATAAAAAAAACTTACAGCAGAGGTGGTTGTGTGGTGCACATTTAAACTGAAACAGGCCTAACCAGCCAAGTTGCCAGGAGCGCTACTGACAAACTGCTCACTGCTTCCACACTTACAATCACCTCCTACACAGAATTATTGTATATTCTCTTAATTTCTGAGTCACATTAGAGTTGTGAAATGATTTTTACACAACTTTTATAGTTTCAATACAGTGGGGTATGCTATAACGAACGGATCCTACTACAAATATTCCTATAATGAACGGTTTTACCTATAAAATTGAGAATACTATAACGAACGAAACTCCTACAACGAACATTATTTATTGCTTTTTTATTACAAGTATTAATGATATTGGTTATTTCAGGGGTTTAGATGCATATTTATTCACTTTTTTAAAATTTTTACAATTTTATATTATATTTTTCAGTGTTAAGTGGTTGTATTTGGGGGCCTGGAACGGATTAATCCTATAAAGAACGAATGCTATAACGCACAAGGTTCTAGAACCAATTAGATTCGTTATAGCATACCCCACTGTATATGTAACAATGGCAACATGCATTAAAATCTCTCCAGGCCCCAGCTGACTGGCATGTCAGTCAGCTGACTCCTGGTACAGCTCCCAGAAAAACGGAGTTTTTTAACAATTACTCTATTCTATACAAATGATGTGGCTTAGAAACAAAGAAAATATCAAATAAAACTGTTAAATAAGAAAAATGAAGAGCATGGGTGTGTAAGTGTGAGAAGTGAATGTGTCTGTAGAGGGTGGGCAGTAACTACGTCTCCTACTTACCAGCCTGGCTGCCACGTTTATTGTTGCTTTTAAAGAAACTATAAAAGTTGTCAAAAATCATTTCAATACTCTAATATGGCTTAGAAATATGGAAAATACAATATAAAACTATGAAATATGAAAAATATAATATAAAATTATATCATATGGAAATTATAACATAAAACTATAAAATATGAAAAAAAGAGCATATGTGGGAAGTAAATGTGTTAAGAGGTAATAGGTTACCGGGCTTTAAATATGTGATGTGATGTCACAGCATACACACCTACCACAGTGGCCGCCACACATCTGTGAGTCGGCTGAGCTGGGTAATTGCCTGAACTGTGTTGAGAGCTGGATGAGTGGGAGTTATGTGTGTGGAAGAACTTATTCTTTGTACACCAAATAATATACAGGTACTGTATACTGCTTCAATAAATGTGTGAAAAAAAAAAAAAAATAATAATATTAATAAAAAAAATAAAAAATAAAATAATGCGCTGCCATTTAGCAGGAGATGGTGAGTGAGTGGAGCAGTGAGTGACGAAACGTCAGCTGTAGCTCTCTCTCCCTCCCACCCTCAGCACTTGCTTCTAAACATAATGATTAATTCCCTTATGTTTTTGACCTTATGATAATTATTTATAATTTATTTTGGCACATACTGTGTGTGGTACACATTTTAACTGAAATAGGCCTAACCAGCCAAGTCGCCAGATGCGTTATTGACAGGTACATACATACTGTATAACCATGTACTTTATGGGTGATTTAAGGGATTTTCAAGGGTAATTTGGACTATACAGTGATCCCTCGGTGAACGAGATTTTGGTTAACGAATTACCTTCCATAAGATTCTTAACTTTGGTGAACGAGCAATCCCTCAATTAACGAGTTTTTAACGAGCGCCCCTCCACATGTTTTGGCTTACATTTGGCGATCCACCAGCTGTAGTATTAGTCTGCCAATACAGTAATCGGTTCTAGGGCAAATAAATTCCTTACTATTTTAGTAAATATCAAGAAGTTTGTACTATTCAATAATTTTAAAAGTTTAATATTATATTTTTTAGTCATTTTAACAATTATTGAACATAATTGAAGTATAGGAAGCTAGTTTTTTGCGCGCCAAACAGCCTGTCAACACACCATACAGGCGTCAGTCTCTGTGTCTTTTCAGTGGAGGTAACATCTTGCTTGAGACTCTCTTCAACTAAATGCTTTTTTCTGTGTTTCCAAGCAAATTATTGGTCAATTTGAAATTTATTTTACATATTGACAATAAATAATGCAGTGCAGTGTTGATTTAAAGAAAATAATCTTGAATTACACCAAGAGAACTAAAATTTTATGAGTGAAATGGCACCATGGGGTGACTTCTCTTCCACCCCAATGCCTTCTTTCCTCCCTTCTCCTCCACCCCTATTCTAATTCCCATCATCATCATCCAGGAGCCTTCTACATACACACCTCAAAGTAAGTGTACTTTTCTACCTTTTTTGTTGATTTTAGGCAATTTTCGGTGAGCTGGAACCAATTACCCAAAAAAACCCATTGAAATAGTGGTTTCGGTTTACGAGTTTTTCGGTTAACGAGCAACCTTCTGGAACGAATTGTGCTCGTTAACCGAGGGACCACTGTATGGAAAGTAGCCCCAGCATGAGATGCAACACAACTGTACAGGTATTTGGCCAACCTACAAATTCCACTGGTTGCATGTTATGAAATTATTTTGCATAGTACTAGTGATGATCCCTTATGCCTTGAGGATCCTAGAGCAGTATGAGAATGTTATTTTTTTGCCTGACCCTTTTCCTATACAGCACCCAGACTGTACAATTGGTTGCTGCATCCATGAAGCAGCTGATTTCTGTGGTGGGCTTCAAGAAACAACTTAAGACCTTTCTTGTTTTTTAAAGCTTATGATCCTGTAGAGAGTATGGTGATGGAGAATTACAGGGTATAAGAAGTGTTACAACTTAAGGATATACAATTGATACAAATCAAACTGTCACTTTTTGTATTTTTTGTAGTACTGTACAGTATTTATATTTATTCTCAGGTCCTTGACTTTATATTGTTTTGTGCATTAGTGAATTCTTTAGAAAAACTGGCACTTTTGAGAAACAAAAGACCAGCTACTATTATTATTATTATTATTATAATTATTATTATTATTGCAAAGAATAATAACACTTCTGCATGGTTCAAACGACCCCTAGTCCCAAGTGGCTCAAACTAACCTATATTAATCAATATGACTGAGGGCTGCTAGAACGTGGCCCAAAACCTAATACAGCCACTCCTCGACTTACGACGGGGTTAGGGACCAAAATCCAGGTCATAAGTCGAATTGGTGGTAAGTCGAAAATGCAAAAATAATACATAGAAAATCTAAAATGGAGGTCTCTTTTTCTTCTCAGCACCACAAAACTCTCACTTTTAAGCTTGCCAGCCATTTTAAATGGAATTACAAACGAAAATTTTGTCAGTACACAGCGCAATCACTAACGTCGGGACTCGAAAATACGTAATTTGAAAAATTTTTGGTACAACTGGGGCGGTCGTATGTCCGGGTGGTCGTAAGTCGAGGAGTGGCTGTATTTAGGCTTGATCAAAGCCCAGTTGTCTGCTGCAGCTCACAGTCAGCTGGACACTCCAGTGTTATACTGGAAACTGCACAATGGGGAAGCATTACAATAAAACAGATTAGTACAAGAACACTTACTTGTTTCTGCTTCAAAGTCACGAAATTTGTCAAAAACAGATCGTGCTACTCTACGTCTCCCTCGAAATGTAAAGGCAAGTTCATCTGGCCCCTCTACCAGTACTTCTTGCCTCTGTGGTATGGGAGCTCGCACCTCTTCCTCCTCATCCTTGACAGTGTTGAGAGAATATGAGAGAAAAAGTTATGTTTAGTTAAGGTATACAGGTACAGTATCCTCGTTTAGCTTTAATTCGCTTTACCAATAAATTTTTTTGCACCCTTTCTTACTTAACATTAGTTCAACATTCAGTTTGGTGATAGCTTGACTCACTGTGAAGGGTGAAAAACTGGGGATGAGGTGGCACGTGACTGCATGTTACCATTGTTACATGTAACGAAACTATAAAAGTTGTGGAAAAATTACAAAACTATACTCTAATGTGACTTGGAAATAATTAAAAAAAAAAATTATAAAACAAGAAAAATAAAGAGCATGGGTATGTAGCGCATCAGACACACAAACGTCTCGAGTCAGTTGGGCGACTGCCCAGCTGAACTGTGTTGCGTCGCCCAGAGGATAGTATGAGTGTGGAAGGAACTATTTTTTTTAACATAAAATATGTGCTATTGATAATATGATATGCTATGTATCAATTTTATTGTTTATCATAGCACATTTGGTCTTTTTTGACTTATGCAATTTGACATTTTTTGAAACAGGCCCACTTTGTGCTCACTAAATCTTTAACTCTGAATCTCATCGTTTAAACAGAAGTTGGGTGTTAATAAATCAATTGTTTAACTTCGAAACTGTTTTTAACAAACTTGTTTATTATAATTATTACTGATATTATTATTAGGGAGTACCCTATTCAGTGTTTACTGCCCTGCCGTTTGAACCTATTGTTTGTTCTCCGTGATTCGTTGTTATCCTTCGTTTAGTGATAATTTCGTTTAACATAAGGTTTTTCAGGAATGCAACCCCCATCATTAAATGAGGGACACCTGTATGTATCAGGTTTAATCATAATATAATTTCCTGTGAGATACAATGAAAATCCCTAAAGGGAAAGTGGGTTGTGACCTAGACACAAACCAGCAACCCTTAGGACAAAAGGTAAGTGATGTGCAGTACTGTACCCGGTCAGCTGCCACAGGAGATAATAGCTGTCATCACATCACACTAATATATTACTGTGATATTTTTGGATCACCCTAACACTGCAGTACATACAGACATGATAAAGAGATACAGTACTGTATATACTCTTCACAAAAGATGAGTACTGTACTGTACTACATAATTTCATTATTATCATATGGGTCTAAATGAAAATAATGTTCAAGATACATTTGCCTCATGGAAAGTGAGACAGTTTGTGGTCGATTGAGACATCTGGCATCTCCTCGGGGTAGCAGATAGCATCAGAATGTTCATTCACGAATAAATACTACCTATTATCTCAAGGATGTGCCAGATGTCTCATTTAGCAAAAAAAAAAATCACTTCCTATGATGCCAACTGTACAACTTGAAATACCTCTAATATAACTTGACCTGCTCAACTTTGCTGGCAGAAAGTTCAGAATAAATTTTTGTGTATTGTTTATAAAATTTCATGCCTTTAAAATAAATAAATAAAACTAATACTCATTTCAAATACATTGTTACAGTGGTTGACTCACAGGCATGCTAGAGGCTCCCCTTGCTCCATCAATCGCACTGTCAGAGTTGGATGAAGCAGAGGCACCGTGAATGCCTTCCATGTGCATGTTGATTGCCATTTCTAAATTGTTTCCACATGCTTCTAAGAGACTGGTGGCAAGTGATTTGTCAGCACCTAAAATAACATATAGATATAACATTTAATTATAAAGCTCTTAAAAAATTCAGTTTGGGAGTCATAAAAATTTTTCACTCTTCCAAGCTGTTTCCACATATAACACCATAGACACGCCTATCATTCTCTGCAACACATGTATTCTAGTATTGTGATGCTTTTAATCTTAACTCAATTACTGCTGCCCTATTATAGTCTACCACTCCTCCCTTATGGGACTTCTCTTTTTCTTAATTTCAAGGAAAAACACATTTTGAAAGTGGCATCAAACAGAATTATCTTCTCACAAGACAGCAGTAAGACACTCATTATCTCATATATATATACTGTATATCCGAAAACCGAAACACTCTGAAAACCCAAAGTTTTTTGTGGAGCTATTTTTTTTTACAGGGATTAGCCCACCCAGGCATAGATCACTGACCCACATCGGGGCCTGGGGGGCGAAAATGTAATAGTAATACTAATTATAATAATAATAATAATTATAATAATAATGCCTGTAATTATTCATAGTAAATAAAAATTTTAATTAAAAAATACACCAAAATAAAATAATAATGATAACAATAATACTGTATTAATAAAATAATAATAATAATAATAATAATAATAATAATAATAATAATAATAATAATAATAATAATACTGTAATAAAGAAATACAAGAATGAAAAAAAGATAAAAAGTGAGTAACACGACTTAGACCTATGAATTATTATTATTACCTGTATTATTATTATTATTATTATTATTATAATTATTATATTTTCGCCCCCCAGGCCCCACTGTGGGTCAGTGACTTGTGCCCGGATGGGCTAATACAAAAAAAAAATAAAAAATAACTAACCATTCTCAAAACCGAAAAATTCCGATATCCGAAATGCCTCTGGTCCCAAGGATTTCGGATAAGGGATTGTCAACCTTTAACACTATTTCACCATGAGTGCGTTCTGGTTGCATAATTGTCCAATATAGGCGAAGAATGCGAGAACTATATTTGACCATGACTCTGGCGACATTTGGCATTTATTTCGCCATGAGTCAATCATCGTGTAGCTATAGAGGTAATTATTGACAAATGACCCGCGGCCAATTTTTCATAGAAAACGATTATAAAAACGCTGCAATTTCACTGTTTTATAGTGGACACTATCGTAGTTTGTGCAAATGTGTTAAAAAGTTGTTATTTCTAAATTAAACCTACCCTTAGTTGATATGAAAAACAAGCAACAGAAACATTATTAGAAGACCTCACCAACCTAACCCAACAAACCTACCTAACTTCCTTGCCGGGGCTCTGCCCCCTGAACCCCCTGGTGTATTGTAGCCCCTCCAGACCACACCTGTATATTAAATAGAAAGAACTTACTATGATATGGTGTAATATTACGTTTTTGTGGATGTGAGAGCAGCCGCCCGTATGGAACGACTCGTAAGCATACACTGAGCAGCTGCATTGATCTGGCCCCCGGCGGTGGAGTGTTTTGAAATTCGTCAATATGATTGGCTGTTTACATCCTGGGATGAGACCTCACCACCGCATTACCACCAAGAAGTCAAAGTAGTGCCCACCAAGGCGCCCAATTATCAACCAAACAAAGCATTTGCACAAAAAATGATTATCATATCAGAACTCACTGATAAAATTATAGTAAGAAAATAAACATCAAAACAGTTAACACGTCTGCGGGTCTCAGTTGTCAATATTAACCGCTATAAACATACATAACCAGAAGGGGTTGTTCGATTTTAGTCATTTTTTCCAGAGATGTTCTTATCATTATAAAAGAGGAAACATTTACTTGAATGCAATAGAACTTAACCCAACCAACCAAAGAAACCTAACTAACTTCCTAACCGAAGGCAGACCCCCGTCATAATAAACAAAAAGTACTTTGCCAATCAGAGCGGACTCACAGTAAAATAACATCAGTAGGAATTTAGCAGGTCACAGCAAAATATCCACATGTAAATTTATTCAGGCTAAAATGGAGGACTTCACTGCCGCTTCCCCGTCTCAGTAACAGTAAGTTCGGTCAATTTATGATAGGAGCCAGGTTTCAATTTTTCCATAAAAAATACATTTTCCTGAAGTTCATGTTGTGATTCGAACAAATCCGACCTTCGTTACTGGTGCTAACACCCTAACCTAACCTACAATGCAAGACATTAAACATATACTGTATTTGTTTGGAAGAACAAATACTGTCAATGTATACAGACTTAACAACATCAACCTAGAGAAGTCGACTTGTGAAAGAGACTTAGGGGTACTTGTAAGCCCGGACCTATGGCCTAGAAAACAGTGTGTTAATGTTCAAAATAAGGCAGAGTACAGTATTAGGTTTTATATCTAGAAGTGTAAGTAATAAGAGTGCAGAGGTCTTCTTGCAACTATATCTTGCGCTAGTCAGATCACACCTCGATTATGCAGTTCAGTTCTGGCACCCTTATTATAGAATGGATATCAATTCACTGGAGTCGGTGCAGCGAAGAATGACGAAAATGATTCCGGGACTTAGAAACCTTCCATATCAAGATAGGTTAAAGAAGCTAAACTTGCATTCCCTAGAAAGACGAAGAGTGCGGGGAGACATGATAGAAGTACATATTTAAGTGGGTGAAAGGAATCAATAAAGGAGATATAGATAAAGTTCTTATAATATCCGAGCAGGATAGGACTCGTAGCAACGGATTTAAGTTGGATAAGTTTAGGTTTAGGATGGATAGGAAAGAACTGGTTCACAAATAGGGTGGTGGACGAGTGGAACAAGCTTAGCATCTTTGTAGTAAGTGCTGGAATGCTGGAAAGTTTTAAAAGGAGGCTAGATAGATTCATGGATGATAGAGAGTGGTAGTAACTCTCGACAGGAGCTGCCATGCACAGGCCAACCGGCTTATTGCAGACTCCTTATTTTCTTATGTTCTTATATTTCGAACATGCCCCACATTTCCCATAATGCATCCTTCTCATCAGTTCATTGTTTACCTATTACCGAGAACAGAGTTCAAGGGGATGTTGTGTTTTTTTTTTAACTCGCTATATGTTATTTCTTGTCAGCGCAGAAGTGTCATAGAAATAATTTCTTATTTTTGTTAGGTAATGTGGCTGCAAACAATAAAATAGTGGAATTCGAAACCTGGTTACTATCCTAAACTGACAGTAAATTTATGTTAAGTTAAGGTTAGGTTCGGTTAGGGTTAGATATATCTAGCTAGCTAGCTAGGATTCCATTCAAGCATTAGCGGTTGCATCAGTGCCAAAAATAGATCACATTAAAATGTACATGGTTGTTCCCATTGGCACAGTTGTGTTAGCGTTATGTGTTTGCAGTACATGTCAATCGCTCCCTGTAGCAATTGAAAATGCAAACGCACTGCAAACATGTGAATTGACTCCTAGCTTTATTCTTGTTAGCCCTTTTCAGTTCCTTAGTTCAATTACAGTAAATTATTTAGTGACCATCTTTGTGGAGTCCTTCCTGCTTTTATATTGACTTATCTATACTGTATATACACCAGTTGGCCAAAATTTTACCATGAGGTCTTATCAGTATAAACAATAAAATATTTCCACAGTGGTATTAAAAACTGGGGCCCTTTATGTGCGGTTGTTATAGCACGTCTGTAATATACAAGACCAGTGTAAGTCATGCTTTACCCTACCAAATTATATTCATAATAATGAGCAAATTACCTTATACAGAACCCAAACTTCGGCTATTTTAATACAATAAAACAATTAGAAAATTCACAAGAATTGGTTTATGATGAATAAATATCTGGACGTCATTTGGAACCTCTAAGTCTAGTGAAGAATCTCGTGCCAGTACTTCACTCTCACCACTTGTGTTAATCACCTCAGCTTCAGTAGTACCTGTGATGGTGCAGAACTCGTCTATGAGCGTCCTGTTGGACCTGGAGGCTTTATTAGGCGGCATTTCGTAATGTTGCTTCTGCCAGTTGTGTAGTAATCTCCTCCACCCGCCTCTTGTTCACTACCACAGAGTACAGGCTCACCGCCGCCATGAAGAATCTCGTGCCAGTACTTCACTCTCACCACTTGTGTTAATCACCTCAGCTTCAGTAGTACCTGTGATGGTGCAGAACTCGTCTATGAGCGTCCTGTTGGACCTGGAGGCTTTATTAGGCGGCATTTCGTAATGTTGCTTCTGCCAGTTGTGTAGTAATCTCCTCCACCCGCCTCTTGTTCACTACCACAGAGTACAGGCTCACCGCCGCCATCACCAGCACCACTGCCACCACACGCCTTCCTCCTCAGTTATTATACAGTTTAATCTTCAAGTTTATCTTTATTAAAGTCATTTGTTTAATATATTAACAAGCTAAAATATTCAGACATACAGCAGTAGGACTTATTATAGGAGTGATCACGTTCTGTGCCTCGTATTTTGTATTTTTGGGGGAGGCATTACTTTTTGTTTGTCCAAAATAATGCAGCTTTATATAGATTTCTTCTGCGTTATGGAACATGATATATATTTCGAATATTTTTTATCTTGAATTCATGCAAAGATAATGAGAGAAAGACAACCAAAGATTGCAGAATGACACAACTGGCACATTCTTATAACATTTACCGCGCCTAACACCAGAAGGCACTAAGATCACTGTTATGATGTTACCTTTGTCAATCAATTAGATTACCGTGCTCAAGATGAGGGATGACGACGACAATCCTCCACTCTGACGTATTCGGGCTCTTTTTTTTTTACCAATTCTCCAAGATTTTGTTTCTGGGGACGCCTTTAATTTCATTCATCCATCCATCCCAGTCTTTGCCTTCACCTACCAAACAGAGAGATACTGTAGTGGATTTCTCCCCTACAAACCCTGTTTGTCGCTGCATAGCCGACCCCGCGAATTCCCCAGTGTGTGCCTCGTGGTCTAGGTCAACCAGCTCCGCCCACGGATCGGGGGTCAACTACTAAGCCACGCCAACCCCCGCTATTTAAGACCTGACCTCGTGGTGATCTCTCTCTTTCTACCAACACCAACCAGCCAGCAACACCTACTCCTCCGCCGCTGCCACAGGCTGGTCCTCCTCCGAGCATCCTCACCAACCAACTCTCTTCTTCTAGCTACAGCCGCAGCAAGCTACACCTCCTCCGCCTGCCTGGCGGTCCTCGCTCCCGCCGGAGAGCATGGCGACCCACAAGCTGTCCTCCTCTGAGCACACTCAGTTAGTCACAGACAAAACTCAGTCACAGACAACACTCAGCTCGTTACAGACAACACTCAGTTAGTCACAGACAAAACTCAGCTAGTCACAGACAACACTCAGCTCGTCACAAACAACTCAGTCACTGACAACACTCAGCTCGTTACACACAACACTCAGTTAGTCAGACAAAACTCAGTTAGTCACAGACAACACTCAGTTAGTCACAGGCAACACTCAGCTAGTCACAAACAACACTCAGTTAGTCACTGACAACACTCAGCTCGTTACACACAACACTCAGTTAGTCAGACAAAACTCAGTTAGTCACAGACAACACTGTTAGTCACAGACAACACTCAGTTAGTCACAGACAACACTCAGTTAGTCACAGACAACACTCAGTTAGTCACAGACAACACTCAGTTAGTCACAGACAACACTCAGTTAGTCACAGACAACACTCAGTTAGTCACAGACAACACTCAGTTAGTCACAGACAACACTCAGTTAGTCACAGACAACACTGTTAGTCACAGACAACACTCAGTTAGTCAGACAAATGCTCAGCTAGTCACAGACAACACTGTTAGTCACAGACAACACTGTTAGTCACAGACAACACTCAGTTAGTCACAGACAACACTGTTAGTCACAGACAACACTGTTAGTCACAGACAACACTCAGTTAGTCACAGACAACACTCAGTTAGTCACAGACAACACTCAGTTAGTCACAGACAACACTCAGTTAGTCACAGACAACACTCGGTTAGTCAGACAACACTCAGCTAGTCACAGACAACACTCAGGTAGTTGAAGTGGATTTCTCCCCTACAAACGCCGTTTATCGCTGAGTAGCCGACCCCACCAATTCCCCAGTGTATGCCTGTGGTCGAGGTCAACCAGCGCCGCCATACATCACGGAGCGGGGGTCAACTACTCAACTACTAAGCCACGCCTACTCCGGCTATTTAAGACCTGACCTCGTGGTGACCTGTCTCTTTCTACCTACACCAACCAGCCAGCAATACACCTCCTCCTCCTCTTCCACTGCCTGGCGGCCCTCGCTCCTCCGCCTGCCTGGCGGTCCTCTCTCCCGCCGGCGAGCATGGCGACCCACAAGCTGTCCTTCCCTGAGCGTCCTCACCAACCAGCTCCACTTCCTGCCCCAAGCACCACGTCCTACCGACCCCAGCACACCCGTCCTGCCTCAGACGCCGACCCCGGCCCAGCAGTAACCCCTGCCGCCCCTGATGCGGTCTCTGTTCCTGAGTGCGGACCCACACACCCCTCTTTTCTCCCTCAGGTACTCCCTGCTAATGTCCTGCACCCTGCTGCTGTGGTGGACCCAGCTGCTGTCACGAGCCCTCATCCACTTCTGCTGACGCAGCCCCTGCTCTTGACCCAGGCCCACACACCCCAGCAGGCGCATCTGACGACTCTGTACCTGCCGTGAGGGAAGCACAACATTCATCGCCTCCACACACCCTTTTTCTCCCTCTCTTCTCCCACAGATAGTGTGTATCTAGACAGTTGTATCCAGCGACAGGCTCATCCACGCCATCGCCGTTGTCTCACATGAGGCACGCACCGCCCATTCTGCCTCACATGTGCTAAGCAACCCTGCAGACAACAAGTCTCCTACACCCCCTGGAGGGAAGGGGGAGTATTGTAGTGGATTTCTCCCCTACAAACACCGTTTGTTGCTGAGTAGCCGACCCCACCAATTCCCTAGTGTATGCCTCGTGGTCGAGGTCAACCAGCGCCGCCATACATCACGGAGCGGGGCTCAACTACTAAGCCACGCCTACCCCCCGCTATTTAAGACCTGACCTCGTGGTGACCTGTCTCTTTCTACCTACACCAACCAGCCAGCAACACACCTCCTCCTCCGCCGCTGCCTGGCGGTCCTCTCTCCCGCCGGCAAGCATGGCGACCCACAAGCTGCCCTTCCCTGAGCGTCCTCATCAACCGGCTCTCTCTACATCACGCTTGTAACCATGCTGCCTTCCCAACACCAAGCTGCATTGTACATCCAATACAACATGTATAGAGAGAGCACATTGTGAGTTTCCTTTCTCCATTCCATCCTGAGTGTGAACCAAACATCTTGAACCCCACATAGTCATAGACAACACTCAGTTTGTCACAGACAAATTTTCAGCTAGTCACAGACATATGCTCAGCTAGTTCCAGACAAATGCTCGCTAGTCACAGACATAAGCACAGCTAGTCACCAACGTTAATCCAAAACAACAATGTAAAGGAGTGCCAAAATGATTTTATGCCCTTGAGGCTTTTGCTTGTTGCAATTACTTATAGGAGCCAGTTGATGGGATATAAAAAAAATGAAAAACATTCTTTCAAATTCCTTTATTTCCTATTGAAGCTCATGACAATTAAAATAATAACAATATTAATGTAAAATTCTTAAAATAATAACTATAACAAACACTAACAATAAAATTAAAGCAATTTCTTGACTGGGAACACTAAAACAATAATATCACATATGGCTGAAAATATTTTCGGCATTAATCTCAATAAATTGCTAATTTCTTTATACTACAGTTTACCCTTCCATTTCTTACCTCAACCCACACTACTGTCATAAAATTTTTGTTGTTTAACATACAAGTACTGGCTGTTAAAAGCAGAATGTATTCCATCGCTTGTCAATTCTCTTTGAGTTTTATATAATACAAGATAAAATTTGAGCTACATTTCCCAAGCAAGTAGTTACAGTATTACCTCCTCTCAATAACGAAATATGCTATACAGGTACTGTATACAAAACTACTCCTCAGATTCCAGTATTACCTCTTTATACCAAACAAATTTGCTATACTGTACTGTACAGCTCCTCCCCGACTTACGACCACTCGCACTTATGACCTGCCTCAGTCGTACCAAAATTTTGTCAAATTGTGTATTTTCGAGTCCCAACGTCAGTACACAGAAAATTTTCGTTTGTAATTCACTTTAAAATGGCTGGCAAGCTTAAAAGTGAGAGTTTTGTGGTGCTGAGAAGAAAAAGAGACACCCATTTTAGATTTTCTATGTATTATTTAAGCATTTTCGACTTACGACCTGGATTTGGGTCCCTAACCTCATCGTAAGTCGGGGAGGAGCTGTATATAGAACCCTCTACTAAACCCCTCCTCAAATACTGCATTCAAATAAAATACAGTACAGTACTGTAATAATGATGAAATAAAAATAATAATTATAAAACAGTAATATTGCCGTTAGCCGGAATTCAAACAATAGTGATTGTAATCCTCCCAGGAAAAGCAGAAGACAAGCACATATTGCATCATCCATGTCACTCACACACACACCTGGTGCAGTCCATCTGTCGTCATTATTTTGAAGTCAAATTACAAAATATATGTCATGTTTGTTTCTATTATTTAATATTTTATATTATTAATACAGTAATGAAGCATACAGTGGTCCCTTGGTTAACGAGATTTCGGTTAACAAGTTACCTTCCCTTAGATTCTTAACTTCGGTTAACGAGCAATCCCTCGATTAACGAGTTTCTTACTAGCCGACCTCCACATGTTTTAGCTTGCATTTGGCGGTCCACCAGCTGTAGTATTAGTCCGCCAATACAGTAATCGGTTCTAGGGCTTAAATTCCTTACCCTTTTAGTAAATATCAAGAAGTTTATACTATTCAATAATTTTAAAAGTTTAATATTAAACTTTTTAGTCATTTTAACAATTATTGAACATAATTGAAGGTAATGCAACTAGTTTGTGGCACGCCATCCAGCCTGCCAACACAGCATACAGGAGACAGTCTTTTTGTCTTTTCAGTGGAGGTAACATCTTGCTTGAGACTCTCTTCAACTAAATGCTTTTTTCTGTGTTTACAAGCAAATTATTGGTCATTTTGAAGTTTATTTTACATATTGACAATATATAATGCAGTGCAGTGTTGATTTAAAGAAAATAATCTTGAATTACACCAAGAGAACTAAAATTTTATGGGTGAAATGGTGCCATGGGGTGACTTCTCTTCCACCCCAATGCCTTCTCTTCTCCCTTCTCCTCCACCCCCATTCTAATTCCCATCATCATCCAGGAGCCTTCTACATACACACCTCAAAGTAAGTGTAACCTTTCTACCTTTTTTGTTGAATTTAGGCAATTTTCAGTGAGCTGGAACCAATTACCCAAAACCCCATTGAAACAATGGTTTCGGTTAACGAGCAACCTTCTAGAACGGATTGAGCTCGTTAACCGAGAGACCACTGTACACCATAAGAGGCTGATTACACAAGAATATAATAAATAAATAAAAACAAACATGAGTGCAGCAACAAAAAGTCCCACCACCACATCAGCTCAGGAAAGAAATTACCTCTTTTTTTTCTTTTTTTTTTTGCCAGTTAATAGCTTATAGCCATTCAGGCGATTGGTATATCCAATGTTACTACAGGAGGAAACCGGAGACTGGGAAACCTATATGTAAGGATTGGTAGGGTCACACCGGATAGCACCCTTCTCATGTGTGTCTGGGCCGAGGATCAAACCCTTGACATATTGGTGAGAGTTACAAGCATTACTACTGTATCACCAACACCCCTGACATTTATTGCACATTAAAATACAAAGTCTGGACAATTGGAAAGTCGGACCCCCTTTTTCCCAAAATTGTCTGGACTTTGAAGGATATATATACTATATCTGGACTAAAAATACCTAACTTATTCATATATACTATACTGAGCAAAGTTCAGTACTGGATGAATTTTTGGAATTCATTTTATATGGAAAACCTCCCTATAATGGACTGGCTGCTCACTAATTATTTCAGCATTAAAAGGTAATACTATACTCAACACATAACAGTACTGCTTTGATATAACTTCCCTACAAATCCAGGTGTTGCATCTGCAAACTCTATCTCTTCTACGGGAATCACATTTATTTGGACACCTTCCTGAAGACGATACAGGTTACTTGAGTACCAACTTTACCTCCAAACTTAAATGTTGGAGTGGGGATGATGTGCTCTTTACTGAAGTCTGAAAGAAATACAAAATACATTAACATAATGATCATCATATTGAAGTAGTCTTCAGTACAGTACCGTGCTGAGAGCCAAGTGCTATACAATGTCTTCCAGATTATATGTACAGTATCTTCGTAATGTGTCTCACCCTGTGATTAAGCTATATACAGCCTCTTCCATTTCCAACTGGTACAATCTGCATTGTCAATGTACCCTCTCTGTGTGGTGTGAACCCTGGGAGTAACGACTCTTGAATCCGAAGCATTCACAAGCGAGGGAGAGAGGGAGCCCGGGGAGGACTGGAGCCGGTGTGTGAGTGGGTGGCGGGGTAATGCGGAGGTTGAGGAGGGTCAGAGTGTAGGGGGGCTAGAGGGCTGGGAGAGAGTTATGCAGTTACCTGTGCAAGATATATTAATCAAGGGTATAAATACATAAGACAAAACACAAAGTATGAGTAGAATGTGTTACCACACATTAGGGTGATATTCCCAGCTTGTGTTACAGGTCTGAACTATTTATGCATATTTACCGTCCAGAATTTACGAGATTATTGGCTACTGTGATAACACCACCCCCCCCCCCACACACACACACACACATCCATCCATCGGTCATGCTGTATTCCTCTATGTCCTTCTCTGTTCCTGCTGAAACCTAAGCTACTGTCACTTACTCAAGGGGTGACAGGGGGTTGGGCTGGGGCCTCTAAATATGGTGTCCATTTATGACGGGGTTGCATTTATGACCCAATGAATAGTGGATGCTTTGTAATCTAATTACATAACCATCATCATAGTAATAATTTAATGAACAATAAAAATATACTCAGGAAGTTGTCAAACACAATTATTTTAAATATCAATACAGTACCATGAAAGTAATACATAAGTGAGCAGAAGTTCCACCTGCATTTCGTGTTTTTATTTTTATTTTTTATTTCATTACAGATTACTATCTACAGTTATGTTGTCTACTGGACGGTGAGGTGAGGTGATGTCAGGAGAAGGAGGTAGAGTGGGTGTCAGCGCCTGGCACAGTTTAGGGCACAGGTGCACTGTTTTAGTAAGCAATCCTCATTACGTGAAGGCAGATACTTTATAATTTCTGGTGTTTGTTTATGTTGGGAAACGTCAATAGCACGTTGTATTATGTGGACATAAAATACCACTTGTTAACTTTTGGTAATACCCGAGGCATGACGATGTGTGCCGTTGTATGGGGAGAAACGTTCTTTATAAAAGTTTGTTGTGTGTTAGAATATAATATTATATCATGTGATAGATTAAATGATATGAGGGTATTGATAAAAGATTATGTAACAGCATCATGGAAGTCATATACTGTACATGTACTGTATATTAAAACGGTAAAGAGGTGAAGAAAAAAATCTGCTATGGACATTGTCTCAGATTTTGAGGCATTATACTAAATGTGATTAGGTGGGTATAATGACATAGGGTAGATTCCAAATGTTATGGCTAAGCCCACCAGGCAACCTCACTCAAACTACACTTACATCCCACTCATAATAAAACCTAGAACTATCCGCATTATTTTCAAATGTCTCTTATGCCTCGTATTTATTGAGTAGTTTTTGCATGATCTCACTAAAAAAGGGCCAATGATATTTACTTAATGTGTGTGTGTATATGTTGGGCTCAAAGACCGAATTTGCTCACTGAGTATAAAAAATGACCAAAACATGTTCTGGACACAATATTACTGTATTACCAGAAAGCGAAATTCAAGTTGTGGGCTCCTCCAAAACAGTCACAGCGTGTTATGAAAGGTCTTAACATGCCAGGACACGAAATATTTATCGTATCCTTTTGTGAGTGACAAGTTTATGTCTACAATGCAATGTGGCAATAGTTATGTTACCAGAACACGATGAAGGGGTTAGGTTAGGTTAGTTTAGATCACCATATAAATTGCTGACCAACACTTCAGCCATAGGGGAGGGTGTGGTCCCAATGCCATGTGAAGAGGATTGGCCCCTCCAATTCTACCATATTTTAGGTAGATGCATAGATTTCCAAAGACCAATTATTCCTTTACAAATGTCTTTTCATACGTGCTTATACAGATTATTTTATGGATGTTCTATAATCATTATGTGAATTTAAATGTTTCCCTGTAACTGAGTGCATGTGAAAGCCACTCAATAAATAAAAGGCACAAGAGACCGTAAAGAACATCAGAAATAATGTGGATAGTTTTAGGCTTTATCATGAGTGTGGTTTCTGGTGGTGGTGATCACTGCGGGAACAGTCACATTTTAGCTCAGAGCCGTCATGAGTCATTAATACAGCTATCGAACTCTTTAGCAGTTTTTAAAGTAACACATAACTAATGTTACATTGTCTTGAAGTTGAGTTTAGAAATAACACATGGAATCTACCTCAGTATAATTATACCCATCCTACTCATAATTACAATAATGCCATAAATTCTGAGACGATGTCCTTAGTCTGGCCAGCTGTATTGCTGCCATTTTCTCCATTTTACAAATTTAACCATATTTGACAATTGGGTCACTCCTGTCTTCAAACTTGCCGGCTTGGTGAATCTGTATGCAGCCAGACTGAAGCAACTTGGCACAGATGTAGCAGGGCACATACATCACACAAAGCTCATCTCTTATCAATTTCTCAATCACTCTACAACTTTCATAACCTGATCTAGCAGCTGCAGACCCCTGTATTTCCCAGTCAAGTGCATCACCTTTACCCTTGTAGTCTAAGTAGTCATGGTTACACTTTTCCTCCAGTCATCTAAAACAGTAAATTCCATCATGATTGCATAACACTTGACATTATTAGGGACCTGCCACGCTTTGCTATAAACAGATGAAATGTACCGGGAACTTTCCCCCCACACACTCATCATTCTCTCACTTTATGTAACTTGACAAAACCTATGACCCTTCAGGCTTTTACGCCCTTAATGTCCGAGTCATAAAGGCAAGTATGAACTTTGCATACTTCCCAGATGGGCGCTGTAAACTCTTCTGCGCTTCACCTTGCACAGGATGTAAGGGGGTGCCCAATAAACTAGCCCCCTCGGGGGCAAATCTGAATCTGATGATTGCATAAGTCAATTCAGTCACCAATGACACGCCTATATCACCTGATGCGTTCAGTACTGCATTTCTGCAACTATCCCAGAGCTTCCAGCCACCTTTTCATTTGCTTTTAAGTCTTGGGATGCTCCTGTCCCATCCATACTCCTCATTCAGTAACTCAACATAGTTGAGTATTTTCTCCAGGCATCCTTTATTTCTTCTTTTTCAACAACATTACTCACCAACAACTTCCTTGTTTCTACCCACTATTTGCATGGCTATTCTGAAAACCTCCTGCATTTCTTTAACATATCCACAAATTCTTAAAAGAAATGGAAATACTGTACTGTACCAACCTATACAGTAGTACTGCACTTACATTCACTAAAATGTTCAATCAATTCATGATGAACCCAGTTGCAAGATGTTATGATAAACAGACCATTTTCCTTTGTGATCCTGTGTACAGCCTTGATATAAGATAACCTCTTGCTCTTAGGGTCCTCCGGACAGAGAGAGACTGCATCATAAGTTCCCTTATCATGGGTCACATCAAACTCACTGGTCTTTATTTTTTCTTTGTCTTCATCATTTATCAAGTCAACTTGCTGAAGAAAAATGTAAAAAAGGTACAATTTTAGCATAATAATCACTAAAATCATCTAGTACTGTACAATTAATCATCAATATTATTCTACTCTTCTTACTGTAATTATTCTGAACTTCGCAGTACACCAAGCCCTTTATATTCGCGGGGTTAGGTTCTCAAAATGGCCGCGAATCGCCAAATCCGCAAATAATCTTTGGTGTGTGTGTGTGTGTGTGTGTGTGTGTGTGTAGACACACACACAAAACACATACACCTAACTAATAATGGGAAAATCTTCTCACAAATAATCAGAAACAAATGTGTTGAAAATGTTGAGTCTTCCCTCAAGTCCACTCCGTGTGTTGTTATTAATAACAACATACACACATACGTATATATATACAATACAGGTAGGGGAAATTACGGTCTCTAGAATCTAGATCGAATGGCTCCCTGTCCCGGTTGCAAAAATGCCAGCAACTTTAAAAATACCCTTAGACATTCTTGGGAACATCCAAGGTGTTATCTGCAAATATTCGAGGTCCGTGAAAAAAAGATCCGCAAATATGAAGGGCATGCTGTACTGTACTTAATGCCATGGTCACCGTTGCACTATAGACTACAATATTAACACTCACACATTCATATTACGTTCCATCATCCAAAAAACATCTCGTTTACATGAGTTATCTGTGGACACATTCTCTCCAAATACTGTCAGAGAGAAAAAAATTTGCTTGTTAATTCTTCAGGTAGGACTTACTCAAAACTCTGTATGTGTAGCATTAAGATATATACCAACTTATAAATGGGGATTTCAAGATCATGTGAGTTTATGTTGAACACCTTAATTGTTTGTAATTATTGTGTAAAGTGTACATATCTGAGATCCAATAGTATCAACCGGAAATGTTTCATTACTTTGAAATGAGACTGAATTACATTTAAGTAATCTGTAAATATCAGAGAATGTGAAAAATTGAGGAAGCTTGAAAAGTAATTAATCACTTGAAATTTTGTTTGAAAAGTGCAGAAATTCTGTGAGAGCTCAGATGAAGATAAGATTATAAAAAACAGACTTAAACAACGAAGGTTGACACTGTTACTTGTCATGGAACGATGTGTATCTGAGACAGATAAAATGTCTGAAATCTTGACTGTGTAACCTCTATTTGATATACACTGAGAAACAGAGTGAAAATATCACTTTCCTCTGTGTCTCCCTTGTGTATACCTGGTAGGTAAACCTGAGTCCAACATTGCTCCTCAAATTTGCACAAGACATTTATGTTATAAACATTTATATGTTAGTGTGTCATTTCATAACTGACTATGAATGTTTGTTTATGAATTTCCTCTGTGTCTCTCTTGTGTATACCAAGCACTGGGTGCAGATTGATACCGGCTGTGAATTGGTAGCCCAAGGTGTAGACAGGATGTCTGAAGTAAGGATGAATTTGTAAAGAAGGATTAAGATCAGGGAGGGTGTCACCCAAGTGGACCTGTGTGTGAGCTGTTGAACCCAGACGCTTGGCTTTACTGAATGTTTACCACAACGAATGGATGTTGCTACACTGACACCTGTAAAAGCCATTTTGTGGCTTTTACTTGACCTTTACTTGGTATTAGCCAAGTAAAATGTTAGAAGTGGCATCCCCATATTGAAGGGGTTACTGGAGATAGTTTACTAACTGCTTGTGTAAGGGGGTCTCTCTGTGTTGGATAAAATTGTCTAGTATTAGCCAAATAGTGTAAATATTTGAGGTGGCTTTCCCATAGCTTTTTTTTTTATTTTTTTTTGGTGTTAGCATGTACAGTTGCTAAAACAGCTATCTGAGCAGGTGGGGGTCGATATGCTCCGATATTTTACATGTGACAAGTGACAGCCCTCATATACCAAAATTTATTGCCCATGGTCACATATTGTTTCCTACAAAGTATGCACAGATATTTGTTTTAGCTACTGTACGTACAGTATGTGTAAACTGGCGGTTATCAGCCTAACTACTGTAATGTGAGAATCAAGAAAACACACTAAACTACAGTACGTATTCACCATAGCAATACCTTTGGAGACTACAGTACTGTACCCACTATAAAAGTGGATTTTTCCCTGTCTAGTACTTCAAAGAAGTGTAAATAGTGGCACGTTAAGGAGTGGTAAATGCTAATTCCTCTCCCCCCACCCAACCACACTTCCCTGCCAGAATGAAGGGTGAAGATGGTAAATACCGTAATAACCAAACATACTGTACAAGGACTAAGTGTTTAACCCTTTCAGTCTTGGTCTTATTAAGTACTGTTATTAAGTACTGTAATTCAAGATGATAACTTAGTGAAGCCAATCACCCTAAAATGGTCTTTCAGAATAGAAGCTTTGGGAACCTTGTTTAAAACAATATGTGTTTTATTCAGTAAACTGCACACTAGTTCAGATGACATTTAGAATAAGTTATTGTAAAACAGACAGTAAGGACAAAATATTATAAAATTACAGTGTGTTGCATTTGTAGAGTTAAACAAATTACTGTTTTGTAGACAGGAAATGCTGGGGTACAAAGTGACTGTTTACTATAGGACAGAAGAGTGTGTGAAACACAAAAGTGAAAAGTTGCAAGAATAAATCACAAAATCATTAAGAGTTTAGTTATGTTTATTTATGAATTTGCTTTCTAGTTTGACAACATAAACTCACTAACCTCATATTTGATGTTAACTTTCTTCTCAGCCGCAATAGTCCTTGCCAACTCTATTGCTTCTTGTGAGTAATCAATCCCAGTGAGGTTTGTGAAGCCTTCTGCATTCTGAAAAGTAAAGTAGTAAATACTGTACTGCATTATTATTTATCAAGATCACTTGAAAATTAACACCACCTTATTTCACCTGATGATTACACACCCTATGTTACATGATGGTGTTAAGTCAGGTTAGCATTAGGGTGTTTAGCCAGCAGGTGAAATAATGTGGGGGTGCTAATCTTCATGTGATTTTTTATCCTAAGCTGGAAAAATTTATTCCTCTGCTTAGTAAAAGTCAGCAATAGTTTCAATTAAGTTTGTAACATGGATTAAAATGTTTACAGTAATACTTATGTCAAAATTATCTAAGTCAACCTACAAAGTAAAGTGCCAGTTTAACTTAAATTTTTTTTTATAATTACTGTCTTCATAATTCTCTAGAATGCAGTAATCATTCCATATACGTAGTGGAATAAAGCGTGTTGGTCAATTCCACAAAAGAGAAGATTCCGCTAAATTGAATAGTTAATCTTTGGCAATGAAGTGGATATGTTCATGAAATCCACTGTCATTATTCTGTATTTTGCATTAACACAACATAAAATACTGTACAATACTGCACATTTTATGTACAAAAAATAGCTCTGGGTGATGACGAGAGTAAACCAAACAGTTCACCCAGCCAGCTAACTCAAACGTGCGTGGTTGCATCACTGTGCTGTGTGTATGCCATGATGTCACATCAGGCCCCGGGGGAGGGAGTGTGGTGTTGGCTGGGCTGGTGACATAGTTACAGCAGCCCACTGCCTCCACACAAATTCTCACTTCCATCCAAGCTCTTCATTTTTATTTTATAGTTTTATACAGTACTGTACAGTAAACCCTCCAGTTTGGCAAATTCGAAGTTGGCGGTCAAAGTGCAAAGTACCCGGCCCTCTATTTTGGCGACCAAACCCTCACTTTTGGCGAGAGTTTAAATTTAAATGCATTCACAACTAATAATTGTACAATAATAAGTGCAAGATAAATCTCGCTTAATACTACTGGTGAGTATTTACTGTGCGCAAAGCGCCAGTCAGCTGTTCAGGCAGCCATTTTGACTGCGTCAATCCACATTCCCGCTGTTTGTTTGAGTGACCTTGGCTTTTGTGTAAAAAAATTTTTATTCGCTCTCACTTGGAGCGGTGTTCTCGTGCGGATTAATGGCCTCAAAAGTACCTGGGGGTATTGGAGGGGATGATAGTGGTGGTGAAAGACTGTCTGAGCACCCAGACAGTTCAAATGATGGGGTAAAAACAAAGATGAAAAATTCTCGTGAGTATCGAGTTGGGAAGAAAGTAAAAAAGTACTCATTTGAGGATAAGAGAAAGACTGTGGATATGACTGAGCTTATCAAAGGACTTTTATTTTGAAGGCTTTGATCTAGTGGTGGCAGAGGCAGTGGTGGAGGCGATGGACGTTAACCTTCCTTCCCCAGCCTCAGATACCAGCTTAGTGTACAACCACTAAAAAATTATTCGGTACCCTTACGGCGTGATACAATATGACACGGGTGCCAAATAATTTTTTAGTGGGTTTACATTAAGCACCTCGACTTATAATTTTAAGGTTGGTTTTCTATGTTTATGTTGATTAACTAATTATTCATTCTCTTTCAGCAATAAAATATAGGCTATATGCGGGCAAAAGAGGAAAAAAATTAGACTGGCTGGCTCCTCGGTACCAATTAGGCTTTTTCCCATTGGATTAAGCTTTCTGGTTTGGCGATTCTGAGTTTGCCAAGGGTTTTTTGGTACCAATTAGTCGCCAAACTGGAGGGTTTACTGTACTGTACTACAGTATTATATTTTCTTTATTTCTAAGTCACATTAAAGTATTGAAATTATTTTTCCACAACTTTTATAGTCTCATTACCTGTAATACTGGCAGCGTGCATCACCATCTCACAGCTTCCACGAATTTCCTAAACTAACACCTCTTTTTCAATTAACAAGAACTTCCCTCACCTATACAAATTTGGGTCCCAGCAAATCCAAAATGCATGTTCCTGGGAGTCACCTAGTCATCTTAGAGAGATGGGCAGAGACGTATTCTTGCTCAATGATCATAACAACCCCCCATCCCCCTCCCCCCACATGTGTCTTTTGTTCCTCACCCCTTGTGGTGAGCCCTGACTGTCCTCCTTAAACCTTATGCCCCGGGCAACTTAAGACTCGCAGACCTCCCACGTGGGCATATTTTGGCAAAAAATAAAAAAACAAAAATAAATAAGATAAATACATAAACCCACAGTTAAAAACTGGTATTTCAGGCATAAAATTAGTGCAGTCACTCCGAACACACTGTTGTGGCTAACATGCACATGGTCCCCTACGTCCATGACCTCGCTGACGGGGTGGGGGAGTGAGCGCCATTTTCTGTATCACTGCCCTCACTGCTGGCTGCCTCAACAAAGTCAACATCATCGAGGACCGTTTCTTTCCCATCACTGTCTTCGTCACCCGATGCTATATCAATGCCACTCAAATCAAGCAACTCTTGATGAATAGCACTAATGTCAAGGGTGTGGAGGGGAGAGGTGGGTCAAGGACGTGCATCCATCATGATCGCTCCCACCATTTAGTTCATTTGTTTGAAATCACAGCTGGGGGTGGTGGTGGTGGTGTGCTTAGTGAAGTGTTACTTTTAACATCGTTGGTGGTATTGTTGCCAAGTTAGACTCGTCACTGTACTCGCATCCCCCGAGCCCTCTTGCTACCAAGCCTAGCTGTAAGCTATGCTATAGTTATTTTTCAACTCATTATTTCGGGGAGATAAACTTAACTTTCTTCATATTTTTTTACTCAGTAACATGCACACACACATTCCTACAAACAGAATGTGCAAAAAAAGAAATAAATAAAAATAAAAGAAATAATTATCATAAGGTCAAAAACATAAAGGTAATAATCATTTCTTTGTGTGCGAGCAAAGGCAGTGTCACAGCTGGGCTAAGTTGCTCTGGCAATTTTTGAGTCCACGCAGCTGCATCTTATGCAAATGATGGTTGTGTTAAATTTTAATTTTAAATTTTCCTTTATGGTTTAGCTGCATATTGTCATCTAGATAGTATTTTAATAATGTTTTCATGTATTATGTAGTAAATTACTGTACTGTATACAGTATACTGTATGGATAATATTTTTCATTAGTGCAGTACCTGTAGGTGTTTTTGTTGTTCATGAACTGATTTCATGTTTTTGGGGTATAATACAGTAATATCTCCATTAGCCGGAATCCCTCAAACCCGGAACTCTCCAATAGCCGGAATTGAAATTTTCTCGGAAAATCGTTCCCAAAGTTTCCGTAACCCGGGGGATGCCTGTACAGTATTGCCAAACTAAGAGTACTGGGCTTGGATGCCCCTAAGACACTTAAGTCTCTGCTGACACTCTAACTCTCTGCTGGTGCACTGAAGTCATCTGTCTTAGCTAAGACCATATGCACAAAGCAATTTATGTGCACTAGAGTTTGGGATCTTGGAAATTTAACTTAAGTCCACTCAGGAGTTGCCTAAAGTGAGCAAACTGTCCCTGCGTTCACGAAAGCAACACTGATTTAAGCGTAGCTTGTGGTCTTTAATGAATTTTGATCATGTAATACATCAGCAAGGTGTTTTAAATGCAATCAACAAAGAAAAACTATTAAATATCTTTTTAATAAAATTTGTATGGCTGGTGCTTCATACCTCCACCAACTTCTTTTGTTTACCTCTTTATACACCTCTCTCTAAGTACAAAGAAAGAAGGTAAGAGAAATAATAATTAATGAAAGATTAATTGAAACTAGACAAAGAAATAATAAATATAATTACAAAATAAAGCAAAGAAATTTAATAAATAAATATGAAATAAAGGAATAAGCAAACCTCAGTTGTGATTTTGTCGATTCACAGCGAATATTGTGTGGCTGTAGCATTGTGGTGAAAGTGGTCTCCCAAGTGTAGTGCTGTAGTGCTATTGCATCATAGCATCCATTCTGCGATTGGCTGAAGGGACCAGAAAAATATTTGTACAGTCACGTCGCATCTTTAATTTAAGCGCATTCTACTTTACGTGCTTTGCTTAGGAAAAATAAATAAAATAAATGATGCAGTGAGTGTAGGAGTATATGGCTGGGGGGGGAGAATGGGATGGTACTTGTGCTTTTCTTGGCCTCAGCTCCCAAGTGTACTATTCAGGGGAGAGGGTTTGGGTTGTGTGCCTCTGCCGGCTGACTCTTAGCAACAGTTGCTCTTAAAGATGCCTCCATCGTCAATATTTATAAGAATAAGGGAGACCCGTCAGACTGTAGTAACTACCGCGGTATCTCGCTGCTGTCCATAGCTGGCAAGGTTATTGCCCCGAGTCCTCCTGAACATACTTCTTCCTGAGGAGGAAAACTTCCTCCCAGAACCTCAGTGTGGCTTTAGACCATCACATGGCACCGCTGACATAATCTTTGCTGCCCGCCAGATACAGGAAAAGTGCAGAGAACAGCGTCGTGACCTGTACATGGCTTTCATCGACCTAACCAAGGCCTTCGACTCGGTCAACAGGGAAGCCCACTGGTGGACCCTCAGCCATTTTGGCTTCCCCCAAAAATTAATTGTCATTGTGAGGCAACTCCACGATGGCATGAACGGCAGTGTCCTGCACAATGGCACCCAGTCTGAGTTCTTCCCCATCCAAACGGGGGTAAAACAAGGGTGTGTACAGGCACCAACTCTCTTTTCCATTTTCTTGGCTGCCTTCCTTACTCGTGCCAGCGCCACTTTAGCCGGCGGGGTGGACATCGAGTATCGGATAAAGGGTCTTTTCAACATAAGACGACTCCAGGCAAGAACAAAGGTGTCGGCAGCTTCCATTACTGAAATTCACTATGCAGACAACATCACCCTTGTTGCTTCCTCTGAACGCGACCTACAGGAGATCCTGAACACCTACGCAGATGCGTATGCACACTTCGGCCTTGAGGTGAATGTACATAAGACTCGGATTCTCTTTCAACCTGCCCCTGGTTCAGACACACCTCCACCATCCATCCATCTTAATGGTACTACCCTCTCTAATGTTACCTACTTTCGGTATCTCGGTTCCCACCAGTCCACCACCACGGACATCGATGAAGAAATTCAGCATCGGATCAGATGTGCATCTCAAGCCTTTGGCAGACTCCGAAACCGTGTCTTCAGCTGTAGAGAGCTGAAATTATCTACAAAGTTACACGTATATCGATCAGTGATCTTCCTCACCTTGCTATATGGCAGCAAGACATGGGTCACACACAGGAGGCGCCTCAAGGCACTTGAAAATTTTCACCAACGTAGTCTATGTTCCATCCTCCGACTTTGCTGGGAAGACAAGAGAAGAAATGCCAGTATTCTCGCTGACACCAACTGTAGAAGCATCGAGGCTACCATTATCCATGAACAACTACATTAGACTGGCCATGATACCTGCATGGATGACAGTAGACTGCCAAAGCAGCTACTTTATAGTCACCTAACGAATACTAAACTTTTCATTCTTATTTAGGATCATGAGAAGTTTCAAAAAATTTGTATACATGTAGAAATTATATTAATGAATTGGCAACTTAACTTCAATGAGGAACGAGGACTGCCACAGATTCTCAGATCAAATTTTCTTCATTATTTAAGCAAATGGAAGAACATTTGGAAACTTCTCATGATCTTAAATAACAATGAATAGTTTATTATCATAAAAATGTTACCCTTGGATTGTTTAATATTTATCCTGACAAGAATGCAGCCAAAAATAGATCCACCAATCACAATCACCTTTACATACAGCCTTACTTTACCAAGTATTGCCAGGTAAAATTGCCAGTAGTACGAGACTCAGGGTGAGGTCGCTGGATCTTTGGCTGACTGTACTTCATGGGTGATTTAAGGGATTTTCAAGGGCAATTTGGACTACAGTGGTCCCTCGGTTAACGAGCACAATCCATTCTAGAAGGTTGCTCGTTAACCGAAAAACTCGTTAACCGAAACCATTGTTCAATGGGTTTTGAGGTAATTGGTTCCAGCTCACCGAAAATTGCCTAAATTCAACAAAAAAGGTAGAAAAGTAAACTTACTTTGAGGTGTGTATGATGTAGAAGGCTCCTGAATGATGATGATGATGATGGGAATTAGAATGGGGGTGGAGGAGAAGAGAAGGCATTGGGGTGGAAGAGAAGTCACCCCATGGCGCCATTTCACCCATAAAATTTTAGTTCTCTTGGTGTAATTCAAGATTATGTTCTTTAAATCAACACTGCACTGCATTATATATTGTCAATATGTAAAATAAATTTCAAAATGACCAATAATTTGCTTGGAAACACAATAAAAGCATTTAGTTGAAGAGAGTCTCAAGAAAGATGTTACCTCCACTGAAAAGACACAAAGACTGACGCCTGTATGGTGTCTTGGCAGGCTGGATGGAATGTTCAATAAATGTTAAAATTACTAAAAAATTTAATATTAAACTTTTAAAATTATTGAATAGTATAAACTTCTTCATATTTACTAAAATGGTAAGGAATTTAAACCCTAGAACCGATTGCTGTATTGGCGGACTAATACTACAGCTGGTGGATCGCCAAATGCAAGTGAAAACATGTTCAGGTCAGCTCGTAAGAAACTCGTTAATCGAGGGATTGCTCGTTAACCGAAGTTAAGAATCTTATGGAAGGTAACTCGTTAACCGAAATCTGTAATGTATACACGTTTTTGGCTTTACGCTCCCCCTTTGGAATGTAACCCCCATGCAAGATGTGACATGACTGTAACATACACTCTGGTTGGTTGAAAGATGTCAGCTGACTTGGCAAAATATAATTTTAGCTACGACTGTCTTGGCTCTGACAATCGTAAGCTCAGTTTCAGCATGCGAACCAAAGTTTTCACTTAGCCCTCACTTAAGATCTTGTGTAAGTGAGCTTTCATGATAGATTTAAGTCAGAAGTTAGTGCATCCAGGCCCTGTATAGCTGTACAATATGTAATATAATAGAAAGAAGGCCCTGTACAGTACATAATATAATAGAAAAATTGCAAATCTTACCTACTATTATTAATAATAAATATTGCCCTTTTGGTGAATATAATTACAGCTCATCCCCGACTTATGATGGGGTTAGGGACCCAAATCCAGGTCGTAAGTCGAAAATGCTTAAATAATACATATAAAATCTAAAGTGGGTGTCTCTTTTTCTTCTCAGCACCACAAAACTCTCACTTTTAAGCTTGCCAACCATTTTAAAGTGAATTACAAACGAAAATTTTGTCTGTGTACTGATGTTGGGACTCGAAAATACGTAATTTGACAAAATTTTGGTACGACTGAGGCACGTCGTAAGTGCGGGTGGTCGTAAGTCGGGGAGGTCGTAAGTTGGGGAGGAGCTGTACCTTTTTTTTTTATTATTAACAAGAAAATAATTTTTCATCATTGTGAAGTATACTGTATTGAAAAATTTTGTAAGGTTGCTGCTGCTGTTACTTACTATTGAATACAAAATGGAATAGCATTATTATTAATGTCTACAAAACATTTGGATGACTACGATGACAACTCCTGGTAAACAAAGATGATGGCCGACGGCAGGCACCTGCTGCAGTCATTTTTTTAAGAGGAGAAAAACTAGGGAAAAAAATCTGATTAGTAAAAGGGCTAGGTATTCCTCCATCCAATTTGCTTAGTTCTTGAGCTAAGAAATAATTTTTCTTTTACAGTAATATCTCCGTTAGCCGGAATCCCACAAACCCGGAACTCTCTGATAGTCGTAATTTAAATTTTCTCTGAAAATCGTTTCCAAAGCTGGAATTTTCTGGAAAATTCCAGGTTTGGGAATGATTTTCAGAGGGGCACATTTTCTGGAAAATTCCAAGAAAATTTTTCCATTACCCAGAAAATTCAGGGGATGAGGGATTTTTTCCGGCTTTGAGAGTCGTCTCGTTACCCGGTAATCTCTCATTCCCAGAAGTGCTCTGTACCAATTGTTCCGGCTAACGGGGATATCACTGTATAGATATTTTCATTGGGTGGCTGGTTAACCTGAGCGACTGGCCTTAAATATTACCAAGTTTTCTATAATTTTTCTTTAATTTATTCCTTCTAACTTGACAATGCTGTATATTATTACCTACCCTATTACCCTCCCACACATACACACACACCATTTTTTCTTACCAAATATAAGAGAAAAGCACCATTTCCACAGCCCAAATCAACCACAGAAGACTGTACGTTCACCAAAGCTGACTCCAGCATCCAAGTTACAACTCGTTCAATACTTTCTTCACCAAACCAGACATCCCCAATGTCTCCATTACGCTTGTAATTCGACAACTCATGATTATAAGCAGAATCCCAACTGAAAATGTAAACATTCATTATTACTTATTACTGCAATTATGGAGAGGATGAGTAATTTAAAGTATTAATTGATTTTATTTGAAGTACAGGTAGTTCTGCTATAACGCGATAATTGTGTTCTTGTAAAATATCGTGTTATAGAAAATCGCGTAATAGAAATAACAGGGCTTATGGAGAAAATAGGGTTAGGTGCAGATTACTCGAAATCGAAAAAATTTAGTAGTTAGCCTAACACAAAGGATAGCACAGTCTAAATAAATGTTACATTCATATCTAATAATGAAATCATACAGTAAATGTAACACTTTACTTGATGGGGGAGAAGGGTGATTTTGAGGTTGATAAAATCGAGCTTCTCTTCAAGTGTTATATCCTTTCTTTTACGATCATCACCGGGAATTCTATCACCAGAACGCTTCTTGTTGACATTCTTCTTTACTATATTCACAGTTAATACAGTGGGGTATGCTATAACGAACGGATCCTACTACGAATATTCCTATAACGAACGGTTTTACCTATAAAATTGAGAATGCTATAACGAACGAAACTCCTACAACGAACATAATTTAATTTTTTTTCTAATTTATTGTTTTATTATTACAAATATTAATGATATTCTTTATTTCAGGGGTTTAGATGCATATTTATGCACTTTTTTACAATTTTTACAATTATATATTATATTTTTCAGTGTTAAGTGGTTGTATTTGGGGGCCTGGAACGGATTAATCCTATAACAAACGAATGCTATAACGAACAAGGTTCTAGAACCAATTAGATTTGTTATAGCATACCCCACTGTACCACAAAATTGGAGAAATAGTAAGCAAAAATCGCGTTATAGCAAACAAGCGTTCGCGTTATACAAATATCGTTCCTAATTCATAAATCGCGTTAGAGCAAATTCGCGTTATCAAAACACGCGTTATAGCAGAACTCACTGAACCTGTATATCACATGTACAGTTGGCATCATAAGATGCAAGAAAATTGGTGGCCGATGGAGACATCTGGCATCTCCTCAAGGTAGCATGTAATATCTTTTCATGAATAAATCAGAATGATTTATTCATGAAAAAATGCTACTGTACTTGTTACCTCAAGGAGATGTCAAATGTCCCTAACGCCCACAAATTTTCTCACTTCCTCTAACGCCAGACAATAAAACCCACACTTGAGATATCATAAACATAACATAACTGCGAGGTTAACACAAGAAGTCAGTAAACTTATTTCAACATCTACTTTCTGAAAAATCAAGTAGAATGACAACTACCATGTTATAATAACTGGTAAAAATTAATTGATGCCAGAATGGGAATTCTATTACTAAAATACTGTAGTTTATTCTTATGTTTTTTATTGTGATTTGAAAGACTCTAACCTTTATTTTTGGCATTAAAGACAATTTTTTTTTATATATGACCATATGCACGCGATCTATTAACTCAGATTAAAGTAAGTTTTCCAATTTTTTGTGACTTTCTGACACCAAATACTAGTCGAGAAATGATTAGCAGTCCGGTTTATTCATGTAGGACCATTATTTGACTTCATTCCGGCTATATTTGGCTACATTTGGGTAATTAGTCGGACCGGGAGTAATCATTCCAGTCCTGTTGCTGCTATGGCAGAAAATGCAACTGCAAATGGAAACTGGGGTGTCTGTTTCCCAAGACAATTTACCACAAACCCATACTGTTAACACATACTGCAGAAGCATATATGGACTCCTAGCCTAAGGTCGGGTTCTTACAAATCACAATAAAAAACATAAGAATAAGCTATTTTAGTGAGATAATTCATATTAACAATATTTATTCCGTAAAGTTGTCATACAGGTTTACAATTGGATAAGTATGTTTATAAACTATGTACAGTAGTTACACAGTGGAGCACATTAGACTACTTACTATTCTTTTGTTCCCAATTTGGAGGACGGAAGTTCTTCAGTTTCTTCAGTCATTATTACTGTGTGTAAACGTGTCTTTAGATTCCTTAATTGTAATTATTTATTGTTTTAAAAGAACAACACCAAGGAAACTATATTCCTTGATCAACACACAGTGAGTAGTTGCCAGTTAATAAATATAGAGGAATAATGGTAAAGGGATCACGATAAAAGCAGATGACAATAGTTACTAGTATTTTTCCATCAATTCCCGTTAAAGTATGATAGAATAGTTAGCTTTTCCATAAATATTCATGTGTTTTTTCAAATGATAGTTGTGAGGGTCAGTCAACATTTCAGCAGACTTTTAAGATATTAGCTTCACTTATATATAAAAGAATAACATTTTCCGTAAAATTTTAGTATTTTCAATAAACAAAATTACTCTTGGGGATCTGAGAATATAATGTATGGCTATATACTCTATGTAGTGTAGTTTTAATATTATAATGAATACAGTATTTTGGGGATCTGAAGGTGTGTTACTAGGGGGTGAATAGATACCAACTACTCTATTATGAAAATTAATTAACCTGTGATCATTGAAATACTTTAACTAACACCAATATATTGACTTCAAAATATAGAATTTTATATCAAAATACACATATGATGGATGAGAATAAAGATGGAAGAGACATGATTACTGTGGGTGAATGACAAATGTAGTTGCCACTGCCAGTTTAGTTGTGTACGTTAATCACCCAGTTGCAAGGGACGGTTTAGCTAGTTTGGCTGTTCAGCAGTACCTTAGTAACTCATCATTACTGCAACATGGCATCTAAAATCCTTCGGAAGGTGATTTCCACACCCAAAGCACCTGCTGCAATTGGTCCTTACAGGTGAGATGGCACAATGAATTAACGTGTGAAATCAAGGTAGATTCTTGGCCTACAGCACCGGTGGTCAATATCATATGTATTTATATACGTAATCTATATGTCATCCTTTCTTTCCGTACTTGTTGTAATCGTCTGTAATGTTTCAATTGACCCAGGGAGCACCACACTTATTATTAGCTGTTGTCACGTGATATGTAGCTATTTGTTCAGTCAAGTCCAATAGGTTTACCTGGTTCTTCATGTACTGAACAGACAGTATCTCAATAAAAAAAATATCTGTCCACTCTGAGTGAACCATTATGAGACCACAGATACAATGTTGGTGTACAAGTTGATGACGCCAAAAATAGCACTTGAAAACCGTTACAAGGTAATTTACACTGGTGACCTTGGTGGTTTATTATCAAAGCTTAGTGTAAAGGTTAACATGGTTTTTACATAGAACTATGGCAAGTACAATACAGTAGTATGGCCCCGTGGCAGCCATCACAAGAACCTTCACATTATCCCCACCTTACTTCACCTGATGAATTAACACCCTAATATTACCTGCAGGGTTTATGGTTGATAAACACATTTAAGGACAAATTCTGTAAAAGGAAACATCTTTCGTATATAGCTCTTAAATATCAAAAAGAGGTTAGAGGAAATTGAATTTCGTTTTTGTTATTTTTTCATACCAAACATGAGCTATATATATATATATATATATATATATATATATATATATATATATATATATATATATATATATATATATATATATATATATATATATATATATATATATATATATATATATATATAATAATTACTGTAATTTAGTTTGGTTATGTAGGCGAGGTGGTTAGTTAGTTTTGTATGTCATCAATGGACTACTGTAGTTGGATCTGGCCCCAGGAACTGTCCCTTTACCCTCATTGTTTACAGAACCTGGGTCTGCTTAACACTTAAGTTTTTATTTTAATAGCTGTTCTGCTCTCCCCATTTGAACAGCCAAGCAGTGCAGGCAGGTAACACACTGTACGTCTCGGGGCAGCTGGGAATGGACCCCCAGACCATGAACTTGGTGAGCGGTGATGTTGTTGAACAGACTAAAACAGCCTTAACCAACATGGGTCACATTCTGGAGGCTGCAGGTTGTACTTACAAACATGGTAAGTTTACTAGTGTGGTAAGTTAAAGAATCAAATTTCCTCTTCTGGTGCAGTACTGTACGGGTACAGTTCCGTTCAGAAGTTTGTTATACACTCGTGGTGAAGGACACTTAACCTGTTGCACCCTTTCTGGACGTCAGGTCACTACGCCAAACCTCCCACCAACACACACAGTGGAACTGACAGCGGAACAGTTTGATTCAAACGAGGATGCCCCAAAAAGAGATGGAAGAATATTAACCCTTAAGCCCCAGGTTAGGGTGCCACTGGCAGTACCCCCCCGCCCCCAATGCTGGGGTAAATCGAGAAAAATCAAACTTTCCAAAAATAATTGTTAACCTTTTTAGATGATAAAACAATAAAAAATAAGTAAGAAAAACTCTTTATTGACCCTCTAGTAAGTTCCCTGGCAGTGCTGAAGGGGGAGGGATATAAGGGGACAGTGTTGTTTTGACAGCTGAGCTCGTGGTCTCCTATGCACTTACCAGCAATTTTTAGCTTGCCTATGTGTCCAAGATGGCCAATAATGCCTATATTTACTGATCATAATACTTATTTGCTATAAATAATTAATTTAGAATAATTAATTTGCATTATTTTTCATAAAATGTGCTTGGCAACACACGCAGTCGGTCGCCAAGCTGTCTGGCTGTCTTTGTGTTTGGTAGAGCAAGTAATGAATAAAATAATAATAATTCCACAAATAAACACATTTATAACATAATCAGAGCATTATTTTCCATTAATACTACACTACAATTCAATTACACTACTTTTAGCAATATTACTTCGATACAGCATGATAAAATGGATAAACGATGGAATTGAAACAAACAAAAGTAGGTACACGTAATTACATTCAGGAAGCTGTGGCCGAGCGTGTGGCATGACAGGCAAATAGTCACACTGGAACTTGATAACCCGCGCTGGGCATTTAAACACTGGCAGGAAACGGAGCACGTCTTAGTACGTCACCCGGGGCGCACTAGTACGGTGTAAGGGTTAATATGAATATCGGCCAACGTTACTGCTGATAGGTGGTGAAGATGCGTTAATATCCTGCTTACGAGAAAATCATAGTTATAGGAGTATCTATTCCAATATCAGAATACAATGGGGAAATCGGTTCTGAATGAACACTAGAAGATGTGGAGTTTAGCGCGGGTGTATAACGAACTTCTGAATGGAGCTGTACCTGTATTAGGTAAAGATAGCTTAGGTACTCCTCTGGGGATCAACTGAAGATTTCACATCCCAACATATTTCACCAAATGATTGAACTCCCTAATGCAATCTGGGGGTTTAGGTTAGGTTAGCATTAAGGTGATTAATTATCAGGTGAAATAAATGGGTGTCTCATCTTACATTGATCTTTCTTCTGTTACAATACAAATACAGGTAAAGTAGTGCAATTAGTACATGTAGCTACTTCCAGTACAGTACAGTACTGGATTCTCAATATTCATTCTGGTGTTGTGTGCCTTGACATTACTTTATATTTTAATTTAATTTTTATTTTATTTATTTTTTTTTTTGCGGGGATTAGTCCCACTCGGGCATAGGTCACTGGCCCACATCGGGGCCTGGGGGGCGAAAATGTAATAATAATAATAATAATAATAATAATAATAATAATAATAATAATAATAATAATAATAATAATTCATAGTAAATAAAATTTATAACAAAAAATAAAAATAAAATAATGATAATAATAATATAGTAATAATAATAATAATAACAACAACCAAAAAGAAATAAAAAATGAAAAAAGATCAAAGGCGAGAAACATTATAAATGTTGTGATGTCAATGGTAAGAGAAACAATTGAGATCCTGCAATTGTGTGTAATTGGGGCAGAAAGTCAGATCAACCTGGGACTTGGTCACAATTTTCGTGATGCCATATGGCAGCAGGGTCTACCATTAGACAATACATTATGCTTCCAGTATCTTCCCAGGCGGTAATACCTCCCTGTTTGGTAGCTGCCAGGTAGTAGGTGGAAGGTGTGGAACAATATACCAAGGTTAAAGTTTTGCCGGTATGCATACTGTGTATATATATATATATATATATATATATATATATATATATATATATATATATATATATATATTGAAAGAATATTCGATATACAGGCATACCCAGATAACTGACACATACAGGTATAGGCACCCGGAAAAGTCGTTTGTTAGTGAATCAACGGTTATTGAAGCAATTAATCCCATAAGAACATAACAAATTCAGGGGGTTAGGGACCAGCCACCCTCCAAAAACTCCCATTTATCCTTTATACATCTCTGTAGTGCACACTGCCAAGCAAGAAAATAAAGCTAGCATTATAAGCCTTAAATAAGCCATGTAAAGCATAAATTGTTACTTATTTACCTGTGTTGAGGATGTTAGAAATTGTCTAGGGTAACAAGATCAAGTTTCTTTCACTTATTGCTGTTCCATCACCACTTTTATTATGCCTTATCACATCACGTTAAGTAGCCCAGCACAAGAGAAACTATCATTGGGGTGTCTAGGCATGATTGAGTAACACACAGTCAGAAATAATGAAGAAAACTTGAAGTCAGAGACACATAGTAAGTGTAAACAAGAGTAAAGATGGTAGGAATGAGTCTTAAGGCAGTGAGCAGAGTCCTCTGGTGGCAAGAATTTGCACCACGCCAGCTCTGCCAATCATCAGATCTCTGGGGTATCAACAAAACTTGCGGGGTATTTCTCCTATATGTAATCATCGGTTATGCGAATCGGTGGTCAACGGGACATCGGTTATCAGGGTTCACCGGTACATGTATAGTTAAACATGTGGAGGCTAAGGATTTGGATTGTATACAGCATATACAGATTAGGGATATAAAGAAGTGTTAGTTATGTGTAAAATTTTATATGTACTGTACAGTATACTATCTTAACTATACTGGACTCTCTTGCTCTTCCTCCCTGATATTTTGGTTCCCCATTATCAGCCTTGCATGAGGGTAGGAGTAGAATGAAGTTTATAAATTGATAATTCTAGTGAGTTGAACATAAAGTACTTGATGTAGACTTCTAACTTACAATTGTGTTTTACAGTGGTGAAAACAACTGTGCTCCTTGCAGATATCAATGACTTTGTTAAAGTTAATGAAGTGTATTCCACATGTAAGTATGTACACCATATGATGTTGTGGGTCTTATTGATAAATTTAGCTGTGTAAAACATTTTATTTTATGATTTAATGCTCTCCACTCATTAACTCCTGCATTATACTGTATTACCCATTGAGTCTCTGGGTAAGAAAGCCAGGTAAACCCACAGCGATAATGACATAACATAGGGGAAAAATTAGTTACATCCCACGAGCCCAAAGATACATCCCCTAACTGATGAAATATGTCCCCAAAACTGTGTAGGTACACTGAAAGATATAATGCTAGTAACATAACTTGAATACCGTATTTTATGGCATTTAAGACACTTTTGTCTGAAAAATGGGGGAAAAATTGGTCTGTGTCCTATGTGTGAAGTTGCGGTCTCCCATAGGCTAATGAATCCCCCAGTTGTTAAATTCTACCTAACCCAACTCCAGAATTAAAAATTTTATTGGTTACTTAAACACATTATTTTGATTTTTAATTAATTAAAAAACAATTACTATTGTAAATATAAAAGCTGGATTTATAAGTACGTACTGTACTGATGATGATAACCTGAGATGATGAATGTCCATACGGTAGGCACCCAACTCTTCATAGGTAGCTTAGCAGTAGCCATTTCTGAACTCTTACAAGCATTACTACAGAGTATTTAATAATGTCATACCTGCAACGTTTATTTTTAACTGTACAAGTACCTGACACAAATGAAGATTTACAGATAACTTTCTTTTCACATTTGTGCCTGTTAACGTTGCTGGCGGTAATGTAGCCAAGTTAGACTTATCACTGTAACCACCAGGCTACTGGGCCAAGCTGTAAGGTCTTATGGTTGTTTTTCAACTCATATTTTTGGGTACATATACATGACTTTCTTAATTTATTTTTACTCAGTCACATGCACACACCATCCTACATATATATTGTGAAAAAAAATGTAAGAAAAAAATTGTCTTGAAGTCAAACACATAAATGGAACACATATACATTTCTTTGCACAAGAGTTAGCTAGCTCAGTGAGGGAGGGGAGGAGGACACAGAGTGTAGGTGGGGAGCATTGCTAGGGAGACGGCAGAGGTAGCATCCCTGCTGGACTGAGTTGCTATGGTGAACCAGGGAGTGTATGCAAATGGCGATTGTGTTTAACTTTCTTTTGGCTTTTATTTACTGGTTTGGGAATACAGGTGCAGTAGAATGTCGATTTAACACGAGATACGTTCCAAGAGAGGTTGCTTTAAATCGAATTTGCACTAAATGTAAGTGTTGTTTCAATGGAATGATTTAGTTTGGTACTTGAGAGAAACACAAAATACTAATAAGACTTTTAGTAACTAATAAATACGAGAAAAATACATGGCGATGGTTGATGCACGTGGTAGGAGGAGGTAGTGTCACACAGTACTGTATGTCTGTTCATTAGAATGTCGGCGCGACAACTGAGGATGAGGGAGGGTGGCGGGCAGCCTTGTAGCATGCCCAGAGAGGCGTCTGGCGGGAAACATTAGGCGCGAAACTTAAAATAATGTGTATTTCCATATGACGCACCAGATTTGACTCGCGTAAAATAGGAAATATACGCTTTAAATTGATACGTTGTCCTTAATTGTGGGTGTCACTTTAAATCAATAATTTTACATAGATTTGCGTTAAATCGACAATCTACTGTACAGTATTTTTAGTTGTAATTTATTTATTGGTATTATTTTTATTTATTCCTCACTTTTACTGGCATTGTACTGTAGTATATTATTTTAAGAAAACTATGGCTACTGGAGGAAAACAAACACAATTTATTACAATATTTTCCCATTGCTACTACCTTGTACTGTATAACAATTATTAGTGTATCCGAAGTAAATCACCACTTAACTAACTCATTTCAGTTAAGTCACGATAATTCGCGGGTCAGGTACCAGAATATATGCAGGTGTGTTGGGCCTCACACCTGTACTATGTTGTGTTGACCCAACATGTTTGTGTTTTGGGACCCACACCTGTACTGTGTTGTGTTGAGCTAACATGTAGGTGTGTTGGGCTCCACACCTGTACTGTGATGCTTCAGGGCAGTTTACAGTTTGTTCAGTAAAATAACTCTTTAGATCCCAGATCTTTAATTATAAGATTGAGAATTACATGTATTGAGGTTTTGAAGGAGAAAATGTTTGGTCGTGAAATTGGAAGTCAAGTTACTTTACTGATTTAATAGCTGGTATATACTGTATGTGTTAGAAATCAATGTCCAGAGCTTTATGGGCTGTGAGTAATTTGTCTTGAATTTACTTTGAAGGTCAGTAAGGCCAGTGTCCCGTACACTAAGAAAAACAAAACCAATCAAGGAAAGTGTTGTGACAAGTACATTACTGTCATAACTACCCAAGCAATTACATGAACATGACAAAACAGTGAAAAACAAAAAGGGTTAAGTTTTTGGATTGACCAAACTCAAAAGAAAAGTCACCTGGTTGGCCCTAGTTGAAGCACAGTAAAATAATATAACATCAGTAGCAACCAGTCAGTTGCACCTCTGTGGCTGCAAAGAACAGATGTGTGTCTTTCTCTTCCAAGTTCAGTCTGACCTAAGAACCGAACCCCCTTTTTTCCTCACTGAACCAAGTTATCTACATTCACAAGATTTTCCAAGATATGTGGAAGGCTTGTCTACCTCAAAATGCACCCAAAGACTTTATTAATACATCATCCATGAACCTTTATACAACACCACCTCCTCTGCATTAGATCAGTAGTACAGTATGTACCGGTAAATAAGTTGTGATATCATCCACTGTTAGTTGGAGTTTGTCGTACTCTACTGTCTTGTGAATGTATATTGTTACCATGGTTAGTATCATTTATTATTATTTTATTTCTTTACAGTCTTCTCAGAAGCAGTACCAGCACGAGCAGCTTACCAGGTTGCTAATTTGCCAAAGGTAGGCGTGTGTGTGTCAGTTGCATGCTTGTTCATGTGTGGATGTGTGTGAACCTTTACCGTAATTGGAAGAGTATAGATACGCTGGATAGTGCATTTTACTCTGTTGCCGGATACTAGCTTTGCCAGATAGTTTTAAAATCTGGCCCATATTACCCAGCTGGATAGTATAGTATGTGTTGGTGTAGTATGGATAAATAGGCGAGGCTAAACCTGCACTTCAGCAGTAGTCTAATATCTTGGGTAGCTTCCACTTACATGGCCATTCATGTCTCATTATTTATATTGTTGTCCATGACATATTCTTGTTCACATGAAATACAATTAACATAACCTCCTCTATCATCATCATCCACAAAAGTTATGTATCACAGCAGCCTTATATGTTACCCGTTTGACTTCACTCACTCTGTCCCTCCATAACTTATATAAATCCTACATTTGGTATTTTCCAACTCGGTAAATAAAATATTCAATACCAAAGATAAATGTTTTGGCATAAGTATCATAAGAATTGTTTTTATTTGGCTGGCCATAGGCTAATGAAGATGACAGTATCATTCCTGGCTTATTTGCTACAACAACTGTAAGTGTGTGGTGACTTCTTTTTTACTTAAGTGCCTCTAAAATATCTTTAAATAATAACACTATTATGTTATAAGAGAAAAAATTTAAACAATAAAGGACTAAATAATAAATAATCCAATTCTGTCTTGAGTGAATTCTTTTATTACTCACTTTCATTTATTCATTTATTTTTCTTTACTTAATGTATTTATATACTGTACAGTATATATAAAGTTGGAATTTTTCACTGGCCGGATAGTGGATATTATACTGGATAGTGAAAATATCCAAACAGATACAATAGTCTATCTGGTGCACACTTGAACAAAAGAGGCTGCTTTGTCCACACCGGGGGCTAAAGTTAACACTGTATCAGTTGGTCTTGTTGAAAGATAAAACATAGAGAAGGGTTTGTTGTTCCCTGTACAGGAACTGGAGGAGTAACTGTTTGCAGCAATATACACTGATCCAGTCTGATAGTGTCTTTGTCTCTAGAATGAAGTGCTCCCCTGTAGAAGGCTCTGCCTTAGAGTGGTTTCCAGCGTGAGAATATTGAAAGTCGATTGTTTCTTATTGATTTTAAAATGAAATTTCACATTTTAGTCCTTGATTTATAACTATTGCATACAGTATTCAGTGCACAAGTAAATAATAATGACCTCTTTTACAGGGAGGACGTGTGGAAATTGAAGCTATTGCTGTTGTGGGGGAGTTGGATCAGCAGTGACTGATTAAATCATTTGTGAATACAAGTCTTACATGAAAAAATTATGTTAATTTGAAGAGAGAAGAAGAGCATTGAATGTTAAGTGTGTGCATTCTGTAAATATATAAATGTTTGTTGTAAAACATAGTTTTAAACTGTGTTTGTGGCAGCAATACAATTGTTGCTCTCTTGCATTTAGGTATGTAATAGTTAACAAATGAAAACCATTGTGAAAACTGAATAATAAACAAGTGCACGTGGAGCCTGTTGGCATGTTATGTATTGAAGATTTCTGGACCAACAGAAACGCTTACTGGTACTGTACGGTACTAATAAAAGGGAAATACAGTAAACGGATGCTTTATATAATGGATTATAATGGACACCCTAAACCTATCGGACAAACCCTCAAGAAAACAGACATATGTCCGTTATCCCCAAGGAGTTCTCCAATAGTTTGTCATTGCATAAACACTAACCATACAGTAATATTGTACAGTATATAATAAAAAAGAACATTAGTTGAAATTTATAAAAAAAATGTGAGCAATAAACTATCACAAATTATGCATTTTTCTTTTCCTCACCACACTTGTTACATGCTCCTTAATCTTGGGAGCTATATGTTGTGGTTATTTTTTAACTTATAATTTCAAGTAGATAATAGGCAGCTGCTAAACAGGGAGGTACTACTGCCTGGGAAGATATTGGAAGCATAATGAGTTGTCTGATGGTAGACCCTGTGGCCATATGACCACAAAAAATTTTGAACAAGTCCCAGGTTGCTAACCTGACTGACTTTCTGCCTCATTTACACACAATTGCAGGATCTTGATATATATCTCTTACTTGGAGCACACATCATGCTTTATATGTTGTTTCTCACTCTTGATCGGTTTTATTTTTTCATATACAGCTCCTCCCCGACTTACGAAGGGGTTAGACCCCCAAATCCAGGTCGTAAGTCGAAAATGCTAAAATAATACATAGAAAATCTAAAATGGATGTCTCTTTTACTTCTCAGCACCACAAAACTCTCACTTTCAAGCTTGCCAGCCATTTTAAAGTGAATTACAAACGAAAATTTTGTCTGTGTGCACAAGTTGAGACTCGAAAATACGTAATTTGACAAAATTTTGGTATGACTGAGGCAGGTCATAAGTTGGGGAGGAGTTTTGTGTGTGTATATATATATATATATATATATATATATATATATATATATATGGAAAACAACAATAATATACCCATATATAACAAATAATGTAAATACTGTAAAGTGATGTTAAACAATATACAGTGGGGTATGCTATAACGAACGGATCCTACTACGAATATTCCTATAACGAACGGTTTTACCTATAAAATTGAGAATGCTATAACGAACGCAACTCCTACAAAGAACATAATTTAATTTTTTTTTTTTCTAATTTATTGTTTTATTATTACAAATATTAATGATATTCTTTATTTAAGGGGTTTAGATGCATATTTATGCACTTTTTTACAATTTTTACAATTATATATTATATTTTTCAGTGTTAAGTGGTTGTATTTGGGGGCCTGGAACGGATTAATCCTATAACAAACGAATGCTATAACGAACAAGGTTTTAGAACCAATTAGATTCGTTATAGCATACCCCACTGTATTGTGATGAAAATAATGTAAAAAATGGGATTTTAATTTAAAAAAAATTGTGGTGAATGTATTAGGATCCTGTTCGTAAGTCGGACGTTCGTAACTCGGGGACTGCCTGTATATATAAACAATACCTCACTAGTTGGGAATCGAACCCTAGTCCTTTATGTATGAACAGGGATCGCTACCACCGTGTCACAAGGACAACAAAAGCAATCCTAGGCTTTGTTTAATTTCAAACAAAGCCTGTTCATTCGTCTTATTTTTAAGGAACGTGAACCTCCATCGGGGATTGCCTGTACCAATTCTGTGGTCGTAGTAGCATTTTATCAAATCCAGCTTTGGAAGCACGAGGCTACATACATATCTCATCAGTCCATATAGCATGTGAACTTCCATATACAGTACAAACAATACCTCACTAGTCGGGAATCGAACCCTGGATCTGTGTGTGTGAACAGGGATCGCTACCACCGCGTTACAGTACACAAGGAGGCAGTATGGCCGGAACTGCATTTGTAAAATTAAAGCATAGTACAGTCCTCGTTTACAGCTGGGTGGACTGGGAGTAACCAAGCATTGAACCAGCTACCCCTAGAAGAGGAAACAAATGCTGTATCCAATCACATCTCATGAACTTATGCATACTGCACCCTGAACTTTAGCGTATAGAAGGGCCACAGATTTGCACAAAATGTAAATTTCATCAACATACGGTTTTTCTTCTGTTCCATTTATTGTTGTGAAGATGAATTCTTTAACAATCGCCAAGTGCTATTTCAGTCCTTAGCACCTGAAATTTTTTATAAGTGGCTATACTTTGGAAATCGTTACACGCGCAGTAATTCCCTCATGGTCTAGGAGAATAAGTAACACAAAAGGAGAGATGTTAACTAGTTTGGTTCATCAGTCCAACTAAGTTTTACCGGTAGTTAAAATTCGCAAAATGAAACCAAGTAATATGATTCTAGATAAACTACAGTATATTTACAAATTAGAATACAGTACAATATATACCTTTTTTAAAATGATAGCTAAAAACTTAATGTTCATAGTTTCTTGGTTGCTGCAAAATTGTGTAGGTCAAGAAGTTTACATTCTCATTAACTTGGTAACAGCCTTAAAAAATAAGTGTTTGTGTCTTACATCAAAGGTGTCGCATAAATATACACACTGCACTTAATAATATGTACTGTACAGACCTTAGATGAAAAATAGCTAGTGAATAAAACTACATTGAGCTCTCGTGAACTTAAAGCCTCGGAATATGGATGCCATAGAATGTTAGCATTATTTATGTAACTAATATAATGTTCTCATAGCATAAGGCAACTTATTTGAATTTATTACATAAAAAGAAACAGTTGTGAAAAATAGATCACTTGAGTAAAATATAATGCTATTTGTTGTTAATTTATATTAATGATCATATAAAGAGAAAGTCAGATAATTTTATATTATATGACCCACACCATCTGCTATAGTTTAATATATTCATGAAGCTGGTGGCTTGGGATCAGAGAGACTGAAAAGATCATCTGCTTGTTTTATAGCATCTGATGAAGCCTCACAATGCTTCTGAAGATTTCCTGGGATCTTTGTAACCCCATAGTAGGCACCTGGAAATGAAGTAATGTAGACAAGTGACAAAGGAAACAACAACAAAAAGTCAAAGTTTAGCCATTTTGAAATAAGTATGGGGTTCCCTAAATTATCTGACCTTTTGTTAAACTTAATGCAGTACTGTAACCATAAATATATTATGGATAGACAAGGCCATTTTTTTTTATACTGTACAATACTTCAAGAACAACCCAAGTTTTTTCTTGCCTTAGTAGACTTTTATGGCTAATAAGTTTTAACGTGGGTCATGAACACCCTGTATGATGGTATAGTACATACTGTCTGGTGGCAGTGACCTTAAAATTAAGAATAGAGTTAAGTTATCCCCTTAGAATTAGTGACCCCAGAATCTGGCAGTATAATACTGTACTGTCATAGCAAAATATACGATCTCTCTCTCTCTCTCTCTCTCTAACAAAACACCTGTTAGCTGCACAGGTTATCTCTCCCTTCCCTTCCTCCCATGCCACCCACCACCCTATTATGTGGTAATGTTTCTCTGTACATTCATGATAAGCAAACAAATATTATTTTGTACAGTACTGGTCTCATAACATTGTATTTTTAGTATAATTTAAGCTTGCCCTCACACTCATGGTTTGTGTTAAATTCGCCAGGCATAATCAGCTCCAACTGTTGGGAGACTCGGCAACTACGCTAGGCACTATGTTCAACTTGCACTGTAAGAAGCGCCATCGAAGGACTGAACATCAAAATTGATTAACAGGATTCGTGCTAGCGGTTCATTCTGATTGTCAAGGTCACAGACTTTTTGAAGTGACTGTACAAAAGCACTTGCACAATTATTTTTAGTAGCATTGAACTTTTCACCTCTACCATTTACCTAACATTCAAAAGTTTATCACATCAAGAACTGTGCATGTAGTACTGTACCAGCTCTGAAAATCGGGCATAACTAATTGATCTATTATTCTAAACACTTCTGGTATACAAAATAGACACAGATGAACAGAGAGAGGCAAACCATTACTCCCTCCTGCATACGGTCTGTAGTGGGTACCTAAGAAATTAATGTTAAGAATTACTCACCTGCAATACTTCCAGCCATGGATGCTATAGTGTCTGTATCTCCGCCCAGACTTATGGCAAAATGGAGTGTCCTCTGGTATTCATTTTCAGACTAAAAAATAAAGATGTTTCTATTGATAGGTTAGGATAGGCCGAGTATCTATAATAAACACATAAATGCATTATAAATACAGGCACTGTATCCCTCACTATCCAAATGTTGGGCGAACAAATATTGACTTATTCAAAAATGTCATTCTTACACCACTTTTTTACTACCTGAAGGTGATAGTATATTTGTCTCTCCAAAAGTTGGCCAAATCAATAACTGAAATCGTGTGCCAGGCATGGCCTGGGAGTCAGCTGGGGTGGCCATTTTGACCCTCAGATATGTAAGGTAATGTACCATACCAACTGTATACAGTACACATTTTATTTAGTTTGTCTTTTTGTAGACATAGTACTGTAATATTTTTTTTATTGTCCGTAAAATAATTAAATATTTTTTGTGATAGTTTTCCTAATCATTATGTTATTCACTATCAGGAAATTCAATAACCGAATGATTTTCAAGGAACCTAACCCATTTAGATAGCAAGGGATATCTGTATACCCAGTATACTTACAAAGTCATACACACAAACATACATTTACAATAAGCTAATTATTTAAAAATAATCACATGTAAACACAAAGTTAAGCAGCTTTACACTCAGGATGGACAAATTCCCTGCTGTCACACTACAAAGTGCTGTAATAGGACCCAACCAAAGCTGAATATCAATCTCATCACACGCCATGTTGTGTTACATCTAGAGAGTAAATATGGTTAAAAATCCATTATTTTCTTTTTTTAATTACAGTACTACAAACATGGAAAATGGCTGTAAAACATTGATGATGACGATGAAAACTTCTGGATGAACAGGACAGACAGAAAGCCTGTACTGTATTACTTAATCTCCCTCCCAGAATATCAAGGGACAGTTAATATGGGTATCTTAAATACTGCAGTTTAATCTATAAGGTCTAAAATACAATGCCTGAATCTCTGAGTGAAACATTAGAAGCATAATAATGAAAAGCCTCCTAGTGACCTAGGTAATCCAGATAACTTTCAGGGAGAAATTAAAAAAATAAAAGTTAAGGCAAACTGCAAACTTATTCAATACAAAACTTCAATAGGAACTAAATAGTATAAATGTATGGAATGAAAGTAACCATATAAAATAATAATTACATCTGGGATGGCAGGAAGGAAGAAGTTCTAGCTATAGTCAAAAATGAATAGCATTAAGCTATATGGAGGTAATCATGATCAATTAATGGATTTCAGGTAAACTTCATTGGGTATGCCAGTAAAGTTTTCATTCCTAAACAATTACCATCTAAATGTCAATTCTGTATCCCATGATTAACTGAAAAAATTCAGGATTGATCTTGAAATTCCCTTTAATAACAATACTCCTAGCTACAATACAAGTGGGAAGGGGTAGGATTTATCGTGGTGTGAGTGAGGTTGTGTGGAGGTAGTAAGACTGGTTTTGACATATGTACTGAGAGCCGTCATGAGTAACTCATAGTCACCAAACTTGGTATTAATTGATTAGAGGACAGATAAGTCAAATGTCAGTTCACCTTGGAGGCGAGCTTAGAAATAACTTTTGAAATTTTGGTAAACTTCATTATTCCGAGGTTAGATAAAAAAAGTTAGGATAGAGAGATTGAGTGTTGTCCACATAATAAGGAAAACTGGCTTCAATAACGTTTTATTGGTTTCTCCAAATATTACTTAAGTCCACATTTAAAATATCATCACTGTTCACAGATTGAGGGCACAGTACTAGACATACGGTAACAGTATATCAGTGCATCTCTTCCTCTACCTGGCAAAGAGAACCTCCCCCCTTCCCTCCCTGTCCTTACATCACAACACATTGCCACACTGCCAGCATCCAGCAGATAGAAGCCAATGACATTCTATTTTGTAACATGTATTAAAACTATAACCATTCATAGAAAAGGTGAAATGCTTATTTAATATCCTTAGTCTGGTTACACCAACCACTGTAACAGGTGGAACTGTGGGCGACTGTACCTGTAATGGTTAGTTGCCAGCTACTAGTGACACAGTATCCTATGTCCAGCCCATTGTACACATTACATGAGCTAACTAGCACAGGTCACTAAGGCATAAATTAATACTGTACTGTATATAATCACAACCAAAGTTTGTTTTCTAAAGATTATGCAAACTTTGTTTTCTGGTAGGAATATTGTACACACAAGACATATCTCAGGATGTCATACCTCAATATCAGCAACAGGGCTTGTAGCTCTAATAAATGAATAGATGGCTGTAGGAACAGACATATGGGCAGAGATATAGACTCCTAATTCATCCTCTACTTGTTCACGGCTGACTGAGTCACCACGCTCCATTAGTTCCAGAACTTTCTCCAACCTCTTGACATAGACATATGGGTCTTCTCCCTCGTATAGAATGCTGTGTGATAAAATAGAATTGAAATGTTTTACCTGAAAATGTTGCTTCATTATTTTCATGCGGCAAAATGCTTCAGGTTGAAAATCAACATGTTTTGCAATGTAAGTCCTCGGAGCGATGCAAGGCTAACCTGACAATCACATATACTGTATTGTATATGAGACCATAACTTTGTAAGTGCCAACTCTGCCAAAAACTTGTTTTTTATCCCATTGTTTACCCACACCTATTGCTTCTTGATTCCAAGGCTGAGGGAGCATGAAGCTGTAGTTTGTACGACCGAAAATCCCATTTCCGTAAAGGGATTGTCAGCCATAATTTCACAGTGCTGGCGTGGGGTGCGCTCCCACTCATTTCCCCACCTGCTGAGACGCTCCAACAATAGCGACATAGCGTGCGGTGAATAACGTCTAGGGAACTGTGTGTGTGTACATTATTTTGCATGCAACAATCTTTGTTTGTATTAACATATCTATATTACGAACATGTACACTCAGTAAAAAAAACTACCGTTACAATTCCTGCGTGAAACAAACTGACACTACAAACGAAGTGTTTCAAAAAGGCCCCCGAGGCATTCCTCTCATTGGTAGCCCTGCTTGTGTATGGGCTCGGCCACACAAGCTCGAAACAAGTAATCGGCACTCTGAAACAAAACCCAGTACTAGACTTTCCGGAATTATCGACCATACGGTAAAACGTCGTTGGGCCGGGTTCCATTATGACGGCATGCGAAACTGTGGAGCTATTCAGATGTTTAGGAACAGTATGGTATATTTTCCAATACGAATAATGAATGACATAATGTGGCATTAGCCCAAAGTGAAGTAGCAATACAAATACAGATTTGAAATTTGGTTGCCAAATAATCTTATACCTTTACTATATCCACTAATTCTGCCAAACATATAATGCATTCCGATATGGCAACTCATCCACTTCCATGGTTGCTGTAGTCCACGGTGTGTGGAAAATTTAATATAACATACAGTTTAAATTATCTAGATGTACTGACATTTTCCAGTCATATTGTAACAAAGTAATTCAATATCATCAATGAAATAGCTAATTTCGACCTACCAAATTAAGTACGAAATGTTTCACATTCAGGCCTACCAACCCTCGCGAGACAATGGGAATGTTCAGTTGGAAAATCATCAGATCCCATCTGTACGGTAGTTTTTTTTACAGAGTGTACATAAACATTTTGCCAGAAAACTTGGTGAAGGTGATTATTATGGTGATCACAATAATCTCTTGGACATTTTCAGTACAATGTACTGATATGATTAGTTATGAAGTACTGTACATCAGTAACCTACCTATATCAGAATATTCAAATTTCATCAAAATCTAATGACTAAATTACTAAGGTTAGGATAATTTTCATGATTACTAAAAATCATGACAAGATTGTTATTATCTAATGTCAAAATAATCCTGAGTATGTAAGGTTCAATTTGTTAGAAGAGTAATTGCACTATCACAATTAGCTCAAGAGATATAGCGAGTTCTATTTTCCAAAACTTTAATCACATATTCTGGTGTTTTTCTTTTTAAGCGCTTACGAAGTTATGGTCCACATAGCCTCATATGGTAAAGTGAGTCAACTTTAATTTTCAATCCTCAACATTAGTAAAAATATACTGTATACAAAAACCCTGTATACTGATTTAAGTTTGTATATACAGGTACCCCCTGTACAGTAATTCATAAATATGCAGCATTGGCTTCTTAGAAGAACAAAATTATCATATTTTTGTGTATTGTATTTTATACGGAAGAATTATTAAAAACAACGCAGGACTGATACCGAGATCCTCTTTCCTGGCTGTCACTCTCTACCCCGGCAGCTCATAATACCACTGCTGTTTACTGGGAACCTGTCAGTCTGCATGACTCATCCATTATATTATTCACAGATGATCTGTTAATTCATTTTGGATATACTGTACCGTACAGTACTATAACTCTACCCTTGGGTTCAAATGGAGGAGGACATGATGCAACAATTACTTGATAGGCTTGAAATCTTATTTGAGTCATGCCTGCTGAATCAACATTCATTAAGCCCGGGTCACTGTCAGAAACTATTGATTCCGGCTTAAATGAGCATTTTCCATGGGAGGAGGGAGGGTTTCTGAGCTGCCAAGCTATGGGCTCTTCCAGAAAAGGGGGTTAGAGGATCTATCCTCTATTTTTGGCTCTTATAATCATATGACAATATAAAACAAGAGGGAGATGATATCACAAAAATCTCCAGAACTAGATACTGTAGCATAAGTGTTGATGCACTATTCCAAAGGTCAGGAGGATATTTTCACCACCCAGATATCAAAAACTTAATGCAACAATTACAAAGTCATCCATTCCATTAGCATGTTTTTTGACTAACAGATAAGAACTGTACATGTCTTTGTATCATTAAAGTTATAACTAAAAAAATATAGGAAGTGCAGCGAACCATGCATCAAAACTTTTTGCGACCCTATATGCAAAAAATTTGCATGACCTTGCTGCACAGTAAAGTACAGTATACTGTACAAAATTTATTTTAGTCTTGCATATTAGCCAAATTGTATTATAAGTCATGTATGTTTTCAAGGGATTACTGTAAAGACACTTTTTTAACTTTGTAATTCTTTTTAGTATACAGTCTCTCCTCAACTTACAACATATTCGACTTACGACAACCCGGACATACGACGGCCATAACGTATAAAAATTTTTTCACATTACGTATTTTCGAGTCCTGTCTCCTCCTCTGCCTCATCCAATTAATGTAGTCTCCATGCTTAACTAAAAAATTATTGAGGCCCCGTGTGCTGACTACATTAAAGGTAAGTGCACAGTAACACTTTATTCATTTTTCATTATTAATTACTTTTACTGTACTGTATTTCATTTTAGAATTTCTATGTATTATTTTTGCCTTTTCAACTTACAACCTGGTCGTCGGGACAGAACCCCGTCATAAGTCGAGGAGAGACTGTACTGTACAGTACTGTAATTCAATCCGGAGATTTTTTCAATTATTTGTTTATAGATTTTCTCATAATTCCTGTCAGTAAAATTCAAATATTTCTTCAAGTTTAGTTAAACTGATAACTAAATATAACAAAACTGGAAACTGGTGAAGTAAAAGATTGATAAATGAGGTGAAGCTCGTAGTATAACTAATATATTTGTTAGGGTAAGTGTGATCAATGCTGGTCACATACTCATCTTCAGAAGGTTTTTCAATTTCCTTCATTTTTGTTATAAGACTCTCAATAAACTTCACAGAGTCCAATTTGTTCGTAGGGGTGTGGAGAGCTTCGTAGATTGCCAGGCACTGTTGAAAGGAAACACACACATAAAGTAGAAAGGGAAATAAATGGTTACTATATCTAATACATGCATCCTCATTAATCGCGGGGGTTAGGTTCCAGAAAACTACTGTGATAAGCAAAACCGTACAAATTGAAACACATAACATACGGGAAAAATTTGTTTCGTCCCATGACCCCAAAGATACATCCCCTAACTGACCAAAATATACCACAAAAATGCATAGGTACACTAAAAGATATAATACTATTAACATATCTTTACTAATTTATGAATAACAAATAAACAATGTACAGGTACAGTACAGTACTGTACAATACCGCATCATGAATGACAGTCATAGTAAAATGAGTGAGAGAGGCAGTGTTGGTGAGATGCAGTGGGTGGGTGGGAGGCAATGGATATCGTGCTGATCTGCTTTGTCTAAAGCAAATCCATCTCTGCATCAATGAAATAATGATTTAGGTGGTGATGGTGGCAGTGAACATGGACCTGGTGGTGGAGGGGGAGATTGTGGAAAGTGATGAGGAGATGATGCGACAATCAGTTTGTTTGGTAACACTGGCTACAGCACTACCAGACACAACTGAACAGCTGATGTCTACCCTCAAAACTGACTGTACGTATAAATGAACGTCATATTCCTTCCACATTACGTTACATAAATTTTAAATTATGGAGTGAGAAAGCAGAAAGGTGGGGGGTGATTTGAGAGGTGGAGTGGAAGGAAGTGGTAACACACAATGGGTATGTTGCCAAGCGCATGCTTATCCTTGTCGGGAACATGAGAACATTCAACCATAGAATACACATGTCTTCGTCACTTGGCTGGATTAGGAACCTTAACTCTTCTTGTTCACAGGTGAAGGGTAAGTAAAATTTTAAAAAATTGCACCAAAAACAAGCACAGAGCAGGAAACCATCTGAAACTCCAACTAAAACAGCGCGGGGAAACAAATGCTGTCATAGGAAGCTAGCGCCACGAGCCGTGCTGCCATCTTTTGGCAGTCACTGCTACAGCCGTTGCTCTCGCGGACCCACCGCTGTCCCATGATAATTCCGTGATAACCCAGATCAATCAGAGATAGCGTACACATGATGATACCATAATAAGCCATATCAGCAATTACCAGGTCCCGCAATTATCGAGGATACATGTACTACACTTGTTATGGATGGGGAACACCACAGCAGACCAAATTCATTACAATAACTAGAATGAATAAAGGACTATGTGCCTGTGTTGCTTTGGACTCTTGCCACACTGGACCAAAATCCAATAGGTGTTACAAGGCAGTTAATACAGGGGGCCCCCCCAAGTTCGCGGATTTTTATTTCGTGGTCCTCTATTATTAGCGGATGACACCCTAGATGTACCCAAGAATGTCTGTGGGTAGTTTTAAAGTAGCCGACATTTTCGCGGCTGGGACAGGGAGCCATTCGTTCTAGAGACAGTAATTTCCTTTACCTGTACAGTAAGTCCTTGCTTAACGTTGGGGTTACGTTCCTAAAAATGCGACTTTATACGCAACAACGTTAAGCGGATCAATTTTCCCCCATAAGAAATAGATAGTATACGGGAGTTACGTTCCTGAGCCTCCCTTTGCCCCATGAAATACATTACTTATACAGAAAATCATTGCCATTTCTATAGAAAATAATGCATACATATACAACTACTAAGTTTGTATTGGTACTCACTGATGGGCGGAGGTGGTACTGTAGAGCGAGTGTGTGGTGGGTAGTGAAGCAGAGGAGGCGGATGGCGGAAGGGGAGGAGTACGGCCGGAGCGGAGGAGGAGGGTGTGAACGGAGGAGGGCGGGAGAAGAGGAGGGTGGTGAGTCACTGACACTCTGCGCCAAGCCGAGAGAGCATAGCATGGCCAGACGAGAGCAGGTGATGCACTGTAAAATGTAGTCTGTGATGACGCAAAACAACGTAGTATCGGATCACCGGGACGTTAAAATTTTTTTTTATTTCTAAAGTTTAGCGACGTAGTACCAAAACAACGTTAAGCGGAACGATATTAAGCGCAGACTTACTGTATTGTTAAATATGTGTGAGTGTGTGTGTGTAGAAACAAATTTATTAAAACTGTAACAGTCTACCCTCAAGTCTGTGCTTTATTACGTTATTAATAGAGCACGGACTTGAAAGTAGATTGTCACATTTTTAATAAAAACAATTCTGATTATTTGTGAGAGTATTTTCCCATTATTATTTATTTGCATGTGTTTTGTGTGTGTGTCTAGACACACGCGCACACACACACACACACACATATACAATATAAGTAAAAGAAATAATTGTCCAAAAGGCAAACACATAAAGGGAATATACATTTTCTACATTTCTTTGTACACGAGTAAAAATGCACCCCCACCCCCCGTCCGCAAATGTTATTCACAGATTTGGCAATTCGTGGCCACTTTGAGAACCTAACCCCCACGAATTTAAGGGGCTCCCTGTACTAAGAGTTCATCCTGAGATCTCGTTTTAGAATCAAGCCAGGACTTCAACTTAGATAGACCGGAAAAGCAGGCTGTTTGGAGCTGAAAATTGTCCATTTATAAAATGAATCCCTCCCATTAAGCATTACAAACTTCCTAAACAATGGCATGTTCTGCTTTGGAATCCTTATTTGTAAAATGTTGTAGACAACTCATGAAGATTTTTAGGCCATAAAACTAAATGTTACTGTATATCAAGATCATTCTCCTGAGTCTACAGAGATTATACCAAAATGTTACATTTTATCAATGCAGATGTAAATGACAACTTTCCAAAAGTTACAAAGGACCAGTGGTGAACATCATACGAGGGTCATTCAATAAGAAATGAGACTTTGATGTAGATGACAAAGGGGAGGAGCAAGCACAGTGATTATATTAAGACATGTTTAGACATGCATAAGCTACATCTTCTTTTGTTTGTTTAGTCAGTTCGTTCGATTAGTCTCGCATAAGTGTTGCATTTAGAGAAAAGCTCAGCTTGAATGTCAATTCAATATGGAAACAATTGCATTAGTCAAGAGAACATTTACAAGTGGGTTGAACAATTCAAGAATGGTTAAACAGGCATTGAGGATGAAGAATGTACCGGACAAACTGTTGAAGTTTCAACACCCACATTGCATCAGAACTTTGAGATGAAAATTTTGGGCTCGGAGCTTTTGACGTACTGCGCATGCAGTCCAGATCTTGCACCATCAGACATTTTTCGAATAATGATAAGGTGAAGAAAAAATCCGAAATTGGTTTTGGAATAAGCCGAAAAAAATTTCCGCCAGAGGAATAAGAAAACTCATAAAGATGGGACACATGCATAGCAGTAGAGGGAAATTATGAGGAAAATTAGGTAGGTGATCATTAATAATAAATCATTACTTCTGCAGTTATATTCATTTGTCTCATTACTTATTGAATGACCCTTGCATAAAACAAAAAGACTACTGTACTGTATAAAAGTCTCTGGATCAGACTTTCAACTAAAAATGCTTTTGTCGGGTGATATTACTCATGATGTTCGTTTTAACCCTTAAATGGTAGCTAAGGAATCCCTACTCTGCCCCCATTTGTGCAAAAATGGAACTCAAGGAAGATGAAACTTTCACTGATGATGGCCATCATTTAAGTGTTAAAAGACAACATGGCCCAACTTGCCATCCATGTACCTGTAGGACTGCTCCATTATACCCCAGTCTGTTAGCATGTGTGATGAGTGCCGTGTCTCGTGATGTATCCACCAAACCTGCTTTTGTAGCATAACAAAAGAGAGCAACGGGTGCAACTCTCATAGCAGCTGTTGGTCAAACAAATGTCAAATACAGTATACAGTACTGTCAACAACCTCTTAAGTATTTTCCTAATGACATTTATGTATATACAGTATTTCTAACTCAAATGTTTACTTAAGTACAAGTAGCTATAACTTAAACAGTACACAAAACACTTTACAGTATTAATTTTACAAGACAAATATTAAGTGTTACAGTACTTCTGTATTATACCAAACAATTACAGTACAAGTACGTACTGTAAATAAATTTTGGCCAAAGTTATCTCACACGGATAAAGATACAGAGTAAAGTAAGCCTGGGAAAAACATGAGATCCTATAATAAGATACAAGAAGCACTGTGCAGCAATATTCAGTGCAATTTGGTATGACATATCAATAGTTATTTCGAATCATGTGAAGATAAGTCCCCATTAGCACACCAGAGGATCAAACACCCTAACCTAACCCCCCAGGTAATGTAAGGGTCTTTAATCATCACAGCAAATAAGCTGATGGAGCTAAACTTCATGTGATCCTTTATTTCTGCTTCCAATACTGACATTACCATTAATACTACGTCAGCAATCACATTAAAAACTTCATTACTTGGAATTATTTTGTGTGTGATAATGTCAACATAAATAAGCTTGATGACTAAATTTAACACATATACCCTACATTAAAATGACAGGAAATGTGTGTTGGTATTTCTACTGGTTGTTTCAGCTCTCTCTTGTTACATTTTAAACAACTTGCACACCTTTCCCTTATTACTATTATTCCCTTTCTCTTAGGTTCCTGTTCCCCTTGATCCACCCAACACAAGAATCAGAGGGCCAAATATGATAGGATAATTATTGAACAAACATACAATACTCGCAATACTTAACTGGTTATTATTACCCATCCTCAGCCAGTCAAATCTTTACCCAGCAATCCTTTCCTCTCTTTTACCTGCAGCTAATTCTACCCCACTACCACACAATTGCAGGGTCTCAATTGTTTCTCTAACTTTGACAACACAACATACATACTGTACTGTATATCGTTTCTCACTCTTGATTTATCTTTTCATTTTTGTATATATTTATGGTTATTATTTCAGTATTATTTTTATTTTTATTATTTTATTTTTTATTAATTATTATAGTAAAAATAAAAATAATAATTATTATTATTATTATATTTTGGCCCCCCCAGGCCCTGATGTGGATCAGTGACCGGTGCCAGGGTGGGCCAATCCCCATAAAAAATACAGTATATACTACAGTATATTAAAAAAAATAAATAAAAAAATAAATAAAATAATAATAATACAGTATAACATGGTATGCATCTTTATATTTAACATGAGGAGCAAAACCGATTCACCTTTTGTTTCTCTGTTTTCTGTTTGACTTTCAAATCATTTTCTGACTTCACAAAATAGTTTTAATTGAATTGAATTGAAACAGTTTATTTAGCCGGAAAAACACAGATACAGAGTGAATAATAATAACAATATTAACATGGCTGAGCCAGTTGAGAACCGCTTTCTTTTAGGCACTATACATTTATCTCAAGGAAGTATTATGTAAGTATTATGAGTAAATCAAGAAACTGGTGGGAGAGGGGGAGGGGTGACATCAACTTGTGGTCCCCCTAGGTCAGAGGTCGGGGAACAGGGGTAAATTATCCCAAATGTGTTAAATCTAAAAATTTGGGGGGTAATGCATGCGGTATGAAAGACACTTCCATCAGAGCCTCAGTTTACTCGCATTGTTTTTGGCTTGTTTTTGTTTACTGTAGTAGTGTACTTTGAAGTCTGGGGGTAATTTCATTTTACTCAAAAAATTTTTTTGGGTAATACCCAAAAAAGTTCCCCGACCCTTGCCCTAGGTGCACCCCTGAATGTGTCAACAACAGCATTATACAGTACTTATTTTGTTCTCTTGTTCCAACAATCCTCCTTCAAAAGCCATATTCATTTAGTGTCTACAAAAACTCAATACACTGTCTATACGAATTATAGTGTTTCTACAAAAAGAAGTAAGAAATTACTACAAGGGTAACCAAAAACTAAGATAAAAAAAAAACACAAAAATGTAGGCCACAGAGACCAACTTTTGGTGTAGTGATTCTGTAGTCAGGGTGTTTGTGAAATGTCATGACTTCAGTACAGGTATATGGTCAGTACTGTAGTGCTCGGGGGGACCACTTCAACTGACAATAGTATGACCCTTCCACATTTGTGCCAGAACATAAAAATAAACATTTCACTCTTATTTACACCAGTCCCAACAATTTCATCCATTATTTCACTACACCACTCACACAGAAAAGGGACCGTGGTACCAAGCTTACAAAAAAATGGAACTAAAGCTGAGAACATCATTCCAAGGATTGGTAGGTTGACAACTTAAACTGGGTGTTTACTCCTGGTCTCTTCTGTACATGGTGAAGCCCGAACAATTAACAGATAGGAGATGTACATGGCTAGTGTATTGCCACAGCACAGAGGCTTCCTGCTTTTAATGCTGACTTGTTTTCAACCTCCCGTTTGAGGTAATACTGGCAACAGGGAGGTGTAAAAATATCTAATCAGTCTGATTGGTCGGTCCAGCCACCAAAGTTTAGGTTCTCTCTGGGTCTCCATCTGAGGATATGAGGATGACATGTGAACCATCAGATGGACAGCACAACACTGTAAATTCCTGTTTTACTACTTGATTATTATACTTTCCATGGCAAAATTGCTCCTCTCTAATTTTCTAACAATCAGTACTGTATTTCTTTTACATACCTCCATTACCATATGAACCTCGACCATTAAATTGAAATGCTGCAGGACTATAGGGATCTCTGAACTTAGTGGCACGCAGGGCAGCAAACACATCAGTTACATTACTACCATACCCTCGTTTTGGTTCTGCATAGTACTCCTTTACAAACCTGTAAAACAATGTCTTGATTAGCTAACAACTGTATTGATTTAGATCACCTGAAGATTAGCCCACAGCTTATTTCACCTTAAGATTAACTCTTCTAATGTTAATCTAACTTAACATTAGCTAACCTAATATAACAAGAATAACCCAACTTATCCTAAAATGGAAAATAAAACAAAAGCCTTAATCTAACTTAACCTCGCTAGTGTTAAGTTGCTTTTTCATTAGGTAAAATTAACTTGGGGCTAATCTTCTAGTGACCCAATGATTCTTAAGTGCTTCTATACTTTCAATAGAAGGTAAATTTACTTCAACAAATCAAATCAATGTTAGAGAAGAGTGGTTAATGCAAAAAAAAGTTCCCCACACCATGACCTCAGTGCATTTCCGAATATTTTTGTTCACATTAAATGGTGTAAAGCTGTAATACACCATCTGTGTTACTGAAGAGCCAAAGGGAGTATATTCTCTTAAGTAGGCAAATAATTATCCTTTACTGCAAAATAATCACTGTATTGTTTTGGGAAATTACATATCACTAGATATTTTTATTTCAATAACTTACTGACTATATATAAATTGTTTTTACAGAATAATCTGGTGTTATCGCACAATATTGTTCCATCCTCCTCTAGTGCCAGAATCCTTGACTCGCTGCACAGGCCTCCACATAAACAACATGCCATAAAGTATTCAGCACATAGAGGTATGGTGATGATCAGTATGAAAATTGTTTACTCTACAACCTATTAATAAAGACATTAATCTGCATACATCTTATTTACAGGAGTACAGTACAAGCATTAATAATTTACCTTCTTGCCATATCTTTGGCGTCAAAACCTTTCTTTTCAATGAGGGACTGGGCTACACATCTTGTCATTGCAGTATCATCTGTATACTGCTTATAAGGTACTAGAGGATAGAAAACATACAAGGTTAGGAACATCAACATTATAATGAAAGCTATCAATTACTGTTTTTCTGGAATACAATACAGTGTATAATTGATTCTCTATATCACCTTATCAGTTTTACCACTGACAGAAGTACTGTACGGTACTGCACAGGATATATGAGGTGCTCTGAGCCAGAAGTAGAAAAGCAATGCAGGTAAAGTTTTGAAGGATGTTTGAAGAATATACTGTAGTAGTATAGCAGGCACATCTAACGTCACTTTGTCCTTTTTCTTGTTCTTGCCCAGAGTGCATCATAATTATACAGTAGGTACATATATAATACAGTATACCCAACTTTCATTTCACATTACCAACCAATGAACTTGTCACTGTAGTCAAGAGTATTTATTGGTACAATAATTTGTCATACCTTTAAGATCTGGATCACTAAGTCTTCTAAAATAAGACTGGAGAATAGAACGTGTGGCACGAGGTTCCCCCTCAAATGGTGCACCAAGACAGTCCCCCATCAGTGCTCCAACCATACACCCTCGGAACCTTCCTGCCATCATCTCAACTGCCTCAACCATCGCCATTTCTAAGTAGCAGAGAAATAATAATAATAATAAAATAATACAAATTAAAAATTTTCTCTCACAAAATAAATACTATACAGGTATCCCTCGTTTAACAATTGGGGTACGACTGTTAAGCGAAATGATCGCTAAATGAGGGATAACGAGAAATAATATCCTAAACGGCGGATAATCAGGAATAATTTCCATTAAGAAGGCATGTAACTGCGTAGCTGAGTTGCCAGCTCACCACCCAGTAGCGGGTGAGGCTGAGCTGGGAGCTATGTTATTGTTCAACTCAAAATTTCAGGTAGATATAAGTAATTTTTTTCATTTTTATTTACTCTGTTACATGCATACACAAATTACACAATCGTTCATACAGAATGTGAAAAAAAATAAAAATAAATACAACAATAATTATCATAATGTCATAAACAAAAAGGGAATAAACAATTTACATGGCCGACAACACAAAGAGTGAGGGTGGAGGAGCGAGCAGCAGCGTGAGGATTACTCGGCTGTTATCTGTCCCGTATCCCATGAAATGATTGCCAAATGGCAATGTAGTATTCTTTTTTTTATTATATTTATTATTCCTCACATGTACATGCAACACACTTCATCTGGACAGTCACTAAGCTGACTCAAGAGATGTGTGTGGCTGCTGACTGTATGCCGTGACATCACAAGAGGGGGAGAGAGTGCCACAGATACAGACTCAATACAAACATTCACTTCCCACACATACACACCCATGCTCTTCATTTTCTTATTTTATAGTTTATAGTATACAGCCACACCTCGACTCACGACGGGGTTAGGGACCCAAATCCAGGTCGTAAGTCGAATTGGTGGTAAGTCAAAAATGCGAAAATAATACATAGAAAATCTAAAATGGGTGTCTCTTTTTCTTCTTAGGGTAACCTCCCACTGTTAAAGGGTTAACCTTTCAACTTAGAAAAAATATGATGATTTTCCTTTTTTTTCCTCTCTTAAAGTATTCAAGAGCAAAAGAAATGCCGGTAAATTTTTACTTTAGGACATGAGTCTCTAGGGGTTGACCAATATGTTTTTCCAGTGTATTTCGGTGTGTTTTAAACAAATCTGACCTTCATTTTTGGCAGAAATTGCTAGTTTTTGTGCCCCCCCCTCAACAATAACAGGGGAGAGCCTGAGAAACTGGGGTTTTGGGCCACCCAAAAACGAGTCATCCAACCTAACAAAACCTAACTTAACTCCTAACCGGGGCTCCGCCCCCAGTAGGCCTAACCTGACTCCTAGCCGTGGGCACCTAGCTTAAACTAACCTAAATGTTTCAGTAGTTAAGAACTCTGGGGCAAGCCATGTCCGAAAGTACAATACCTTAGGAGTGGAAGGACCAGGGATACGTAAGAATTGGATAGAATAATCGTCTTTCTCATAAAACTCGGCAATAAGCTTAAAATAATCATAGGAGTACAAACGACAACCAACCTCCACCACGGCCATTGTGAAATTGGTCAATGAAATTAAAATCATACCCAGGCTGCTTCCTTTGAAAAAATAATCAAATGTGATTGGTCAAAAATTTTTTGCGTGATATCGATACCTTATTGGTCATGACTGGATGACATCAGTCAACACTGTGCATGTGTGATGCGCAAATAACTACTTAAAATCAATTAATTAAATTGTGTCGCTATTATCCATTTCCACCATGTATATATATGGGGGTTCAAAATGCTCAGAATAGCGAGATCTAAATGTTTCTGAGGTTTATGACTTTTGGGGGCGCTATGTCCGAAAGTAAAATAATACCGAAATGCCATAGAAGAAAAGTATCTTAGAATTGTCTATAAATTACTGATAATTTTACCATTTCTGGTGCTGTCTCCTCCACCTTTACCAAAACTAGTTTTAACCGAAATCACTTTTATCCAAATATGTTTTATATAATATTCGTTTCTTTTTTGTGAAAGTGCACAAATAGGGAACAGCTAATCTGGATGGATGTTTATATCGAATGTGACACAGGCGCAGTGGTCAAGAAGATGTTTTGGACTGGGGTAGTGGGAGAGCAGATAGTCCGTGAGTCACCAGTAAAGTACCCCGGCTAAGCTTAATGACCGGGAAAATATATACTGTATATTTCTTCTAACAGTTTGTTAACACTATGGAAACACCATATTCAATGAATTTCTTACTATTAATATCACATATAGGTTGTGACACTGGTGCCTGCACCTCGGCACCTCAGCTACCCTGAGAGATTGGAGAGCCTAAACTTGCCTAGCTTATACTACAGACGGGCAAGGGGTGACCTAGTTGAGGCGTATAAGCATCTCAGGGGGCACTACTCAGTCGAGTGTCCTTACTTGGAGCTGGCGGACGCTCGCCCCACAAGGGGTCACAGCTCAAGATTGAAGAAGCCGCAAGTCCAGAAAACCGTGAGGGCAAACTTTTTTGGAGTGAGAGTTGTAAACTCTTGGAACAATCTACCAGAGAGTGTTATGACGGCACCGAGTGCAAGCTCTTTCAAGACAAGACTTGACCAACACTGGAGCAGGTTCAGGTACATTCAGGAGCCGGTGCATGCCCAGTACTTGCCAACAGTGCGTGACAGAGACGTGACCGATCGCCCGGGTGGCTAGCGAGCCGACCTTTTAGTGAAAAAGATAAATGAAAAGGAAAAGTAATCAGAGACGTGACCGATCGCCCAAGCGGCTAACAAGCCGATCAGTGGTGAAGAGGATAAAGCTACCCACCGTCACCTGAGTCCACCTGCTCACTAGTAGCCACCAAGGCTGGTACAGTATTGGTACAAACTTTGAAGAAAACAACAACACTATGATCAGACATATCTCACCTGCTCTAAATAAATATCACACTTATGATATTCAAGTTCATATTAATAGTATCTAAGCCAATTTCTCAAAAACAACGAAATGATCGACAATGTATAATGTACTTAACCACCATAAGAATTAACTTGGTGTGAGTGTCAACAAACGAGGTGACGGGTTACATTTATTGTTAACATTATCTCATAGCTTTTAACTTTTATCTGATATATCATACACACATATATACCATATATATATTTAATGCTTTATCTATTCCTTAAAATGTCCCCAAAAAATCGTTTTAATCAATATAGTACTTTTTAAATGTTACCTTCCTAGACACCCGAACACCTGTAGTTAAGACAACCCAAACCCTCAGCTGTTTCTAGGTATGTTATTTCTACTTAATTATCTGGCTATCATTATTTTATCAAATTCTGAAAATGTTTCCCTGCTTTTATAACATATCACATAACAGAGACCCAATACACTGATTAAAGCTAGAAAATAAACATCACAAGGTTTGAGGGTAAAATTTCACGTGTTCTGAATCTAGCCTTAACTAACCAAACAAAACAACCAACCAATCCTAATCTAACCAACCAAATTTAACCTAACCTTGTTTAGAATTAGAAGACTGGGTAGGTTGTGAAGGGCTGTGGAGGGTATAGTCATCCTGCTTCGGCTGTGGAGGGTATAGTCGTCTTGCTTCAGCTGTGGAGGGTATAGTTGTCCTGCTTCAGCTGTGGAGGGTATAGTCCTGCTTCAGCTGTGGAGGGTATAGTTGTCCTGCATCAGCTGTGGAGGGTATAGCCGTCTTACTTCGAGGAAGAATCGGTGTAGCAAATGGTCACAGAGCTGGTGGATGAATAGGTAGAGTGCAAAATACTGCTTAAAATACTGTGGGCGATTTCCTGGTCTTTTCACGCACCTCTTCACATCCCTCCACAGCTGTTTGATGTTCTGGGTGTGTACTGTTGGATCTTGTCAGTCAATATTTATCCTGACAGTGATACAGCCAAAAACAGATCCTCCAATCACAATCACCTTTACATGCAGCCTTCCTTTACCAAATATTGCGAGCACGAGACCCAGGGTGAGGTCGGTGCATCTTTGGCTGACTGTACCTGTCTCCCAGTCTTATCACCATCTTCACTTTAACACAATAAAACATAGTCGAGTGTAACTATCAACTTGAATCATGAGCTTTTCCTCGTGGAAATAATAAGGAAAGTTGTCCTTTAATTTTTTTTATTTTTTATGTAATTTTTACTGAAATTCACAAACAGTATCAATGAGTAGCATCAAGTGTGGAAAGAAAGCAAAGGCAAATAGCATGTGAAGTCATAAAAATCACATTTAAGTTCTTAAAGAAGAGTTGTGGTGCCATCAATAGTAGCCAGCAAAGGAGGCTGCCACGCTACATCATTTGTGATGATGAATGACAAACCAAGTAAACCACAACCTTTATCATTGGGTTTTGTTACATCTGATTGGTTCTTCTTGTCTGTTCTTATACAGTAAAAGGTTTCATGTGGTAACCTCCATAACTGGCACTGTGACCCATCTCAAGTAGATTTAGATGTGATTATCAAAAGTACAGTACAGTATTGTACAGTACATTATTTTTTTTCTTCCACCTGGTTTCCATATTATATATTAAAACATATGATGTAATATTGATTATTATATTGTTAATACTTATCCTTTACTAACCGCTTCCTTTCTGTTGTTACAGGTCGTGGACTCATAAGTACAGAATGCCTCAAGTCCTATTTGAAGTATTGCCAAATATTCTGGCTTGCAATATGTACATCACCTTACCTCCTGGTGCTGGCTATTATCAGAAGATGCTTGTTAGTAAATCTGACTGTACCATTGAGCTTCAAGATGGAGAGACTTTTGTTATCAAGATACCAAAAGGGTCATATTTAGTGCCTAATTCAGCTACTGGCATTATTCAAAAAGAAAACATCATTACAGCCCGTGCTGCCATCAGTGAGATGACTTCTCTCATCAGTACACTTAGCGGGGATATTTTGAGCACTAACATTACCAGTTCCATGGACACAGAGTTGAGTAGTAGTATGTCAGACTCTTTGGTATCAGCCCATTGTAAACAGTGTCTAAAACATTTATGTACAAATATTAAATTTCGAAGGGTGCTGCCCCTGCCATCAGTTGACTGGGACCAGGCATCTGAAGGTTGGTTCTGTCACCTTCATGCTGAGGATGGCCATAAACTGAAACCAGCATCACTTCAACCTGAACATGATGAATGCTTTTATACAGAATTGTTCTTCCTTATCCACCCTAGGATGATGGATTTTATTAATGCTGAGCATAATGGTTGCACCATAAGTTGTTCAGGATGTAAAATGATCCTTGGTGAGAAGACCAGTCAGTCAATCAAGCTGTGGGCACAAAACCTTTCATGGTTACAGGATGATGGAAAAATAATTTATGATAGAAGTATTAGTGAGATATTACTCTCCCTGTTCCACAATATTGATAGGGATAATTTTGGAGTAAATTGTAGGCTTGTGCTGCAGCCACTGACAATGGCAAAAAAGTATCTGTATATGGTGACAATGAACACAAACCAGAAGTTACTTGTTTCAGATGTGCCACAATGTGTCTCAAGTGAAACAATACTGAAAAAGTCAAACAAGGAGAAAGAAGGATCCCAAGTAAATGGTGCACCAACAAAGAAATTACGTGTGGCAAGTGAAAAGGAGATCTGTCTTAAGAAGGTGTATGCAATCAAATTATTATACTTAGTGAAGGAAGATGAAGATGAGCAGACAGGGGAATGGGTTGATGATGTCAATGTACACATTATTCCTTGCAGTAATTCTTTCTTCCAAGAAGTAAAATGTATATTAGAGAATTCATCTCATTGTTTACCTGATAATATTAGAGCCATTGAGAACATGAGCCTAGGTTATATAATTAAATGATATTTTATAATTAAAGTTTTGACTTATTGCAGATTTTCATTTAAAACTTACACTCGTATATTGGTAATATACAGCATGCCCTTAAAATTTGCTGGGATAGGTTCTCAAAATGGCCGCAAATAGCCAAATCCGTGAATAACATTTGCTGACCAGGTGGGGGTACAATTTTACTCGCGTGCGAAGAAATGTATATTCTCTGTGTTTGCCCTAAGGACAATTATATATTTTATCTATTGTATATATGTGTGTGTGTGTAGACTGATGTGGTTTTCCCAGGTTAATCCACTGAACAGAATATAACGAAAGAAAGCTGAGAATGAAAGTAAGTTAGAGGAAATATACTAATAAATAAGAGTATTGAAAGGAATGAACAATCAGTAAGTAAAGAGTAGAAAGAAATATAGAAAATAAAGAAATTAAGATACATAGGTTGAAGAAAAGTATAGAATCGGAAATAAAATAAAAATCTCCAACAATTATAAAAGTACCTCTCACAAATGTTGTCAGCTGGTGGGATTATTTTCTTGCACTATTACAAGGTGATGGAGCAGAAAAAACCATTAGAGTGCTTTTGATTCAAACGTTATATTATTCAAGTTACTGTATTTTGGTTTTTCAATTTCACTTAACAAAACACAATTTGGGGGGTTTTAAGTTCACAGTAACAAGGCTGTGGGATACAGTTCATTGTTGACTTCTTACTCACTTCATTACTGTTATATGTCAAGCCAATCTGAAATCTTGTTGCCACATACTCCTGTGCATGCTTAATTTTTTGAGTTGGAATTTGTCAGCTGCAAGGTGGTTCTCTAGGCAGTGGATGCTCTTTCTCAGAATTACAAAACCAATAAACATGTTTATGTAAATAATTGAAAATTTTCAAGGCCCAAGGTGTTTGTAGTGGATTTCTCCCCTACAAACGCTGCTCCTCCTCCGCCGCTGCCTGGCGGTCCTCTCTCCCGCCGGCGAGCATGGCGACCCACAAGCTGTCCTTCTCTGAGCTTCCTCACCAACCAGCTCTCTCTACATCATGCTTGTAACCATGCTGCCTTCCCAGCACCAAGCTGCATTGTACATCCAATACAACATGTATATTAGAGGGCACATTGTGAGTTTCCTTTCTTCATTCCATCCTGAGTGTGAACACAAATATCCTGAACCCCACAATATATAAGGCAATTGTTGCCATTTTTCGTTTCTGCCACACTGCTGCCATTAATCACATGTAAGACAATTGTTGCCATTTTTCGTTTTCGCCACACTGCTGCCGTTAATCACATACAGTATAAGACAATTGTTGCCATTTTTCGTTTTCCCCCCACTGGTGCCGTTAATCACATGTAAGGCAATTGTTGCCATTTTTCGTTTTCGCCCCACTGCTGCAATTAATCACATTTAAGGCAATTGTTGCCATTTTTCGATTTCGCCCCACTGCTGCCATTAATCACATGTAAGGGAATTGTTGCCATTTTTCATTTTCGCCGCACTGCTGCCGTTAATCACATGTAAGGGATTTGTTGCCATTATTTGTTTTTGCCCCACTGCTGCCGTTAATTATGTAAGGCAATTGTTGCCATTTTTCGTTTTAGCCACACAGCTGCTGTTAATCACATGTAAGACATTTGTTGCCATTTTTCATTTTTGCCACACCTTATATAAGTACCTATACAATATTATATGATTACAAAATATTAGAAATTATATAGAACCAATATAATTTAAATCCAATGCAAAAAATAAACTAAATTTTACAAACTATATACAGCTTTCATATTTGTTTCATAGAAAACTGCTCTGACAACAGCGAATAGATCAGTGGCGGACTGGCCCACTGGGATACAGGGAAATTTTCCAGTGGGCCCCAAAGTGATGGTTCCTTTGACTACGTTTTGGGATTAAATGGGCCCTTTTACAAGTTTTCCCGGTAGAAATTTTTGACCAGTCCGCCACCGGACTAGATACAAAATAAATGTACAGCATACGTCTTGATACTGCACTATGTAAATACAGACATATAACAATGATTACTCTCTGAGACTGGCAAACTCCTCATTCTCATCCCAAACTCCTGTATCTCACAGACTTGAAGTTCACTGTTTTTTACTGGTTGCTAAGTTGAAAGTTAGACATACAAGTTAGCTCAAACATTTAATAAAAAAGTTAATGGGGTTAGCCTTCAATTCCTACCTCCTGCAGAGGTAATGCATAATTATTGTATTGCTTGCCCAACAGTTTATACGATGAGATGACTACAGCAGCAGAACGAGCTTGCACTTGGCAATAAAACAAAACACAATTAAAGCTCTTGAAATTTTTATAATACAGTATAGTATTGGCCATAAAAACATATAATAAAATAAAATAAAATAAATAAATAATTACCATCATGTTTTTTGTTCCTTAATCGTATTTACAATAAATACCCTGTGAAACAAACAAAACAATTACGGATCCCCGGACAGGTTGAAACACTGGGCAAATTTCTTTACACTATTTGCTTCTGTTTACCCAGCAGAAATTGGGGACCTGGATGTTAATCGATTTGTGGATCGTGTTCTGGGGTAATGGCTAGTCAGTGCAGTTGGCGAGTTGTCCGGTCTTCTTGGACTATTCCTTGACACTGGGTCATGCAACTCGTTAGCTCAGTGTGTGGTTGTTGTGTTGGCAACAGCCTCTACACCTTAAAAAAATTCACGCCTAGGTGTCCTTTGGGCCGGCCATCTTTGTACACAAGGGGCAACCATTATAATCCCTACAAAACAACATACAGTACTGTATACAAATTACCCCTTTGAAGCTTTTACCATTTTCTGTGGTGCAATACCACAGAAACTTAGATACAGTACTACCATGAGATTATTTTTTTTGTTATGCAGCTGTAATATAAATTACAAGAGATTATAGAGACCATGACCTGATGCAATGTTAGGTCACCCAATGTATGTATGTTCTCTCATTTGCGGTAGAGTTGGGGTGGGGGATCAGTGGGTCTCATAACCTGTAGATGTCTTGAATAAAGAATCTGATTATTTGTTCATAAATAAAAAAGAAAATAAGTTTTTAGCTTTATTGTATAATTACATAAATTACCTCAGGTCTATGTAACATACTTTTAATGAAAAATAATTATATTAAAAAGGTAAAAGAAATTTTTTCAGAGTCTTAGCAATTAATTAATTATGGCACTCTCATTTTGTGCTATCAAATAAGAGAAAATGATACACTGTTTACCTTACATAATCTCACAATAATATTAATATTAATAAAAAGATGGCATTCCTATGTTGATTTTGAAGTACCAAAGCAGATAAGGGTATGACCAAAACATATTACTGTACTGAATTATGATCATACAAATTTTTGAAGTATGAAAGCAGATAAGGGTATATGACCCAATATTTTATTCACAATAGTGCTATGCATAAAAGTGTCCTTTTTCACTTTCTGCACAGGTGAGTACAGCTGCTTTGGTTGGCAAGCTGAGGTGTGTTTCATCGTAATGTACAATAGCTGAATGGTAAGCACAAGGACCTTGATCAGTGCCAGTTTGTTGGCTACCGTCAGGATCTTTGCACTCGAGAGGGATTCTACGTCCACAACGAGATCCTTGATCCAATATCAAAAATCTTGAGACACACAAGAATCTTGGTCCACATTAAGTTAGTGCATATGTTATGTATTAATCCTAGAGGGTAAGTCACAGAAAATAGAAGTTAAAGAATTACCTACACAAAGTACAGCAGGGATGTTTAGTTGTTACCAACATCATGCAACAGTAAGATACTGTATACACCAAAGGTTCATCAAATATAATCATCAGCACAGTTCCTGGGCAATGTCATACACAAAACATTTGAAAGCAAATTTTGATCCACAAACAACTGTACCACCATCCTCCACAATACCTCAGATGCTCATATGAAGTAACCAGTTGAAAGTGACTCATTTGTAGGAAAAAAAAATAATATGGTGTGACAATTTGTTGAGTTACATTACACTCTGGCCAATTTCTGCCTTTTGGGGGGCATAAAATAAAGAATATATTTGTAGCACATCATTTTTGCTTTGGCCACCAAGATCAATTTCAGCTTCATATTATGCCTTCTGTACTCTTGCTACTTAAACTTCTATGAATTTAACCTTAAACCATAATACTGTATCTGATATTTTGATTTCAATAAAATGGATTATTTTGAATTATGCAAGAAATGATATGTAAAATGACAGAATGCAGTAAACCAATAACAATAAAACTAAATTCTTTAGTTATTCAAGATACTGTTGAAGGGATAGAGGGCACAGGCTGGTGCAGTATAATCTATCTACTGTAGATCTGGAGAACTGACGGATGATTTCACATTCTTGGCTAACACACCAACCCCAAGTTTAGTACAAGTATAAGCTCTGCAACATTTATATTCTAAATAGTGTTACAAAAATGTAATCAATAAGTGGGCATTGTGTTAAAGGCATATTGTTAAATCTGACCATGTGAATTTCCTAAATGTGGTTTAATGTGTTAGTGAAGAAAAATTTTTACTGAGTTTTCAATGAGACGACAAGATAATTTCCTTAAAAACTTCAAGTGAAAATCTCTCAAGTATGTATATGATTATCAAAAAGGCATTTACGTGTTATACAGCAATTTTTCATACTACAGTTCCATTCTCATTTACAGTATTTCTAACCATTCTGTATACAACAATACCAAATAAACCGTCTTGACTAATTTTTAAATGTACCACTACAGTATTATTTATGTCCGAATATGTAAAGAGAAGTCACACAATGAGTACTGTACTATAAAAAAAAAAATCATCAAATTTATTTATTTTTAAATACAACCACTCCTTGAGTTTTCTTGAAACTGTGGTATCTTTCATATATTTTTTACCTAGGTTTTAAAGAATAAATATTTATCAAATATTTTTTCCTTAATCCAACAAAAGCCCTATCCTTAGACATCAGCCGAGAGGAGCACCACTCAGTAATACACCCAATTTACTAAAACATGGTGGTATGGGTTGGTGTGCCGACTGGGTGGAACATATCACAGGAACTCGGGGGATGTCTAAGAATCTGACCGGAAGGCTACATTAAGGCAACAGTTGCAGGTTAGCCAAGTAAACTTTAACTGCAGGTCTATCTATACCTCACTACACTACACTACACTAATTATTTACTTCAAGATATAAAATTTAGAGATACGTACTGTAGTGATATCCTGTATCTCATGACAAATCCAGGATTAATTTTCAAGAGGTTAATGAGGATATCTGGCCTTCAAATAAAGTATACTGTGCTTACCTTTCAACATACAGGGTTAGGATAAAATGCAAGGTTTGTCAAGTACAGAAGCCAACTGACACAAAGAACCTTCAATACTTATTAATATCTGGTATGAAATAATTATTGGTAAAGAAGTGACAAAACTTTCCTATTATTCTTTAGTAAATGACAAATCAACCTTACAACTTTCTTGTATGGGCACATACTGTCCAATGAAGGTTTTTAATGCTCATTGCTTACTTCACTTACAGAGCACAATTAGCACACCAATGCTTCCTAATGACTGTGGGTAAGTTACATATTAGCCTCTTCAGTCCAACACTACAAGGATATAAACTTTTGGCCTGGGCAGAAATTGTTGCATCTTCTTACCTTATTGGGTACAAGAGTAACAATATCCCATCACAAGAAATTTAGGTACCACAAATTACAGTATTTTACCTTATGATTAAACACCCTAACGCTACTTGGAGAGGGGTCTGGGTTGGGTTAGCATTAGGGTATTTAATCATAAAGTTATGTAAGTGTGGCTGCCCAATCTTCATGTGTTCTAATGCTGCTTATGTCCACAACTGGTCCCACTGTATATTATAGAGAAAAGAAAAGCTAAAACTAAATTCCGTCTCTATGACTATTTTCTACCCAAGAGAAATATAATCAATAACAGTGAAGTACTACACTATCTTCAACAGTTTCACTTCTTAACTACTGAAAGATACAAAGACAAACACATAGGTCTTAAATCCAGCCTCAACATACACTGCTAAAACCATCCTTTACAGTATAACTAGTCAACTAAATAACAAAATTCCAAAATAGACAGATCATATCCGTGGTGTCTCAAATAAAGGTACACATACTGCCTAACAGATATGATTGCATTACAACAGCAATATTGTTCTAACTTGTGGCAGACCTCACATATAAAAAAAATAAGGGCAATGTTGCTGTTGTAAGAAAGCAGTCGTTCATATGGCAGTGTATAAATTTTTTTTAGACACCCCAATAGGTAAATGTTTCAATCAGATATGGTAAAACTGCAGAACATTTAAACAGTAGGGTAATCCATAAATGACAACTATCATCAGCAACATTTTCCACACCTACATGGGTCAGCACATAATTATAGGAAGCAAAAATTAATTTATAGTCAAGTCATAGTCAACAACTGGCTACTTACTGTATAGTCTGAAATTTTTTTTGAGGACTAATATTTCAGCAATGGAATTTAAAGTACTCCATGAAACAAAGCTGAATCAAAATCAGTGCCAAAGAGGAATGTTGCGGCATTGTGTGTGTATATACGAGAGAGAGAGCAATACTTTAGTACCAAGAGACCAGAATGGGAGGGTAGAGATAAGGTAACTATATGCCCAATACAATAATCTAAGAAACAATATGACAAGTTTTGTATATGATGTACTGTAGGTATCAAAAGCTGCAGGATGTTTTGCTACATAATCACATGATAACCCCATAAAGTAGATTTTATGCAATGTGACTCAATTTGGATTATAAGGCATTTTTTTCTGTCAATAGCAATGACTAGCTGGCTTAATCTCTACAATAGCACCTAATGAAATCCAGAATCCTTCTAAAAAGAACTGCAGTGTTTCATATACAGATTGAACTTTTGAACAGCCCTAGACCACTTTAGTATCTGTCTGACAATACCAGAGGGGGTAAGAGAACCAGTTCGGCTAAGATTGAAAACTAATCTCAGGCTCTGTGTTGTGAGTTCAAGACTACAACACCCTCTCCCCCACACACACAAAAAAGCTCTGTTGTTGGGAATTTAATGTGCTACCTTCAACACCATGATGACTCCATACCATGTAAAGATGGAGGTAAACCCCTGCACAAACATTTCGCCCACTTATAAACGGACCTCTTAAACCACCTCCCTCCAAAGCGGCCAGACTGCATCCCGAATAAGATACGACTTTAATCCACAAATTTAGTGAAACAGGAAATACACAGTAATCTTCATAACCACAACCACAGTGAAATCTATAGAGTAATCAAATTATTACTAGAATTAGGAGCACTGCTGGATATAAGGTGTACAACACACATCCTACAATATAATATCCCCTCATACTATGGAAGGGGCATAATTATACTGTTTTGCAGAGTCCAAGTTCCTCTCTTTACTTGTTTAATTCGTACCAGGAAATATCATCAAGTACGGCCCATACCACTAATCTTGCTGTAAGTATCATAACCTTATTTAAGATGTATTTAAAATCTTAAACATTATCAAATCTTTTGTAATAAAATTAGCAGAAAAATGTAACCATAAGGTAGAGGTTGAACTAAATCTATAACAAACCTTACCTATTAAAGCAGGAAAAGATTATTAGTGATTCAATTTTATCAAAATGTCTGAAATTTACATAATTAAATGCAGTGACAAAGAGAAATTTTTTTCATCATGGCTACTGCACATGGATCAGCAGTTAACTACCGTATACCCAACAAGTTAATAGTGTTAACTTGGCCTTTATGTTTAGTATTTACATATTTTTAACTTAACCACCAGCACTGTTATTCAAAACACTCTAAGAATAGTGAACTAATTCATCACAAGTTCAAATGATTGCTGGGCTTCTCTACTAAAAATTTATACTACTGAAAATACTCATTCAGTTAAAAACAATGATCTCTACTTACACCAACCAGTATGTTTATCCAAGACTTAAATACATTACAGTAAAATGGCACACTCAACTAATAAATTTTAATACTTCAAGCACAAACGCTTACGCCCGTATTATTAAACATCTTCCCTCTCTGATGAATAGTCTGCTTGAAGGGATTGTTCTTTCAAGCGGTATTTTTAATTGCTCGAACCTCTTCCCCTTCGTGTGGGACCAAGTAGGGTAGGTCTGGTAATACTATCCACTTCGCTGATGCATTATGTGTCATCTTTTTGCTGATGCATTATGGATCATCTTACTCGTGTGTGTTTGTTTACCTTCGTCGCCGCTAAAATTAAGAGTACTGCACTCTCATCATGAACATTTTTTATCTCCCAATCTTCAAGGGCAAGTCCTATATCCCAGAGAGCACGTGATTTATTCGTCCATCTGATTGGGGAGGAAAAGATACTTATGGAAAGCTTGTTGCTTTAAAGAAGTAAGCATGGTTGCGAATAGCAACATGTTTCAATGCTGAGGGATATGGGCCTCGGAGATCAGAAGAACAATTAAAGAAGATTTGGGAGCGCATGAAAATAAAGTATAAGTGAAAAAATTGCATTTTGTTGCGAAGTGGGTTACATTAAAGAGGGTGCAGATGACTACAATCTCCGAAACAACATACTTAATTCAGTTAATAGGAGGTAGAGGCTACTTATTTGGCTCCCATACAGAAACTCACTTAAAAAACTGCTAAAAAGTTGCAACAAGTAACTTAAATGAATTTACTTTATTAATATAAGCCACAAAAAGTTTGGTGAAGATTTTCTCTCAGTGAAATTTGCCTCTATCCATTTTAATATTTCTAGGCAAGAAAGTTGCCAGTTTATATTTTCCAGACAGAAACTCACATATAAAACTGCTAAAAAGTTTAATAAATAACCTTAAATGTGTTTACCTGATTAGTACCTGACAGGAAGCACAGCTTTAGCAAATGTCGTAATATGACAGGAAACACAGCTTTCACAAATGTCATAATATGGCCGTAAAAACAATAATGTAAAAAATTAAATACAGTAAATAGATTTATAAAATTATCAATACCGGGTATGCGTTTCTTTGTACATTAATCATATTGATTGTAAATATTAAATAAAACTAACAAAACAAATATGAAGAGGGTGACAAAAAACAGCTACTAGCTACCTCTTCAAATTTCAGTAATATTAGTTCATTTTCCCGCCACCACACACTTTCGTGCGCTGAATTTAAAAATACGGTTTTCGACACGAGGACGCTCTTCAAGGGAAGATGTTGTTTAATAATACGGGCGTTACACTCGTCGCTGCCTCTCCCGGGGAATAGAAGTAATAACACAAAAATATCCACACTCCTATGAAATAAAATCTCTCGAGCCTGTTCTGTTTCCTTCATGTAAATAAGACGTACAGTACCCCAACACGTACTCTCCTCGCACCTAACAAAACATCTGCATAATCTCTGACAGTCCTATTAGGTGATAACTTTACAAATTGAAGCTATCTATCTCCAGTTACTGCATTTAGCTCTCTGAACCTCTTACTGACTACATGCCTTAAGGTGGGAATTCTCAGGAATAACATGTCTGATATTTCACTTATGCTCAATCCCACTAGTTCCCTTCACAAGTTCATTTAACAAATACTGTATCATGTCCTAGAACTATATTCTCCATAGCAATGTGCACGATGATCATCAAGTACTTTAGTTAATAAAAGAAAATTTAATTAATTGTCTCATGTCATGGCAGTTTCCAAAGTACTGCATAGCATAAGATTTGCACCAAATCTAGTTTTGGTCACTATTTCCAAAAATAGTTTGTTTGTTTTCTTAACTAACACCTACCAAAGAAAAAAAAAATTCAATGCAAAACATAAACCAGTTTGTAAAAAACGGTAACATCAAATATAATTTTGGTCTTTCTGTTCCCAAATTTTTATTGGGGGGTTGCACATTTAAGTCATTAAAAAAAATATGCTTCAATGCTGAAACAAAAATCATGTTTAAGAAACAACTCAAGTTCTTGAATCAAAACAGAAAAATAAATAATCTAGCCTTGTAAAAAAGCACCACAATATTGTACCAAGAATTAAACAACTTCAACACAATCATACTCACAACAATCCAACTGAATAACTATATCTGCCACATATCTTAATTTTAAAGAAAAAAACTTAATTTTGAAGGGCATGAAATAAATGAAACTTGACATATGAGACGTAGCAAGAAGGAAGGGCGAACTTACCACCTTGTCAATTTTCTGTTTTCTCTTTCCCTCTCAGGCTGAAACTTGTAGAGTGAGGTGGTGGGGTGAGTTATGGCAAAATTAACCTTCATCCCAGGTAGTATAAGAGACAAAATTGATGCACAATTCCTAAGCATGGTGTGATGTCATGTCTAGCTTACTGAGTAGAAAGGGCTACAGCCAATAGCCTCCAAGCTACCATCCAGTCAGTGAGTGTCATATTAGCACATGCAGTCTCTTGCTTCACTCATGTATTGTTAACATGCCTGTTTCCACTCCATTATTGTAAAATTTAAAATAAATCAGCACATTGCTTAATATTTCTAAAGACAACAAAAGTTTTGTTCACACAATAAATAATAACACCAAAATCATGTAAATTTAGTGATATTTGAGTTAATTACGCATTTATTAACTTTAAATGCATTTTAAATCAAAATGAAACTTGGGCATTTTCACCCTTCCTTCTCATGAAGCCTCATATCATTGGCAGGGATGAAGAAACACACTTGTAAAACTGATAGATTAGAGAATCCTAATCATATAAAAAAATTTCTGCAGGTGCAAGATTCCTGCACATACTGTAGGACTCCAGATTTCCACATATGTAAGGCTTCACTGTAACACACACACTGTACTGTACACAATAGATCCTGTCCTATTCACCAATTACATTCCAATTGATACTGGGGAAATTGTAAATACAGTACACTAATGTGAACTGTAAATAAATTTTGTCTAGGGTGAAAATAGGATTCCATAACAGGGTTCCAAAATATTACCTTAAAATCTTCTTAAAAACCCCAAATAAATTAATGTACACGACTTAACATAATTTACATGGTTAAGCTGAGTCTGTACTTTTTACCATAACAAACAGTAACATAGACAAGAGGTTTAACATGCAGTGACAACATGATTCTTAGCCACTTTCCAATACTGCTCATAAGTGAAAGTTATATGATGATAAATGTAAAACCAAAAACCTTTCAGATAACTGTATGAATTATCTCTGCAGTACACAAACACTGAAACTAACTTGATTTTCTAAATGACTTATTCCAATATCACATCTAAACAATTACCTTCACAAACTGAACTTGTCAACCTCAGTAACAATGTTCTAGATTTATTAGAGGCCATCCTAAACAGTGTCAGCTTAACTACAACAGTAATTTCAATTCAGAAAGATTGGGAAACAATAGAACAAAGACACATTCAGCTGATAATTCTTCCATTAACAAGCATAAGTAAGTTGTGTGGTCATGCGTATGGTGCATTTTAACAACTGCCAATAATTCATGTGGAACAAGAATGTTGAAAATAATAAATTATTTTGCCTGTTAATTGCAGTACATAATGGTGAAGGATTATCATGTGTAGGGTGATAATGTATTTAAAAGCATAATAAAAAATCTACTGAGCAATGAAAAACTACAAACACAGCTGTCATATTTTAAACTTGCTTCACTAGCAGGGGAAATCACCGGCTGCAAAATGAGATGCAACACCAATTATTTTGCCCCATGTTAAATAAAGTCACAGCCTTATAACACTCACTCGTGATTATCCACCTTCAAGACGTTGTTTATCATACAACGAATACTGTAACAATAAAATATATTCCTTTGAAGTGAAATGCTCTCCTGAAATGCTATCACCTATGATGTGAAGTGTTAACAGCCTTTTTCAACATGTGTAAAACTGTGCATGACAAATATGAACATTTCACAATGCGAATTAATACAAAATGGAATTATAGTAATGTATGTATCAAATTTCTATTATTTAAAATTCCAAGAAAATAACCTGCACTTGAGTTCATACAAAATACACAGAATACAAACTACTTATCAAATTATTAAGGGGACAATTAAATTTTCATTCATATTTCAGACGAAATATGTAATCCTGCATTTTTACAAAGAAAGCGATAATGATAGTCAAAGAACCTTGCCAAAAAATATTCTTCTGGGACTTCGGGAACATTTACACACCAACACCTAACTTCCTGTCCATACACACAACACATAACTCAAATTACATAAACCTTCCACCTACAACATAAATCATTTACACTTTACAAGTGCAGTAATGTCCTTTCCACAGTTCTGCTTATACTGTACAATATCTTCCTAGGTGTTACTATATTATAGCGTAAGTGTGGCCATGGATAAGAGACCTGAATGATGTATTTCACCAAATGCTACTAATTCAATTTGCAATGAAAATTAAGAGCTATTAAATAATACCTTCACCTAAAAAATTACCTAGACAAGACAGAAATAAAACTGTGTGCATTTTCCTTATTAGTTTTGAAGAAAATACAATATACTGTAGAGGTCATTCTTTATGTTTTATTTTGTGTAACTGTTTGTGCGACCCAAATAGTGTTAAACTGTAATTGGATGTAAATATGTCTGCATTTACACCATATTTCCTTAACTTTATAACAAGTACCCAGTAGTATATTTGACACGGGCCTTTTTTTCACATTTAATGGTCTCATTTACTCACAGCCTGTACAATACTTATTTATTGAAGAGAAATTTTGGGTTGGCAGCATAAAAATAGTGTTGACTGACAAATTGGAGAAACACAATTCTTCTCATGGCCCAATACAGCATTTTCTCGATTTAACGAACTAATTCAAGCCACCCCTTTCCGTTAAATTTAGATTTCCGCAAAATTGAATTTCCGTTATTTTTGCACGATTTAGTGAACTAGTTCACTAAATCAAGCGAGATTCCATTAAATTCTGCACCAAATGCGTCACTTGGTACATGGAGTTTGTTTACATTCGCTCAGTTGGTGTCTACTGTCAACGTGTGTTGTTTCACTGCCACCTCTCGGTCAACTTACTACTGTGCTTAGACATCATGCCGAAAGTATCTCAGAAAGGAAGTGGTGTGGGGAAGAAAGTCAAAAGAGAATGGCTATTAACCGGGAAAAAGTTTGGAAATAAGACAAAATTTAAAACAATTACCGAACCCCATAGTTTAAGGTAAGTCATTAATAATGTTTCTATGTACCTATCATGTGTTTCTGAGGTGTCTCCGTAGGTGTGAGCATATTAACAGAATTAATCTCAATTTAGTGAACTAGTTCACTAAATTGAGCAAAAAACAACGGAAAAAGATCCTTCCGCTAAATCGTGAGTTTGATATATTGGATTCCGTTAAATCGAGAGTATATTGTATATATAAGATTATATGTATGTACTGTATCTAGAGAAATTCTTCCTCGACATAAATCCTGAGGCACTTTTCAAGATAAGAGGCTACTTCACATAACAATGAGGGATGAACCTCAACATGAACTGGTTACCACTCACACACACAGTAGATTATTCACTGTTGATACTGAGATATACACAAATACAGGACATGAGATTGGATATACACATGGAGGCAATTTTTTTATACATATCACGGCACTACGATGACAATGCCTAGACAAACGTGGCACTGGTGGCGTCTTTCATGCTTAACACTAATGGCATGACGTGCTTTGTTTCTACACGTGAGAGGTCTATGTGTCTGTGTCACTAACCTAACTCCTTGTATAGAAATATGTAGTAGTACTTACTTCAGAGTAACTTGGGATTGTTTTTGCTTTGTTTTTTTAATAAAAGACACAGTGAAGGATCAAGTACAACAATGTTAGAGCAACCTGGTGTCATTTAAGAAATTAGTTGATTTCCAAGTAGCAAAGTAATTGAACAGTAATGACTCTGATACAAAGAGTGGCTGGCTGTATTACCCCAGAGTATGGAAATCTCTGCCTAGTCCTATTAATTGAAGTCACTGTACCTGTACTTGAACCTAACCCTCACTGTACCTGTACTTGAACCTAACCCTCACTGTACCTGTACTTGAACCTAACCCGCACTGTACCTGTACTTGTATGATGTTTTTGAATAAATTTTCTCATTGAACTGAACTGACAGAGTGTGAGTCTAATGAGCTATAAGCCATATAGGAAAGTACCTTATTAATGTTATTATTTCACTAATACTGTACCTATAAAATACAAATTTCACCCAATGTATTTTGTTATTACAAAACAGATGATAATATTAGCCTTACTATGCAAAGCTCTGGGGAAGCTACTGCAATTATCATTCCCCTATGGTATATGGCATCAGAGTAATAGCAGATATATAAAAAAATTCCCAACTTTTTTTTTTGGGCATCCAATTCCTTATTTACAGTTTTACCAACTAAGGGTTCACAATGGTCTTAGTATATCATTCAAACAAATTTTTTTTTTTTCATATTAGAAATTGAAACCACTACTGTGAAAGGTATTTAATAAGTAAAGAAAAAAAAATACTCCAGACAAATCTGTAAAAATATTAAATTCTTAGATTCCTTAATTCCAGATAAAACTTGAGCTGACAAGTTAAAAAGCTAGAAGTACTGTACCTTTGTGTTAGATCCAACAGGCATGGTGACTTCCAATCATAATCATCAGATCCAATGTACAATGAACTGTCCAATAACAATGGCAATAAGAGGTCTTCATGACCCAATACTGTACAGCTAAGAGGCCACATGTGGTGTGTAAGATTCAAAGGGGAAATTAACCTCAAATGTAAAATGAAGAAACTATGATTCTTGTTGCAATAAAAAAAGTTGTATGGAAATATGCCTTGGATGTGATAAGCTTAAAATTAGCAGGAACAACACAGACCAACACTGGAAGTGACGTTGCCTCAAAAATATCTGTAATGATGACAGGTTGTCAAAGATCCCTGGATTTTACCAAGGGCAGTGTGGGGATGTTGTGGAGTGTGAGGGACACAATCATGGCAGTGTAGTGTGCATCTCTGGCAAGGTCAGGTCATGTTGGATTGTGGTGCACCGCAGCTCCAAGTCTACGAGACTCATCTCACCATTACCTAGCTGGCAGGTCTGAAGGATGTCACTGCTAGTGGACAACCAAAGGGACAACTATACATGTGCACACAGTTCATTTACCCTTTCTACTCTGGCATTGCAGCCTCTATCTGGTCATATCACTCATTTTAAGCAGACCACAAAATACATCATTGTGAGTCAAGACACATATCAACAGCTGTACAGTATATCTGAACCATTAAACAATAAGTCTGCATCATTATATCATCTGAGAATAATTTTTAACACTTCAAGAAAACACCTGGATCAAGCATATGCACTAAACAAACTCATTCCTGAGAACAGGACATGTATCACTTTGTGAAAATTGACAAGTTTGTAATTCCTATACTGTATTAATATTCAAATCAGCATGAAGCAGATACTGGTAAGTAGGTAGATACAAATGAATACACACAATAGGATATACCACATAAATTTCCTTTTTTCTCCCATTAAGCATTTTAAAATGGACAAAAAACAATTCAAGATAAATTTCACCTAAGGGATTGTGGCCACCATACAACAGAATAATATGTCGATATAATAACTTATTCCTCTACTAAGTCACACAAGCAGACACAGGGAGACAAGTATCCACAATCCTAACCGAGTTAACGTCATTATTTAATTAAACTTATATGCACGTAAAAGGACATGATTCTGAGAGATTCCCCTTTTTTTTATATCGACAACTTTCCCAGTTACTAAAGATTTGAAAGATAACAGACAATTTGTTAAAATCCTTGTACAAAATTATTACTCGTTTAGTACCATAAAACTTTAGACAAAAATACATCATGCAATAAATCATTACAAATAATCTATAATTCAAGGTATTGTACTATAGATGAAAATATTTTATAGTTCTGTGAATGTAGTAGCAATTATAGTCTTTCAGCTGCAAAAGCATCCAATAAATTTCATGAGCAACAATATATATCAATAAACTTAAATAATCTTACTATAAAAAGTACTATTCAAAGCGATGATAAAGCTTAGCACCTTAAAATAATTAAGAAAACTTCTAAAATTTTGCACCTTTAAACTAGAAGTCAGTAACTAAGAAAACTTGTAGGTAATTTCAGTGATTCTATATACTGTATACCTTTCCTAAACTATTAAGGACCCCCTACAAGCATCAGGGTATTTCACAGAATTCAGGATTTATCAAAACCTTATAATCTTGATTTCTGTGATCGCAAACTTTCTCACCGTTTGTCTAAATCCTATAGCTGCCAAATCCTGCGAGGGGCAAAATGGTTTTGAGAAAATGAATAACAAAATTAGCAGTGATGTGATATTGGTTAATTTGCCTCCTGGACTGAACCGTTACATGATCCTATACATACAGCAGAAGAATATATGGTACTACTGTACTCAAGTGATATGTGCAGCACATAATATCTACTCTTTGGTGCCTTCTAGAAAAAATCAGTTATAGTTATGTTGATAACTAACAGTTTTTCTTTAAAAATTACAAATACTTTGCCAAAACAAACACTGTAATAATACAGCTCACTAAAATGACAAGTTCTCTGTTCTTCTAAAATTAGTCACCTTTTGTTGAGTTGCAATACCTGTACTAGCATGCACATTTGGTATACATAAAAATAACTTCCAGACTCAGTAAGAAATTATCATCATCTTCTGAGTGCTAAAAATAACAAGCAATGCATGAGTAGGTAAACTAAACCTACAATGACTTCAGCACATCTTAATGCACCTCTTGTATTATCTTGGAAAATAAGAATGTGGACACAGACCAGCAATCAGTTGTAGAATTACAAAATAAACAAATCCATAAAAGGAAGTTAGTACATTGGAAACCCTATACAGTACCAATGGAAGTATTAACCAAAACACACATTGTAATTAATGACTTTTAAGAAAAACTAGATATGGTTGCCTTTATGACAGGACAGATAGTTTGAACCATTTACTGAATTTATTTTTCAATTTGAACTGACTTTAATAATCTCTGAAACAGTAATGAATAACTATGAAATAATTTTGCTGGTTTATAAGTTGAAAAATCATACATAACCAACAAAAAATAAATCTAGTGTTCGTGTTGTATATTAATATTCTTGTTAAAACTGTGAAATAATATTAGCCTGTTTTCCTACCTACCAAAGTAAATTTCTACCCTATAAGTATCCTGGATTATAGAAGGCATTGGAATGTTCTATGTTGTTAATGCAAGAGTTACTCACAGAGTACAGTACAGTATATGGCAGAGTTACAAGTTGTAAGTCACTTGTTCTTGTCAATAACGGGTTTTGTTTTCTATACATTACCTGTCCGTGTAACTTTCCGATGTGCTTAACAGTAATGTACGACTTCTGTCAATTTCACATGATGTTCTTGAGGTGTCGAGTCTTGCGTATGAGAATGGAACAACACGTGAGGTCACCTTGAGCCTTTCCTATCTCTGTCATTGTTATCGGTTTTAAGGTCCAGTGAGAAAGTTTCTCTTCAAACACCTGCAAGTAATAAAAGCACAAGAGATAAGACTGTGTGAGTGAAATCTCCCATCTGTGGCCAAGGCTCCATAACCCCAACTCCCTCCTCCCGACCGGAATATCAGCAAGTTCTTGCCATAAGTTACAATTTCATTCCATAAAGGAGTGGAACCAGTGTTGAAAGGTGCTTAAGTCAGCAAAAACGTTAAATAATAAGAGTAATAACTAAGAGTTGTACTCAAGTTAATTTTCACACAGTGAGGTCCCAGGTACCCAGTGATAACTGGCCATGCGACCCAACAACAAGCAGTGATGTGTTAATCCGTCCACGATAGGGAGGCCTGGGACCACACCTGATCGTACACCACCTCAGTGAGTGAGGTCCTGCGCCCCCATGACGCTACGACACCAAGTAGTGAATGAGTTCAACACCTCAGTGCATGTGACCTCCACTGTAAAAATTAATTTATATGTTCACTGTATGTTCCTTTTCCTTTCTCTAATGAAAGCTTTGGAAAAACAACCGCCCCTCCCCATTAATTATTATTATTAATACACACACACACACTCTTGCTATCTATTAAAACCTTATTGAGCAAAATGAAAAAGAGCAATTCTATACTGTACAGTACTAGTCTACTAAACCCTGTTTTTACCTTAGCTGCTGCTGGAAATTCTTCTGCTGAGTGATGAATTAGATAACCATTGGCAAATACAACATTTGAAGCTCTGTCATCAGGAACAGTTAATGTCTGGTACCGAAAAGTGGCTTCTCGCTCAATGCGCTGTAAAACAAAAACAAAGAAAAGTTATTACTGTACTGTATTCTAATAAAACATCACAAAAGGGAGTCTCAGAAAAATGTATACACTCTGCCTTACAGATTCTTCATGCAGATCAAGATAATGCTTGTATTATAACAGTAAAATAAGCACCTCACTTGTTGATGTGTGAGGTCTCCCACAAGTGAGGACAAACATTCAATCAATCTCCATAAAAATCTTAGCAATATCTAAAAAAAAAATTGGGGGGACACCCTGTATATAGGGAGTGTAAAATGAGAACAAGTAGTAGCTATTATTCCAAAATCTGTTTCTTAAAAATAAAGTAAAAGAATACAGGTTACATTTAAAAAATCTGTAAAGCTTAGGACCAGAGCCAATTTGGATAACTGAAGGTCATTATAAAACCTCTAATATTTCACTAATCATTAAATAAAATATAGAATGATAATTATAGAATAAATAAATATTTACGTTAACCAGAAATCTCGAATAAATGGAATTGAAATTGTTTCAGATTTTTTTCTCTAAATTTTCTCAATTCTGAGCCTGTGAATGAGTTTCCGAGGTTGAAAATCAGGTTAATTAACTTAGAAAACTCAGAGAAAACCTCTCAATTTGGGACCTGGGAATAACTTTTCCGAGAGTTCTGAGAGAGTGCGTCATGCTCCAGCGCATCCGCACAAGCCATATGTGTGGGTGACCTAGCTGTTGGGATTGCTTAGTTCATATTCTGCTGTGATTATAGAAGGTTGTTCCCTCACTAGCTGCTGTTTTTGCATTCACGTTGTGCAGTACCGTACATAACTGTACTAAAACAAAATCAACCAAGAATATAGTGTTAAAGTGACTACAGTTATGTATACTATACTGCACATTCAGTAAATGGGAAACACTTAGCTTTCATCTGTAGTCAAGACATCTTCAGATCATAAGATCCACTAATCCCCCACCCCTACACTGGGTGACCTGACACTGCATCAGGTCAGATCAGTAACATGACCCACAAATTCTCCACCCCACCTCCATCACAAGTGATAAGACGTGATTACAGTTACACATTACATTCTGCTGAGTGGACAGTGTCTGCCTACTCTAGGTTCAACATGACAGCATCTGCTGGTGAGTACAGTACAGTACTGTATATACAGTATTGTAGTAGTATACATTATATTTTGCTTACAGTATTAACAATATATTGCATGTGTACAATGGTGCTTGCGTAAACATATACAGCTCCGTGTGAGATGCATTGTTTAGACTAAGGAAAATTTCCCCAATGAAGAGTGGAAAATTTCAGTCTTCACTGTAATCCACAGCTCCATTCATGCCCCACATGCCCGTATCATACAGATTTTTTGTTTTTTTAAATATATTTATTTAAGCAAACTTTTAGATAAACTATTCAGGATTATTTGGGTAAAAAATGGTGCATCTAACTTAATTGGAACTGATGTTATTAACTCCGATATCAATATACTTATTTTTTATATATAAAAGAATGGAGACCCAATCATTATATCATGCAAAAACATTTTGTTTAAAGATCTCTTTTGGAAATGTCTCAGACAATTCAGCCAGGATCATTATGGCATGAAATTCATCTCTCTAACACATTAGAACAGATGCTGCGAATAAAAGTTTAAACAGTAAACCATTTCACTAGGGTATAGGAGTGGTGGAGTTAGTGAGGGAGGCGACCCTTTGGGGGAAAAACTGACCACCACGGTCAGTTCCCCCTCTCCCAAGGTCGCCTCCCACCCACTGTGTCTCACTGATTTGCTGCTTCTTACTTATTTTACTATGACTGTCATTCGTTATACAATATTGTACAGTACATTATATATTTTTCATTAACCAGTAAATATACTTTACTGTAATACTGCAGTTAATTTGTGTTTATTAACACCTGTACCCTTCATATACTATATGAGGCACTGAGTGCGATAAGAGGCCAAGCACCATCCCCCCAAAATTGAGTTATAGTATAATTATCTGTACTCCACAACCTTTCCTCTATCTGCAGAAAAACACAGAAAAAAAACTGTCCCGGTATCACAATATTTGTAAGGCTGAGAGCCATATTAGTGAAGGTGATCTGCGCCTCGAGGCGGACTGAGGGGGAGTAATGGACAGGCGCCCGTGGCCCCCGATCCTCTCTCGCTCGTAGCGACTCATTATTTTCTGGTTTCTTAGCTAATGGGAGTCCATGTTTCTACAAAATTGTCATAGTCATGTTATGTAATAACACTTGAACCTTTTTTATTGTTTTCCAACTGGCATAAAGGAGGGAGGGCAAGGAAGGTGGAAGTGTGGGCTGGTGGCGCGTGGCGTGTCATGTTCCGGCCTGTCCGAGAGATGTGTCTTATAGGAGGGAAACAGGGGGAGGAGGAGGAGGTGGCTAGGAGCAAGGATGGGTGGTAATTTTGGTAATACAAATCATTGTTTACTGTAATTTTTCTAATAAAAACTAAGACTTAAGTACTGTACCTGCATTTTTTTGTTTAATTATACCGTACTTTTTGGTGCTTGGCCCCCGGTCAAAATATTGGTAAAACCTAGTACAGTATTGATTGCCTTTATCCAAAAAGAACAATGACCTTTTACTTTCTGGTGGTGGTCTTAATACATTATTGCTTCCGTGTAATGAAAATTATACCTCAACAATTCATATGAATGAAACTGCAAACACTACCCATCAAAACCAATGCAACTTTTACTATAAATAACCATCATGACTTTAGTATCTGTGAAACCAGCATTAAGAGCTCTACACACTGCCACTTGAATGAACTCAATATCTTCATTGATTCAAAAGTTATGTCATTTTGAATTTGTTCAAACTTTAAGAGAGTTTTTCTTGATTGTGATTTTTGGCGTTTGGCCCCTAGTCGCACTCGGCAAATCATTTAGAGTCATAATACATGAGGATCTCATAGGTAAAAGTAACGTAATCCGGAATGCATTTCCATATATGCTATGGTACCAAATTCATCTCTCTTAACACAATTAGAACAGATTGTGTGAATAAGTTTATACAGTTTTCGTGAGCTGTAAATATTTTCGCTTGTGCTGGTGGTCTAGATGTAATGAGAGTGTTTATCCATTTGAGATAAGATGCATAGTATACAGTAGAGTAGAGATGAGATGTGTAGGTTACAGTCTCGGAAAACTTTCCTCAGCACCGATAAACATTCTGGGGATGTGGGCTAGTGTCTGTCTGTACAAGAGGCGTAGTTTAGACTCACGGAAACTTTTCCCAGTACCCGGAAAAAGGCCAGTGCAAATTACAGTATTACTTTTAAGATAACATCCTAAGAAGGCATATACGAAAAATTAAACATACTTTCAAAATGTCCTTAGCCTCAGGAGAGCTGCCAACACACATAACATCAGGTCCAGCCATGGTCACACAGCACTTGAGGTGTAAGTGATGGCCCACCTGTGACAGAACAACACCAAGTGATTATTAATATGGTGTTCTGTCCTGCTCAACATGACTGAGTGATAGGATGTCACTGAAAAGTAGATATAAATAAACCTAAGGATGAAATTAATAGAGGTATAAGAAAGAGTTTGGTTATATGAACAGCACTATACAAAACTATAAACAGCGGGGTCTCAGAGTACACGAGGGTTACGTTCCTGGGATCCGCATAAGTGCGAATTTGTGTATATTTGGGTCCCCTGTATATATATATACACATAACCTCTTTTTTATACTTTGGTAACCTCAACCAAGGTAAAAAGGCAACTGAGTTAACTCCCACAAACCAAGTGCAGTAACCTGTATAGAAACAGTTTATTTTACTCACTCTCACCACCTTGAGCACTGCTACTAATTTTCCTCTTAGGGGCCATGATTGTGGTAAAATTAACCGGTAAAGAAAACCTTACGAGCGCAAACACCTGGGCGAGGTTCAAGGAACCACTGTGAAGCGAGATTATTATTATGGTCATAATTTATTTAGGCTGCACCATCCAGCAATAAGCCCAACCAGCTGCACCAACCAAATGGATAAAAAAAGAAAAGAAAAAAGAGAACAAAAGTTCAATGATGAATAAATATATGATTATGAAATTATATGATAAATAAGAGTGAAGCTGAATTGGTAGACTCGGTTCTCACGCAAAAGACACTCGGCTAACGAGAGATGCTGGATGGGTTGGCTCGCAAGAAAGCAAGACCCAAGCTTAAGAAGGTGGTTCAGGGGTCAGACACATTTAAGTGGGGTTGCATACTATGAATACTTGTACAAGATGTACTCTGTGACCAGACTGTACGGTGCAATATTTTTTATTGCTAATACTGTACAGGCAGTCCTCAATTTACAAAAATCCAAAGTTATGGGGAAGGCCCCATGTCCAGGTTTTGAGTTGCATGAGAAATCCAAAGTAAAATTTTTTTTAATTAAATATTTTCTCCACGTCAGAAGATACTAAGGTTCTGAGACAGACATCTTAGGCTTCTCGTGCCTGATCTGGTCAGGAGGCATATAGTGAATACATAATCTTGTGGGGAAAATTAGAATATGTTCCACAACTACTAAAAGTCAACAGTAATGCTATAAAAGTTGAGGAAAAATCATTACAATTAACCCAACCTGTACTCAAATGCACTAGGTTAATTATTAAAAAATTTATGTCAGTGCAAACTATGGGATATTTCTATTCAAATTAATTGCTCTCTTGCAAGGATTCCAGCAATACAAGTTATATTCACCTAAGTCAAGTCAGTGCCATTTTTAGAGCAAAAAATTTAAACTGTCTTTGTTAATCCTGAGACACTGACCCCTTCCCCCTCCACTGATAACTATGCACCTGGTAATCTCACCTCCTGGCTGTCAACACCTCACCTCCTCAACCCCCCCCTCCCAACGAGAAGGCAATAAGGATTTTAGAGGGTGAAGGTGGTTTTAGGCATAAAGCTTTTCTCTTATAAAATGTCACTGACTTGACTTAGCAGAATATAACTTGTATTGCTGGAATCCTTGCAAGATAGTGATTAATTTGAATGTAGACATCTAATAGCTTGCACAAGAGATAAACTTTTTAGTCCTTTAGCTTAGTACATTTGAGTACAAAGTGAGTTCAGTAATATGTTGCTCAAAATTATGGCTTTTTCACAGGGAAAAGTCTGTATAACTAACCCCAGTGGTTAGGATATTATGACATTGAATGTTACAGAATACTGTATTTCAAATAAATCTTCGTTTAGTTCTGTACATACAGTACGTATATGCAAATTCTCATATAGTGAATGGCATAAAGCAAGGGTCCCGTGTACAGTAAAATTGTGCCATAGCACTAACACTGTCATAAAGAGGTCCAGCAAGCCTGGGCTACATTTATGCTGATTTAATTTGTATTGGTACCAGTAATACTACATTTTATGCTTTATACTTTTCCCCTTTTTATCCTCGGCTTCGATGGTTCAGAATTTTCGCTAATCCGGTACCAGTCTGGTCCTAAGCTTCCTGGAATAGCGAGGTCCAGCCTGTACAATATTACACTGTATTCAGAGTCTTAGTTATCATGGTTCACAGGATCACTCGGTGAAGCAGTGGCAAGACAGTGAAACAAGGTATTTTGACTGGGAACATTGATGTGTTTAGAGTCTCAAGAGTTTGTTGACTAGATAAGTTTATCATTTCTTCTTTAGAAAAGACCTCATCAAAAATCAAATCCAGTGAAAATAAAACGTCTCAAAATGTATATAAATAGAGTCAAGCTGAAGCACAAAATTTGTTAATAATTGATCAATCAATATCATTTTCCTCTCAGCAATTAAGGACACCAGATACATTGTTACTATATCCCTGAAACTGTTCTACCTAATCCCTAATATCTGATTTTCCCTTATATTCTAAAAAACTTTCAAAATCCTACTTCTCCATGACTTCTCGATAAATTACGTTGAAATTCATGTGGAATAAAGGTAATTTACTCTTCTTAAACGTAACATATAGATATTTTTTATGATTGCTTTCGTATTGGGTGCATGAATTTTTTTCCAACTTACCACTTTTCTTCCAAATATTTATAAAGATAAATCAACAAATAATAAACCAAGCCCAATACTGTACTGTATAAAGAAAATCTATATATTACGCCATGCACAATATGTTATTCTACTACCGTTATTAATTTTTGTTTCATTAGAATCGGCCCATAAATGGCTGAGCCTTAGGGATCTGAAGGTTAGAAAAACTAGTTCTGAGATGCTGGCCGATAAAGGTGGCGTGAGAGCAACTCACGATCGTATCTCACTCTCACATGTTTGATGGGTCAATGACTCAGGACGATGGTCTGCAGTGGTTAGCTCGCTGAGAAATGTGCCATATACCGATTTTACCAAGTGATTGGTATTACTTTGCACCAAAATATTATTATAAATACTTTTCTACAGCTTTTCCTATGTAAACAGAAGGGCCCTCAAAATAAGGGGGGGCGGGGGGGGTTAGAACAATGATGCATAGCTACATAAATATTACAAATTACGTAATAAAAATACGTCAGCAAAAAGCCATAGGCAACAGCTTTCCTCGGGAATTTTTCTGAATATTTTTGTAATTTTCCGATTTTTATCGTATTTTCAGCTGGACACTCCCCTTAATGTTGGCGTGTCACTTCCAAATTAAAATCATATATCTTGGCTGGGCCTCACATTCTCTCAGTATGGTCACACTTGTTTAAAACATGTGACATTTATTCTCTGCCCTGAACTCCAAAAGAATGGGTGAGTGAAGTGTTGGTGGAAAATATAGTGTGGAAAGCCTCAGAAAGCTAGATTTGGAATCTAAATTGAAAATCCTATGTAAATTTGATGAGAGTGAGACTCGGTGATACTGCCAAACAATTCTCATAAGCTTAGTGTGTAGCACTGGGTCCAGGAAGAAAACTCAGGCTACGATAGCAAGTTTGTTTGCGTGGCGAGGAGAACTGTGCTCAAGCACGGAGAGAGAGCGAGTGACTTCCGAGGCCACCACAAATATATATACCGGCTGACTGAATAAAGCTGTCTCGGCTCAAGTCTCGAACAAGTTCAACCACGTCAGCCGGCCGACTCAACAACAGTTACAACAACAATACTAGTTTACAATTTCATGGGCATATACAAAAATGTACTTAGGCATCTGTTCAGTTACATTTACATTAATCTAAAATTGCAAAACACGATTGTGTAATAACTATGGATAACGAATAACAGTTTAAATACAAGTAAAGAATACAATAAATGAAAACTGGTATAATATCTCAAGGCATATATCTGAATAGAGAATAATGTGTAGTTATTCTTGAGTTGCTACAAGTGTAAAATTATTACTGACTACATGCATTACTTAATACAGTATGTTTATTATTGACTTATAATCATTATGCATTTTGGGCTAAGGTTTTTTTATAGGAACATATCTCAGTTTATATAATGGGGGTTTATGTGAAAATGGGATCCAATTTACAAAAGATTTTTCGGAAATAGAACCCTTTTCTAAAGAGGGGATGGCCAGTATTTAAAAATTGGTTATTTGGGTACTTTAAGGCAAATTCAACTCACCCTAATTGGTGTGCATGGGAACTCTGGAAAGGCAGAGGCAAGAGCACAGGCACCAGACTGGTTGGTGCGGGATGATAATCCAACAAAAAATTCTTTGCCTGCAACACCAACATTGAAATTAATTCATGTAAATACTAATGGAAACTATGCTAAGTTAATATAATATAGTTCTTAGACATCTTTAACCTCATATCAATAATCAAGTACCTGTAGAAAGTTTCTAGATGACATTCCTGTATGTGTAGCAGGAATGACCTGGGCACTGTTTCTTATTTACTTTATGGTACCCTCTGACAACACACTTCATCCTTGACCACCGAAGGGTCAAGATGTACCTGACGCTGCTCTGGCAACAGCCACGTCAACTGTTATGTTGGCCCATACCAACTCCCTCTCCTGAACCCTCCTCCCCACAGGAATACCGACAAGTTCTCGCCAGAAGTTACTATTTCATTTAGGAAAGGAATGGAACTAGTGTTGAATAGTGGTGAACAGTAATTAAGTCAGTGAAAAACAACTCAACAGTAACAGCTGAGTCATACCCAAGCTAGCCTTCACACAGTGAGGTCCCAGGTACCCAATGATAACTGCCCCTGAGACTCAACAACACCAGCTATATGTTAATCCATCCACGATAGGGAGGCCTGGGACCACACCTCACTCACTTGAGTGAGTGAGGTCCTGAGACACCAGATCACGTGGTGCCCCCATGATGCTACGACACCACATAGTGAATGAGTTGCTACAGCATCATGTGAGGTTCCTCATAACACCATCTGTGAGGGAATTACTACACCACATGAGGCCCTTCATAACACCATCAGTGAGGGAATTACTACACCATGTGAGGCCCCTCATAACACCATCTGTGAGGGAATTACTACACCATGTGAGACCCCTCATAACACCATCAGTGAGGGAATTACTACACCACGTGATGCCCCTCATAACATCATCTGTGAGGGAGTTACGTGTCTGCTGTTCAACACCTCAGCGCACAAAATCTACGTGACCTCCACTGTAAACATTAATCTGTATGTTCACTGTATGTTCCTTTACCTATCTCTAATGAAGGCTTTTGTTAAACAACCAATGTCAATGTATGTAATAAGTCATTTATGTCCACTGCATATTTTCAGCCTTCAGGCTGACAGAACTTTTTCAATAAACCGTTAATTATTATTATTATTATTATGAAGACACAATACTACACATACTGTATTAATTAGTAATGTAGAATTAACAGAACATTTTATATAGTACAAGGGGTCCCCGACTTACGAACGCCCGCTGATACGAACAGGGTTAAACATTGCTCTGTAAGTACTGTATGCATATAGCATGTGTTCCGACTTATGTACAAATCTGACCTGCAAACGTCCTCAGGAACGGAACCTGTTTGTAACCCGGGGACGCTCTGTATATTAATGCAATCATGAAATATTAAATATTTTGGTCACTCTAGACAGCCCAAAAACATCACTGTTCAGTGCAATCCCATTTTATATTTAACATAAAACATTTCTACCAACCAAGTGGTATCAAAAGTGAATTAAAAGGAGAGGACTTATTGTGGTTGATTCATCCATAGACATTTGGATGACACTAGATGCATGTTTATCACAGGGTCTGACAATCCCAATTACAGTATTTATCATTTCACATCTTATCAGCTTACTAGTTGCTTGGTCTGTTCTTTGTTATGGCCTTGCAGTGTTAGTACAGGAGGAAACTGGAGTATCTAGAGAAGCCTGTCATGTTTTGTAAGGTCACACTGGATAACAACACCCTTTTCACATCTCTCCTGGGCCAGGGAATGAACCCTGGTGAGATGTACCTCTATTGTATCACCAACTCCCTTAATTTGTCTCACCTGTGAAGAGTACATCTCCTCCATCTAGTGTTGCTGTCTCATCAGATATTTCAATAACAGGAAGCTCAAGCTCATTCTTCAGTATTGTTCGCATGTACTCCACCTGCAGGCAACAAGAAGACTTTTATCAAATTTTGTTTCAAACTAATGAAACACACAAAGAAGAAACCCTTCCCAGTAACTGGGTCCAATAAATGGCATGCCACGTTGAAAACACCGCTTCTCGTCCGATCAGCAACATTGGGTTTGGAAATTTGGTTAGTCCAGTACAGTACTATAGCTGGATGGGTGACTGCCTGTGAACACCAGTTGCTGTTGGCTTTAAAACTATAAAGGACCCTACTGGAAATAAGCATCTGGTGGCTTTGTTGGCCATCCTTGGTCCAATTGACAAAATATAAATTTTTATTAATATCAGGTAGGTATTTTATGCTTAAAGAACACTGTGAGCTATAATACACTTTCCATTGAGAAATTCAATGTTAAAATATTTCAAAAAATTCGAGTGATGTTTAAAACGAAAGGATAATCAAATTAGAAAGATACACAGCACAGTACAGTAGTTGTTATAAAGTAGCAAAATGGAGTACTGTGATCTTCAAGCCTTAGCAGTACATCACAGGGTGGGGGAGGGGATTTACACAACAAATAATAACAAAACAAATAAACAAATTCAAAATCATTGGTTGGAAGCAAAAGCTCTTAACCTCTGACATGACCTAACATACATTAAAAAAGAAAAGCTACAAAATTTTTAAACAAACTTATAGAACTCAGTTGTCAATATACAGTACAGGTATGCAAAAAAAGCAATAATAAAATATATACAATATCATAATAAAAATAACAGTAAAAAAAAAAAAACCATTGGTGCTGGCTAACTGTACTGTACCTCATTTTTTCTGGAGGGATGGCCAGGCTTGGTTAAGAGTGCAGTTCCATTACACACAACTGCCACATCTTCTACAAACACACAGTCTGGATGGTTCTCATCAGCCGGCAGTTCAATAACATCCAAACCAATTTCTCGCAATGTTGCTACATACACTTCATGCTGTTTCCTGGCCTGAAATATACAAGTAATAGCTAAACAATTAAAATACAATATGAACAAGAGCACCTTACCACCAACCTAACCTTACCTAGCTTCCTGGCCGTAGGACTCCGCCGCCCGGACCCCCAGGCACATTAAACATAGAGAACTTATTATTGTATGGTGTAAATTTACCGTTTTTGTGAGTGAGAGCAGCGGCCCAATCCGAGTGACTTCTAAACATAAACTGGCATTGATCGGTGATGATTTGCTGTGTAATGCCACATCACGCCGAGAAAGACAAAGTAGTGAGCGCCAAGTCACCTAATTTTCTACCAAACGAAGCAATTTCCATAAAAATCGTCATTATTATATCAGAATTCACAGATGTAAATATAGTAATATAAACATAAAAACAAATAATGTGTCGGCGGGTCAGTCATCAATATTAGCCTAATATTGTACAGTATTGGATTAATATTTAGAAATTGCAACACTTACTTATATATTGAGTCAATAATATTCCATCAGAAAGTTATATTTTTTGAGTATTTTAATCAATAAAATTACCCACAATATTAGTTGTTCAAAATGGGCAGGGTTTAGAAGTAGAGGGAAAATGTGGGGTAAAATAATAAAAAAAAAATCATCAAATAAATCTTTCAAAACCTTACCTTACATTTCCTAACTTGTAAAAATGTTAAGAATCACTTTTGAGATTATGAATCCCTCCTTACCTGAACGCCGAAAACAACACCAACACATTCTAAAAACCGAAAACATAAATAAGGTAAACTTTTTAAAGTTTTAGGATTTTTAAAGGTGGGGAAACATTAGGTCAGGTTTTCAGAATTTTTTTTCTTCACATTTTCCCTCTGCTTCAAAGCCCTGCCCACGTTGAAAAAGTAATATTGAGTATTTTTACAGTTTCAGCCACAACTCGGTTAGAGCAATTTTGTGGTTTACCATTAGTTATGTCTTGTCAATAGGAACAACTTTTTCTAATACCCCTTCCGTTGCAAATGGATATTAACCGAGAAAGTAAATTCACGTAAGAAATTAACGTAAATCTGCTGTCACCTCACGTCATCTGTTTGTTTACAGCCGACCCGTCCGGTCTGAGTTTATTCTCACAACTACAAAACATGTAAAATTACATCATGATATTTCAACAACGTTGTTTTCATTGGTACCAGATATCAAAATTAGTACAGTACGTTCTGTTTAATATAGCAGAGACGGCTTGGAAGTTAGGTAAGGTTGGGTAGGTTTCTTTGGTTGGTTAAGTCAGGTTGTATGAGGGGTGGTAAGTCCAAAACGACTCATTTCCAAAAGAAATGAAGGTCAAATTCGAATGAATCACACCAAATACCGTGGGAAAAACAAAAATATGTGGTCAAACAGTAGTTGTGGCTGAAACTGTAAATTTACCTAATATTGTTGGTCATTTTATCAGTTAAAATACTCAAATATGAATTTCAAAAGTAAACAATACACTAAATCATTTTAGTTTTTTCTCTTTCTTCCTATAAAAGACTCTATATATAAGGTGTTGGTAACTTCTAAACAGTTGGTAAATTGGTAATATTGTAGTAAACAGCAACCAAAGAATTCCCGAGATTCACTACACTCAATCGATAGAACTATATTTTCTATGATCACAGGTTAGGTTAGGTTAGGTTGCTGTTATCTGTGATTTTACAGGTAAATTTTCACTTGTTGCCGCTATACGAAATCAAAGTGTAAAGTGTTTCTCCGATGGTTTTTGATGTTAAGAACGAATTTTACCTTCATTTCTGGAGCAAATCAATAGTTTCTGAGATTTGTTGTAAGACTCAAGGTTACAGGCATTGAAAACCACGGGTAAAAGTTTTAAATCCAACCTAACCTAACCTAACCGGGGGAGCTCCATAGTCGTTCCATATTCTGGGTGTGTACTGCCACGTATGAACATATATATAATAAAATGTTAAATATTTCACTTAAATGTAATTTGCACCAGAATTGCCATTGAAGAAAATTATCTTAGAATTGTCAAAACTACTGACTGCAATTATAAAATTCCCGAGATTAGTTTGTGGCAACAAGTGAAATAATACCAAATATTTACCTTGTACCGTACTATAGTTTTTAAATTACAGTTACAAAGATATCTTCCTCACAAGCTGTTGGACTCAGAATGCATTATTTAGTATTCCAAGTACTGTATATATTTAATTTTACCAAAAATAGCTTGTTTCATGTATTTTACTGACAATAAAGGTACTGTTATCATGTCTTAGTCAACATCACGTGCAATTTCAACTCCTGGACACGTAACTCTACTGTCCAGTCACACTACTCATTGCCTTAACGTACAGTTGCATTCCCACCCTTAAACCAGGAAAAAACATATAGTATTCAAACTCACCTTTGCCAAGTCAATTGATGCTGAGATTCCGACAGCATTATTCTTGAAGGAATCTGGAATCCTACAGACAACGGCGTGAGTGTACCTAAATGGGGACATTGTGAGAAATGTGCGAAACTGCACCGCCCAGCGTCCCAGCATCACCTCTCAGCAGCACCACCTCTCTCACACTGTTCACACAACCACTTCACCTATATACCTTACTCTTCTTATCTACAACACCTGACAAACTGGCTTAACCTCCCATATTTTATCTTAAAAAGATATAATTTTATATAAAAAATAACTCCCATTAGCTATTATTTAATATAGCACTTTGACACGATGAAAAATAAACTGTTGATTATAACATTTATATTACTGAGGGGTTTGTTCCCGGGATGGTACACCTGCTGACCGACGGATCATATGACTCCTGGTTTGTTTACGTTAACACCGCCATCTGTATATTTTTTAACCCAAATTTAAAAGTTTGGGCGAAATATTAAGTATGACATTAATGGTACATGTATACTATTAACAAGACCAGTGATTTATGTAATATGTGTCTTAGTTTTCATCAAGTTTGAGGATGTATCGTTGAGCAGACAGGACAGATTGCTGGGTTTATACTAGCTTTTTCTTAGGAAACTATTTCACCTACTGCACTGTATGTTATTCATTTATACGTTGGGCAAAGTTATCGGACAGGTATGCTAATCCTCATCCATCAGTGACAATAATCAACAGTACAGTGAAGGAGTTAGTAAGTTAATTATATACATAATATTCTCTCCAAACATATATGACATCTTTAACTTACCAATGCTTGTCCAGTCGTCTAAAAAAAGAACACCTTAAAAATTTAAAATTACTGCAGTGGCTACACTGTACACTTGTACAGTAGATTTGGTTGCGCCCAACGGCCGCTTCCCTGCGAGAGGAGGCGAGCGCCATGCAAACAATGCCATCTCTGACCACACCCCACAAACCACAAGGGAAACAGTAAACGAGGCAATTACAGAGAATGGAGGAGGGCCGGAGTCAATGCCAAGACCAGAAATATTACAGAGGACAATTTCCAGCTTGAAAGTCATGTACACTAATACTGACACGTTCCTCGACAAGCGGGAGGAGTTTGTAACACAACTGAGGGTACATCAACCCGATATCGTAGGTGTTGTAGAACTGTTGTACAAAAACAGGAGGATAGAACCGGAGGAATGTTCAATATAGATGGATATGACTCATTTACGAACCTTTCCCAAGAAACTTGCAAGAGGGGTGTGGTTATCTATGCTAGGCAAGACTTAAGAGCCAGCCAGGTGAGGGTGCTGGGTGAGGATGTTTTCGAAGAATCAAAGTGGTGTAAAATTAAACTGAAGGCGAGACTTACTCATTGTTGGATGTATCTACAGATTCCCAAACTGTAGCTATTAAACCAGAGGAACTTAAGAACCTTAAATAACATTGTAACGGTGCAGAACCCTAGCCACCTCCTTGTCATGCTTGGTGGACTTTAATTATGGCGACATCAACTGGAGAGATGAATCCACGCCAAATGACTTAAATAACCCTGCTACTCTTTTCGTAGAAACTGAGAAACAATTTTCTATTCCAACATGTTAAAGATCCGACTCACTACAAAGGGGAGCAAACACCCAAACCGCTGGACCTCATCATAGCTAACGAGGAAGGTATGGTGGCCAATCCAGGGGCGTCATTTCAGATTTTGCTTAGGGAGGCAACACCATTACATACAAAGAGTAGGGGTCAAAATCCTGCTCCACCGTGGTGCCGCCGGGTGGTACTGTAACAGACAGAACACGTTCAAACACTTTTTTTATATTTTTAATTTGCATCTGTCCAGTGTGGACCGTGTGGCTGCGAGCAACATGACTCGCTTCCTTGCTGCTGTTCAGTTTATAAATGATGGGCAATGGGAACGATGAAAATATATGAATACTTATCATTCTGTTTAATTATGCATAGTAAAAATGCCATTGAGATGTTCTCACCAAATCCAAATTCGTCTGTCTATATGAAAAAGGAATATAATTAAAATTTTCCTTGGAGAGCAAGACAGCCCTTGGGAGAGGCAAGCCAGGTCTTGGAAGGCCCCCCCCCCCCAATGACGCCCCTGGGCCAATCTAGAACACCTAGCTCCAGTTGGCACCAGTCACCACGTAACTGTTACTTGTTTCATGACAAAACCAGGTCTAGGTTCAAATATTACAAACCGCAATGCTGTTTCACTCTCTCTCTTTAAAGGTACTTCAACGGGCAATGTTCGGTGGATTTGGCATCCTGTGTACCGCCAGCAAGGCAGTTGACTCGTAACACACATCTTGCCCGCGGTGCCCACTGTTTCTGTGTGGATGTCGGTCACACTAGAATAACCCGTTATAATGCATCCTTCTTTCCTCACACAGCCAAACTATGGAACGCTCTGCCTTCTTCTCTGTTTCCATACTGATACAATCTGCCTCACTTCAAAAAGCTGGTTTTCCGGCATCTTCGTGGTGTAGATTAATACAATCTTTTTCTTGTCTATTTTTAATTTCTTTTTAGTCTTATTTTTTCGCTCCCTAGGCCCCGTTGTGGGTCGATGACCTGTGCCCGGGTGGGCTATTACCTGTTAAAAAAAACACCGCTGGACCTCATGATAACTAACAAGGAGGCCAAGCTGAACACCTAGCCTCCGCCGGCACCAGCCACCATATGATGTCCTTCAGATTTAGCTGTTACGTGGTACATGATGAGAGCAGGCTAAGGTTCAAATATAACTTTTACTTTTTTTTTACTTTTATCCTCTTCACCACTGATCGGCTCGTTAACCGCTTGGGCGATCGGTCACGTCTCTGTCACGCACTGTTGGCAAATACTGGGCATGCACCGACTCCTGAATGTACCTGAACCTGCTCCAGTGTTGGTCAAGTCTGGTCTTGAAAGAGCTCACACTCGGTGCCGACACAACACTTACTGGTAGATTGTTCCAAGAGTTCACAACTCTCACTCCGAAAAAGTTTGCCCTCACAGTTTTCTGGACTTGCGGCTTCTTCAATCTTGAGCTGTGACCCCTTGTGGGGCGAGCGTCCGCCAGCTCCAAGTAAGGACACTCGACTGTGGTGATTACGGAAGGAAACGTGAACCCGAGCCATTTTACGGACTACCCGAGGTCTATAGAAGACCTTGGGACCACCAACATGAGGGGATATAACTTGAAGCTCGCCAGGTTATCATGCAGGACGAATATAAGGTAATAAAGTACATCTTCCCACAGAGGGTGGTAGACCTATGGAACAGTCTACCAGGCCAAGCTGTGGAGTACCGGGCTTCAAAGTAGCCCTAAATAGGACGACCAAGAACAATGGCGGATTCTACACAGGCTACTGGCCTTCTTCCCTCGGCATGGCCAACTCTAGTTTGAGTGGCCAATCCCATTAGGTAAATAAGGTAAATGTAAGGGGCTTTCTGTTACACACTGTTGGCAAGTACTGGGTCATGAATGCACAGTATACAGTACTTGTACTTGTGCCATTATTGACCGAGTCTGTCCTTAAAGAAGCTCTTTATTCGGTGTCGTGACAACACTCTCTGGCAGATGACTGCAAGAGTTCACAACTCTCACTCCAACACTATGGAGACCAGAAATATGTCGGTTCTCAAAAAAAACAGAAACATTTCTTAAATCTGATCTCCAGTAGCCAGGCCCTGTAAACCCAGTGTGTAAAAGATGAGCTCATATTCATACAGAGCAGAGTTTAAAACAAGCCAGAGTGAGAAGTGAAGAGTTTTTGAATGTTGTAAATAGTGGAGGCCGGACTGGCGGGTTTGTGTGGCAGGGAGGCGCGAGGCTACGGTTACATCACCAGGAAGGCGTGAGTTGGGCGAGCGTCCCCTGCCTGACGCCTTAATAATTCTGCAGGTGATGTTATCACCGCTCGTGTCACACTGTCGCTCTGTGAGAATTTTGAGGAAATAAGTTTTGGTAGAAGGATATATATATATATATATATATATATATATATATATATATATATATATATATATATATATATATATATATATATATATATATATATATATATTGTCATGGTTTTGATATATCGTAGTGGTAGTAAGTGTGATTATATTATATAAAGATTATAATATGTTGTTTTTCTTATATTTCTTACCGTAGAGTTCGATACCTTCACACTGGTTACTTACAGGAGATTATGGTGTATCTACGCAGAAGTTCACTCCACCACTCGACATTCCATGATTTATACTTGATAAATGATGATTAATGAATTCTATTAATTTCCAACATCCATCCAAGTTATTGGTTATATTTTGTCATAACCAATCAGTCATTACCTTTATTAATAATAAGATAGGATCACAGATACGGGCAGATAATTGCACTTACATTTATTTGTCAAGCTTCCATACAATGATTTACAATTTGTATGGATATATGAGTCACTCACGTTCACGCTGTAATAAAATTAATCTTCTAAAGAGGGAATTTTCAACTTGGGGACACATGTGATTACTCCACTATGGATATGTAGGTCAGACTGGGAAGGCATTGCAACTCAGAATTAAACAGCACGAGTACAATATTAGAACGGCATCTGAAAGCAGTTCACTTTTCGTTCATATAAGGAACAATAATCATCCCATAGATTTGGAAACAGTTTAGAAGTGTATAAATCATCATGCGTCACAGAGGGACTTCTAGTTGAAGCAAGTTTGATTAGAGAAATGTATTCTTTAAACCTTAGTGATGGTCGGTACAAAACTGATAATATGTTACACAAATTTATTTGTCAGTGGCCCAAGGTTAAAAATGCTTTGAAAGCATGTAAAGTAGATGTATGATTGATGATTAGTGGGTCTCATATTTTACCTGACGTGACATGACTAGTTATGTGGCCCGTTCTTATGAGCTATTCTTGTGTTCGCTGTGTGGTTGGTGTGTGGATTAGTGGATGTCATGTTTTTTGACCTGACCTCATGTTTTGTAAGGTCACCCTGTGCACATAAGCTCATCCATTAACCAAATATTACAAGTAAAGCAATATGTACTGTATCTACACTTCCACTGCGCCCTTCATTTCATAAACACGAGCAATTCTAACTTCGTGTACAGTACACCATTACCTTTACAGCTTCTCACATTCATTTGCATTCATGTTTAGGATGAGACACTGTACCTATGCTCAATCAAGCACACACGATCCCTAGGTGCGGTCGTTCACTTACCATTGTTTATTACTCATAACACAACACACTTTCTTGTCAACACTGAGGCCTGCCAACACTTCACACCCCTGCTAACCACAAGGGCTGAACCACTCAATACGATTAAGTCACTACGAAAAATAAA